AAGCACTTAACAGAAAAGACAAAACGGAACAAAACTGCTCGAATATAAGACCAATTGAACAAAACTTTTTGGTTGAATGATTGACAAATAAATTGAGAAAAAAGAAGATTTTTTTCCATTTTTTCTTTATTTCATCCCCCTGCACTCTAATTAAAATACTAAGGGTGTGTTTAGCATGATGTGATCATAAGACTTAGGAACGCATTGATTCGCTTCTTACGCGTGTTATAAGTACGTAATTTAATGCACTTTAATTGTCCCAAATTGGCCAAATTGGCAATTGTCAAACGCCCGTAACTAAACAAAAAAAGATCACAGAAGAAATATCATTTTAAGTTTCAGCTCAGAAGACTGATATCATTCAGATTGACTGAATAAAAAGAACCATGTCAAGCATAGATATTCGGCACTTTCTTCGAAAGCCGGAACAATAATGTGAACAACAAAACTTGGAAGTTAAAAAAAAACCAATGAGCTTTTGTCTTCTAAATTCTATATAAAATAAAGCAGTTGAATTTGAGTGAGAATCCAAAAAAAGATCCGCTTGCTGAGCAACTAGCACAAAATGTGCTGATTTGAGCCATGGCAGCAAAATATTAAGCCATAACAATGACAAAACTACGCAAAAACAATCATTGAACGACCAAAAATGCAAATATTTATGAATAACTTTATTTTCTATGCTTTTTTCTGTTGTTTGTATCTGCAAAAAGGAGAAGTGGGTCAACTCGAATTACATTTTGGTATTCCACAGTGAAAAATTCTAGAAAGAGAATAAAAAATTTCGTATGGTTTGTCAAATTATAACTGTGCCGTTTCCAAATCTTGCTAAACATAGGATAGTTCATTTCTTATAGTACTGATAATAACCCGTTCTAGGAGGTACTTTTGTCAACTGAGAGCTGCAAAAATCTTGTGTCCGGGTTTAGCGGGCCGTTTTTATTTATCGCAACAAAGTGAACCGACAAAACGTCAACTTCTTTTGTAGCTTCGACTGATCAAGTAGTGGCAGGGAATTGGTAACTCAACAGCGTTTTTTTTTCCAAAAAATATCCAGACAGCTAGAAAAGCTTATTTAGTTCCAGTACCAAATTCTTACCAGCGCGCTCACTTGTTACTAAACTCTAAAATGCTATAGTGTTATAAAATATAAAGACTATAACGCTTTTTCACTTTTTACCTGTTCAAAAAACTCATTTTCAAAATTGACTTAGACCTTTTCATTGAATGATTGCACAAGTGACGATGACCGTAAACAGATTGAATACGGAAAAAATAGATTGAATAAACAAAAAATCAAAAAAATTATTTTCAGTTTTTGTAATTTTTTTTCTTCTTAATCTGGGGTTTTTAGCTGCAACCTTAAGCAAAAATGTCATTTAATTTCTAGAAAAATTTATTTGTTCTCTATTCGGGTAGAAACGATGGTCGCAACGCTCGGTATTTTTTTCACGGTCTCCTTTTCGTACCGACTATTTCAAAAGTGTGGAGGAATTTTTATTTGGGTTTGCTTTAGTCTGCTTCTTTTTTTCTTTTTGTTTTCTACGCAGAACCAGGTACCACAATAAATCATTAAAATCTGTCGAATTTTTTATGATGTTATAACCCTTTCAACTGTGACTCAAATTAAAATTGAAAAATTTCCAGAATTTTCCTCAGTTTAGAGAAAAATCAGATGGACGTTTTTAATTTTTGGTCTAGGTTCAAGCTAATAATGTGAGCGAGCAGGCTTATAAAATCTTATTTAAGCTTAATTTAAACAGGAAAAATTTATTTATGCTTGATTAAAATTAATTTTTGGAGATTTTAGCGCCACTTTGAGAATCAAGACTTCAAAATTCAAAAACGTTTTGCATGAAAAAGTTTCACAAAAGGTTCGAAAATTTTTAGAATTTTAGAACGCTTTTTTTTACGTTTTTTTTTCAGCAGAAACTGTTTTTCGATTGGGTTGTTTTGATATGATTGTCGGTTATGCTTAAGTTTTTTGTTTTTTTGTTTAGATTTTCGACCACTCCACGCAGAAAAAACGACACTAATTTGAAAAAAAAAATCGTATTTTTGTAAGGATATGGTCGCAACATTCTGTGCTACTTGCATAGTAACCGGCTCCCTTTTTTCTTATTTGTCTTTTCATCAAAATATACGGCACAATGGACCCAATGAGTATTTAACGTTTAAATGCAAAATTCAAACTTGTCGCCGATTCCAACATGTCGCTGAATAAACATGCCGCCGATTCCAACATGTCGCTAAAAAACTACACGGCAAAAGAAGAAAATGAGTTTTTTCTGTTTTGCTTGTGTTTTACATTTTTTATAACTGTTTCAATTTTTGAAAAAAAAATTGACTAAAGTTTGTACTCCAGGAGTTTTTCTCTAAATAAACTTCGATTTTTATCTAGAAATTTGTAACCAATTTTTTATTGCTGTCTTGAATTCAAATCCCATAAATATTTTGCACCTATGAATTTTCTCTGTAAAGTAACGAGGGTTGAAGAAGGCCAATTTGACCAATTTGGAACAATTCACCCGCGATTTTTGCCTTCAGCGCGTAAGTGCAGATTTGATCCGTCATAGAAATTGTTTCAAATTGAATTGAGGCTAAGTTTTTAATCCTTTTTTTAGTTCCCAATGTGAAAGATTTATCTTTTGTATTTTACTTAAAGTGTAGAGGATGATTTTTACCAAATCTTTAGAAAACATTCTGAAGTTTTTCTCTGTTTTGTAATTCATCAACTTCTATAATGTGAACAAAGCTCTGTTCAATTTAAAATGCAGGCGGAAAATTCAGGGTTTTGCGAGCAGTCTTGATTAGGCTTGCTTAAATATGAGCATTTTTGTTTAAATTTGAATGGATGATGGAGAAGCGGCTATTGTCTCCGCCTATCTTTCAAAAGATCGGTGGTTTGAGGGACCGCCCTGATCCGGGCATGTTGCCAGTGGGTGAGGCTCAGAAATTCAAAAACCATAAAAATACCAGGTAGTTCTTAAGCAGGGGTAAACGCACATTGACAGCTATAGGTAAATAACAACTCGCATATTGGTTCCTTGCCTCGTGGAAAAATGGTTTTCAAAATAGTTTTTCGAATATTTTCCTCGCTGAAATGCTGTTTTTTCTTTATTTTCCGATGATATAATGTCAAACTTGCACAACATCTAGTATTATAAGTCAGACTGCATTGCAAACAAATGGTTCCCAGAGAATTTTTTGTTTACCAAATTAAAACAGCAAAACAAACAATAAGTATGCCACTTGATGATTTATTTTTTCTTTTATTTATGTTGTTCATTTTATGTTTTTTCTTGCCTTAATATATGTCGCCTCCTCCCTCGGGATGCTAAAAAATGCAATCCTTGGCCAAGAGAGGGACTTTTTGGCGCTAAGATGCCACTAAACTCAAGTTCAAAACTAAACTGTAAAAATTTACCGCTTATGTGTATTTTTTGTACTTAGCTTAAATGCTTTTTCAATTTTTTCATTATCTCCGTCCGATCGTGGCTGAAAAGCGGAGATGGCTGGATGGCTGCGCGTATTGTATGTTGGCGCCAGGATTCTATAGCAAAGTATTGTTATCAAGACTTGGTCTGAAAAGTGCTTTGCTGAAATTGATAACAGATCGCCAACTTTACTTGAAGTGCCTTCAAAAACACTCTTTAAAACACGCGCTCACATTGCAATTGTTCAACTCCGATCCGGAATTAAAAACTTGCCAAGTTCTTAACAATCTTCAATTTCCATTTTTTGGTTTCTTTTTTAACCTAACGTAAACTATTGTTTTTGACTTTTTGAAGTCAAATCAAAAAATTTTTGCAAGTCAAATTATATTTTCAATTTAACCATGCTGTGCTAAAAAAACTCAATTTCATTAAATAATTTTTATAAGTCGTAAATGAAAAACTTTAATCTGGAGCAAAATGAATGACTCAGTTCTTTTTTATCTTTTCTCAGATGATTGAAAACGCCATTAAACTAAAATACAGATCCAATATTTCATTCAATTATGAAAATTTTCCTTTAATCGCACTTTTCAAAAAAATAATAATAAAACGGCCAAAGAACGTGAAAATTGTGTGGACGCAGGTCATTTTGAATCCCCAATTTCGATTTAGTTTCCAATTCTACTTGATTCTATTTTGGCGCTTTCTTTGGTTCCCCCTGGGATCTTGTGATTTATTCCTAATTTTCCCACTTAATCTTCAGCCCTCATCCTCGCGGGATTTGGGCCCCGAGAACAGTCCAAATTGCATTTATTGCATGAAGGATTATCTATCAACAATCAATTAATTTTGGGGAAGCATTAAAGGGGTAAGAGCTACCAGGAGTAAAAGCCAGAAAATGGGCCAAAAAGGAGCCCAGTTGATTTTAAAATAAGCAGAAAATAAGCCAAGAAACACGAAATTAAGTCACTTCTTATTAAAATCAGGTCGATTGTTATGAAGATCTTTTGTGGTTTCAGTTTACCTTGAACATTTATCTTCACTTGTTATTTCAAGTTACTGTCCATTTCGTTTTGCACTCCGTATGGATCAGAACCAATAACAGTTGTCATTTAAGACCATAATAAATTACACATTTTTATTGCAAATCATTGGCCTAATTGGATCACTGTGTGCAGCATTTTAACGGTGGTAAGTTGTTGTTGGTTCACGTTGGTAAACTGAACTCTTCAAAGAACTCACGCGCTCCAAATTAGAATTCACGGGACGTTCCCCGGTGTAATATTACATAGCGGCATTTGCGGATATTGATTAAAGTATTAGTATTGGCGTTATCGTCGCTATTTTATACTTTCAACACCTTGCGAGGTTTACCTGGGCTATAATCACGCTAGATCACAGGGTAAACTTGGGAAGGAAATTTCCACAATAACCACCGGACGCATTTAATTTCTAGACTGATTTTGCCTCTGATGATTACAATAACCAATACTGCTTTCGGTTTTCTGTTTCTTGTTAAGCTCAAACTCTATAGTCTTAATTTAACCATTTAAAGGTAAGAAAGTCAGATTACAAATTCTGGAATAAAAAGTCGTAAAATTTTGATCCGTCATTATAGGTAAAGTTAGTTTTAGTGTTTCCTGCACGGCAAAAAGTCTCATGCCTAGGAAAAACTGAAGTCTAGCTGACTAAAAAGAAATAAAAGCAAATTTCCGGCAACTCTTATACGTCACTTTTAGAAGTACGTATAATTGAGTTTTAATATTTTATAACTTCGTTATTTGATACCTTGATAAAATGAACCAACTCTTGATTAGGACTTACGAAAATAGTTTTTTTCATCGGGTTTCTAAAAGTGTTCCCATCTGCGATGCTTTAAAAAATTTCAGATCCATTATACTCTTATGCTGATTGTAAAATGATGAATATTTAATTGAGCAAACTGTGTTTTTGTATCGATGGAATTTTTTCCAAATTGCTTTTATTTTATTTTTATAAGGCTGTCGTTTTATCTTTAATGACAATTTGCTTTCAAAAATTATCATTTATGTTTAAAAGCGGAACGCATTTCTTTGTTCAAAAATCTTGGGGCATTTCCAAAAGCCACAAAAAATTCAATTTAATTCGTTTCACTTCAATAAAATATATTGAAAAAGGCAACAAAAACGCAAAATGGTAGTTTATTCCAACTAAAAAAAATGTTTCCTTTCCAACAAAATCACATTTTATTCCATTCACAATTTATTAACAGTTTCTATCAAGTTTTGTAAAAAGCTCTCTTGTCAGTTTTCAAGCTGAGCTAGTCTGAATATATAAAATCGCATTTTCTTATAAATCTTCAAAATTCTGAAGCCTTGTTTTTATGAATACATTTAATCAATTTTGAAGTTGATTTCTCTTGATTTGAGATCCAAAGCAGCCTTTTACGCTGATTTGAGTACTAATTAAGCCTGTCTGTTTCCCCTCCTAACAGGTAACGCTGTTAACTTGAGAGTTATTGCACCGCAAGTCGGAAATTAGTCCAACGTAACGGGGGAATTAAGGGTCTTTGGAGGGGTAAGGGGTGCTTTTTTCGAAGGTAACTGAAGAAACGGGATATCCTTAAACGGGTAAAATGAGGGAAATTAATTTCCGTGACTTTCCAATTTTCCTCAATTTTTGAGATTTTTTTTCCTTTTCGGGACGCTAAGAAACTCCTGTGGTGATCTTAGTGTTTAGCAGAGAGTCAAACCTTGTCTACGCATCCCATTTTCAAAAAATTGCCTCGAGGAAAAAGAAGGGGCTAAATGGTATAAGATCTTGTTTTCCCACCGCGTTAATTGGCTTGCTTTGTTCGTTTCCCAGTTAATTTTGTCTTTCATGACACTATTTGGTCTCTAGCAGAAAATGTCGTCTCTTCAAGACGCCTGCTGTGAACACAAAGGATGCTCTATGTCACTTACAATTTTCTCCGTTCCAAAAAACACCGAAATAATTAATTCCTCGCTCCTTTTTCAAAATTGTTCCCTCCCTCCCTTAAGTTCAGAAACATTCGCAATTATTGCATCTTTTTCACCACTTCATAAGAAAGGTAGCGGCAAAAAACGCTGATTGCGCGTTGCACCTCTAAATTTAACCCCACTCTAAATTTACTCTTTTTGCCCCTCCCTCATTTTGTATGATTTTTCTTAGGATGAAATTTTCAAGTATAACTGGGCAAACACCACGGTGGAATGTGTCAAAGTTAGCCTTTATTTTCCATCAATACTTCAATATTTTATCCTCCTAGGCTTGGTACGTTTGCATAAACAGTGTAAAAATTTGGTGCATTTTAGAAAATACAATCGAATTTACGCCCGCCGTACACTTGTTTTACAAGCTATGACAAGGATTAATCTTTTTCTTACATTCGACTCCCAGCATCCAAGTGTAGGAATTTAAACAGGTCAGTAAATCAAAATTAGACCATAAACATCGGAACACTTTTTCTGAGTGTTCTTGAAGAAATTAAATGGGAAGCCTTCTTCGAGCAAAAACTATCCGCTTAGCTCAACCGATTTGGTTAGTGTGCCATAAAAAGCACATTTTGATGAATCATAACAAAAAGTAACAACAAAAAATTACTTGGTGCAATGTAAATGGTGTTCCGACCTCTGACATGGTGTTCAGACCTCTGGTGTTCCGACCTTTGCTGTTCCGACCTCTGGTGTTACGACCTCTGAAAGATTTGTAATCGAGTTTTTTTTTCAGTTTAGAATTTTTTTCTTAATTTTTTTTTTAATTTAGCGAGTGAAGCAAGCGAGTAGAGAGCGTAAACCGTTTCAATAATTTTTCACACTAAAGCTTGATGTAGTAATTTACCAATACGAAATCAAAAAGTTGTATAGAAGTTAACCTGAAAATGGAAAATAAATTGTTTTCTTTTTTTGCCTTTAAAAAAATAAGTTTTTGTTCCGACTTTCGATACGAAAGTAACGGAATATTTGTGCTCAGGGTGGGTTTTTTTTCTTCAGACAAATTTCGACTTTTTAACTAGCCATTTTTTACGGAACTTTTTTATATCATTCAAAAGGTATTGTTGTCCTGAGCTTAAATTTGAAAAGATATTTCACCTGTGATTATTTTTCGTAAAGTTATGAGGGTTTAACGATTGCCATTTTGGCCATTTTGACCAATTTGGGACAATTAGCGCGCGATATAATTCGCGCTATTAACGCGTAAGCGGAGATTTAAACCGACCTAGAAATCCTTCCAAATTGTTTGAACGAAGCTTGTTTGCCATAATTGATTTGTTACAAGGAAAGAAATCTAGCTTTTTGTACTTTATATGGCGTGTGGGGGGATGATTTTCATGAACAATTTCAAATTTTTGAAAAAAAAATTTCATTTTATTTTAGTTCATTTAATTTTTTTATGTTATTACTGCTGCTTCATAAACCTTAAACGGTAGTCGGAACATTCAGGGCTTCTCTCTGATACGAGCAGTCTTGTTCAGTTTTGTTATGCTTTTTGAATAATGCATGTTTGGAGCTCATCAGGTCCTTAATTTCATGGATGATTGGTTTCAATAAAAGTTCATGATGGTAGGCGCAAACTTAGGATTTTCTCGAGGGAGTGAAATTTCAAAAAAAAAACGAAGTTGGTCAACATTTGATTTTCTCAGCTCTCCGCGAACATTATAGAACCGGGACCCCTATGATGCAGGCAAGTTTTTAAAAAAAAAAAAAACTCTGCCAAGTTTTTGGAGTTTTGACCAAAACAATGAATTTTTTTTTTCAACGAGCGTTCACCCTTAAAGCTAGTATATATTGACGCCTAACGCAACTTTAGAGCAGTTTTAGTATTGAACTGACAAAAATTAATGTCATAAAAAGTATCTAAGGAAGTGTAGGGCTTTGTGGTCATTGTGGCGGTCAATTAGTCGAAATCATGAGGGGGACGCTAAATTAGCTACTGATGGTAGGTCGCTTGATTTTTTTTTGATGTGTTTAGTGGTTTAAGGTGTATTTTGAGGTTTGGGGCGTACATACCACCCTGATAGTTTTCATTTTGCACCAAACAATCTAGCTTAGAAGCGGTATTATCCATGCCTTTCTCTCCTCTCCCAGCTTGTTATGCTAATCTGTCCGGTTAGAGGAATGGTTTGACTGAAATAAGTATTACTGTTTTCAGAATCGGTTCTAATCCCAGCCTCGCTTTTTGATTTCGAACAGGTAATACCATCCGCTTTTAATAACTTTTATCCACCCACCGTACTTCACAAAATGCCGCAGTCGATCACAACATAGCCTTTAGTCCTGATTTCAAGCAACACTTTTGGATTTTAACTTAAAAGCACGTCAACTGTGAACTTGACTTTCTTAATTGTTATTATTGTTATCAATTAATTTCTATAAATGTTTACTTCGATGATCTTAACTTCGCAAATTGTTTTAGAAACTAGGTGAAAATATTTAATCTATTTTATCATCCGATTTTATTTTTGAAATTTAGACTGCACTGCACCTAGGAGTTCAAAAAGCTCATTCATGGCCGTTTTAATTTAGAGCTCAAATGTAATGCTCAAGTTCGCCAGCAGATTTAGGATAAAGGGGGGACGCCCCCTCCCACCAAGGATTCGACCCCATTGCCGACTCAAATTTTTGTACTATTTTAAGATCTCCATTTTTGGCTGACGGACCCGTATTTTTTTAATGGCGCCTTTGGCGCCAATATATACTAAGGCTCTTTTTCCTCCCCCCCCCCACCTGCAAATTTTTACATGTAAATTTGTTGTTCATATTGTCTGATTGTTATGAAAATTTACATGCAGACTAATAAGGCCACGACAAACATATTTGGTCCTCATACTCAACCTCGTAAATCCACTCGGTATACCAATATATTGAAGCTCGTGTGAGGTGGGGGGGGGGGGAGGAAAAAGAGCTTATACTAAATTTGAGAGGGAAACGTGCGCCGAAAAAAGCGTTTTTGCGGTCAAAATTTTCCAAAAAGTGCCCAAAACGCTTTTTTTGGTCGTTTTTTTGAAAAATTTGCCTGTGGCGCAGAAAATGTGGTCAAAATAGGTTCTTTATAGTGATTTGGGGGAGCTCAGAAAATAAATTTGGCCGAACTATAAAAAAAATCGAAAAACTTTTCGAAATTGTTTTGAACATCTGCCCCCTCGAGAAAATCCTAGACCCGCTCATTCAAGTAGCTTATGTTTAGGATTCAACAATAGAAAGTTAAAGAACTAAATTTACACGGGTTCGATTATTCAAAAAACGTGAAATTCTAGTTAAATGGGTTGATCCCTGAATAGTAACAAAGTACGAAACTCAATCAAAACGATCATGGTCGACGTATTTACGGTTATTCAAGTTGTCGCCAATATTTTCGTCCCAAACGACAAAAAATGTTCCCCGTGCGAAGTTCCATCCCTGAAAAAGTTCAATTGCGATTGCACAACAACAACTATAAATTGTGAAAACCGACGAATAACTTCTCTTCCTACCCTCGAAGACGGTTGCATCTTCAAAGGCACTACCGAAATCAGTTTCGCCAACAACGAAATATCAAAAATTAATCACGACGCTTTCAAAGGACTACAAGTCAAGGGGTCGAGTTCGGGCCAGTTGCGACTCGATTTGTCATCCAATAGAATTTCATCAATAGACGAAGAGAGTCTGAACAGCTTATCCAAGTTCACGAGCATTGATTTGAGTAACAACAAGCTTCATTCTTCATCATTTAAAGGTATTCAAACTTATCAATTTCAGAAGCGAATAAAGATAGCATCCCTAATTTAAAGAATAGGTTGAGTGATATTTCAGAGAAGAAAAACCGCTTTCACATTTCTAGTCCAATTTTGAGCAAGTTAAATCTAAAATAGATAAAATAACATGAAAAACTGATGTAATAAAATAAAATGAATTTTTTTCTTCTAAAATTTGGGAATTTTTCTGTGAAAATCATTCCCCCACACGTCATATAAAGTTCAAAAGGGCAAAGTTCAAAAGGACAAAAAACGTATGGCAAATAAGTTTCGTTCAACCAATTTGAAACGATTTCTAAGATGGATTAAATCTCCGCTTACGCGTTAATAGCGCCAAATATTAATTGTCCAAATCGACCAAAATGGCAATCTTTAAACCTCGATAACCTTACAAAAATGATCACAGATAAAATATCCTTTGAAATTTAAACTCAAGGTAACATTAATTTTTGAATGATATAAAAAATTCCGTCAAAAAGACTAGTTAAAAAAAACGAAATTAATCTCACACCGTTCACCGCTGAGCCACAGTGCTATTATATATCGAAAGAGAAGATACTGTTCGCAAACAGAAACAAAATGAAAAAGAGAGGGGCGTTCAACAGTGCTGAAGTACAACAGTGCCGAAAAAGTCGGAAAAGTTTCAGAATATTTTAAACGCATTCTCAAAAGAGCGGCAAACTACTAACGCTAATTAACAAAGAAATTCACTCCAATTTTGGTTCCAAAATGTCTGCAACTGCAAATTAAACAATTATTTTGACGATAAAACGTCCAAGTGGCAAATTTTCTTGCTCAAATTCTCAAAGTGTCACTTTAAGATTGTTACAATCGCATTTTAATTTTTGATTGCCGCACTTAATACGTTGAAATTTGTTCAAATTTTTGGCTCTGTTAAACAAATTTTTTTTTTCGGCCCTGTTTTACTTCGGCACTGTTGTACTGCCCCCAAAAAATACATCAACCTACTGAAAACACTCGCTCAATTTAAAAGAAAACATCAATTTTTTTTCAAGTTTACTTTAGTTGATAAATTTAAGACAAACACACGCCTTATGTATAAAATGACCAGTTTTTGGTGTAGTAGAACCGGATTTATTCGCCCTTTACTCAAAATTTAACCGACAACTGAGGAACAGTGCGCACTATTAGTCCCAAATTAGTCAACTTAATTTTTAAATCTCATTTAAAGCCCATTTAAATTTTCGGAAAATGATAACCGGCAAAATTACTTTTAATTTGGGGCTCAATGCATCAATATTTTTCAACAGGTATCATCAAAGCAGTTAATTTTCCTACATTCATCAGCATTTATTTCAATTTTCTGATGAACTATTCACATATAATATAGCAAAACAATAAACCAAAAAACTTGCCATGTAGATTTGAGAAAAAATAGTCCAATTAAACATAAGTGTTTTCTAATGTTTTTATCGAGACAGCAATCAAAACTTAAAAAAATTTTCATTTTTTCCTCATCTTGGGCTGAATAAAATCATGGAAGATTAGTCAAGACATAATCTGATAATTTTTTCTAATCAACAAAACTTTTCCAAAACTTACTGAAAATATTTTTTAAGGGTTAGCAAATTTCCGCAAACTTCACAATGTTCCCAAATGCAAAATATATTTTAAAAACATACTTTGAAAAAGTTCGGTGAGACAGCAGATGTTAGCCGAATAGTAATAAAATAAACAAGGATCGCATATTCCTGTGCAAGCAGAACAGTATTCTGACCACTCTTTAAAAAACTACAAAATAGTTTTCTTTCAAATTAAAGCTTTTTGGACTAGGTGTGATGAAAGGATGGGACTGAAAGCTATAGTTAAGCATTTTTAACAGTCGTAGTAAAGAAGGCAAATGGGACAAAAATGTGTAAAAAATCAAAAAGTAATTTAAAAAATTTAAAATTTTTTTATCTTCACTTGGATTTTGAACTGTTTTGGTTCTCAAAATGGCGCTTAAAACTCGAAAAACTTAGTTAGTTTTCTTAAAATTAGTTTAAAGGGCTTAAAATAGGCATAGTTACTAGAATTAAGCATAAACATGCTATTGTAAACGACATAAATACTCCTGCTCGCTCGAGTTAAGATGAAAAACCAAAATTTTCATAGCAGTTTTTCTTGAGGCTGGGAACTTAAATGTTTTTTTTTGTCTTTCGAATCACGACTGTAAGGGCTTTAAAATGATACATCCTTCATTTTTTTTCCTTGATTATTTGTGGTACCCCATGGTGCGTAGAAAATAATGAAAAAACAAACACACGAATACAAAGTTCCTGCCCAGTTTCATTGGTCGGATCAAAAAGTTAATGAAGTGATAGAAATGTTTTCATCCGTAAAAATTCTTTGTAGTTACTCAAGTGAACTTAGTTTGAAGAGATCTATTTGAAAGTTTTCAGAGTTTCTCTTTTAGGTGACTATTCACGACTTAAAGCATTGCAGGAGTTTGATTTGGGCAGAAACTCTTTAGACAACGTTCCGGGTCAATTTTGCCAGATACCTCATCTTCAGTCGATTCACGTTGATGGGAATCCGGGAAGAGCTTTTCAGGATACCTCGAGTTGGCGTGAACTTCCCGAAGATTTTTGGGACAAAACTTGCCTATCATCTTCAATCAAAATTTCTCCAATTCCAATTTTAACACTCATTATTTCATTACTTATCAGTTGCTATTTAGAGATACTTGTAATTAAAAATCTATAGACATATTTAAATTTTAATTTCGTATCGGTTCTATCTATTTTGTTGTTTCAAAAATTTTATATTTAAACGTTTTATTATCTAACAGAATAAGTACAGCATCAAAAACAACATAAGACATTCAATCAACAACACTAGGAATACAGCATAAAAACCATTAAGCAACCGAAACCTGCTTTCTGTTCGCATTTAACTAATGAAACTAATATTTTGTCCGGTGGCTTTATGAAGAACCCATAGGTCTTTATTTTCTCGCATCAATCAACAATCGAATATCGAAAATTGTTTTTTTTTTCAAATATAATCTTCAGCCATGAAATAGTTTCACAGCGTTATGATTAATTCTGGAAAGAGTTTAACTCCATTTAGTTTTTGATCATTCCATTGCACTTAATGATTCTCCGTGATTCGAAGCATGGCATCGAAATTCTATCGACAAGAGATGCGATGCTTCCTTGAAATAGTCAAAACATCCAATTGCTGCTACTTCAAATTCCCGTCAAAAATCATTAACAGCAAAGGTGTGCCACTTAAATCCAATTCAATTTTATTCAGTGGAATAGCGAAAAACACATCTGCGAAGTTGGCAACCAACATTCTCGATTCTAATGTTTTTAAAGATATAACAATTGGACTATATGCTATCTTTTCGAGCAACCTTGATTCTAATTTTTTAACCGAGTTTCAAAAGATCTGGCTCATATTGGATCTCAATGTCAAAAATTTCAATGTGGCCAAAAATAAACGTTTAGTCGGAGTAAACGACAGATTCGATTAAAGTAAATAACTTGAATAAAATAAGCGAATTGGATTAGTTAGTCTTAGTGTAGCAGAAAATTACATCTACATCTATTTCGAAGAAAAAAGATATCACTTTTTAAGCTGCGCTGCAATCTTTATTGATTTAAGCTCTTTATAAAAAATCGGATGTCCTCATTTTCGAAACTAAATAAAACGTGAATAGTTTCGTGGAAAAAAATTGAGGCAAAAAACAGCATTCGGATGTTTTCACATTCTCTCAGTTTTCCAAAAGACCTCTTCGTTCTAGTCCGAATCCGATCTGTGTCCTTGACCTCCCGAGTGTCTCACGTCAATCGTGAACTTATACTCCTGATCACACCCCATGTACGCATCACTCATGAAGTATATTGTATAGTTGTACTGTCCAGCGGAAGGGGCTACGAAATCTAGCTTCACTTTTGCCTTCTGCGATAGGGTCACTCTTTTGATCGAGATGAGAGAGTTCTTTTTCGGGTCTCCAATCACCACCCACCACCCTTCTTCTCGTTTCTAAACACTTTCACTCTTTAGATACCTTTAATCTTGGTTGACAAAAAGATTCACACTTCAAACAAAGGTGAACAGGAGCTTCGCACTGTTTGTGATTCAACACAAACAAAGCATGGCAACCATGCCGTCAGAAAGTGAGACAAAAGCCGCTGAGCCCAAATAATTTTGAAATAACAAAAAAGACTATTTTTTTTTATTATTTGCATAAGATCGTTTTAGCTTACCAATTCAGACAACTGCCAGTGTTGCATTCGTATCGAAACAAAAATTACGCAGCGGTAACTAAGTCAACAATACTGAAGCAGGCACCAATTGGACCGAAAAAAATGCCATAAAAGATATCAATTATTTTGAATCACGAAAATCGAAATTGATAATAATTAATACAAAGGCGAAGCTGCGATTCGCAAAAACAAGCCAGACAACAACAAAAATCAGCTGCTAAATATAAATAAGCCCTGGAAATTAAAGCTTTTCCTGCTACGGATTCAAGCATACTGAAAAAAACTGCAAATGCTGTGGAGCTAAAGTGGCACCAAATACAAATAGATACATTTTTTATGCTTTTTTGGTTCATTTGATGAATTAAAAATGCATCAACTGTGTTAATTTATTACTAATCGATTATTAAAGCACATGCTATCAAAAACCCGTAAAGGTGCCTCAAAAATGGCACCAATATTTGCGACTTAGGCTGGGAAACAAATCATGGTCGTACTATTAAACTACGCTCGCTACATCTCGCAAGTGTAAACATAAAAACTAGAGCCATCCAGACTAACTTTGCATGTAATAAATTGGTAAGCTCAAGGCCAAATTATGCAAAAGATATATTGAGTTGAAAAGTTTCGGATGGAGTTTTTAATTATTGTAATGTTGTTTGAAACAAATAGCTTTTATCGGTTCATTTTATGACTGTAAAATACCGAATATTTTTCGCCTTCCGAATTTCAAAAAACAATATATCACCATTTTCACTTTTGTTATTGGAGAGCGTGATTTTCCTTCCATATAGCAAATGAGTTTAAAGGCGCTTTAAAATTGAAAATCGAAGCACAAAAATATAAATTTATCAAAACTTAAGTAACTAAGGAAAGTGAAAAACGCATGATAACAAGAAAAACTCAATAGAATTTTCTCAATTTTATCAAAAAATCAATAGACTTTCTCACCTGTGGGAAGAATGGCGCAATCACAGGTCCTACCACCTCTTCCTCTCTCTCCAAATTCACATTCAGCTGCACTCTACTGCCAGGATGGATACTGTTCGCATCATTGGCCAATTCGTGAGTCAGCTCTATGTTTGGGTATCTGTTCACGAATCGGGCCACGTCTGCCATCTGTCGTTCAGAGAGAGAAGATAACAGCTGGTCTCGAACTTCATCTTCCAGGTCCATAACATCAAACACACTTTCTACGCCCTAAATTGAAAACACCGCTACTTTGATTTTATAATTAATTCCAACTTGTGGGCAATACTGAAGCCTTGAAAAGTTTTATCGGTCACAAAACAGCATTTTAGACATATTAGATTTTTTGATATAGTTTTTACTTAGAGAAACCTGTGAGAAAATTAAATCCGACGTTTCAGGTAAAATAATTTCGTCCAGACTCATTGACTGAAAAGGATATTGCCAACAATTTTGCTTAAGCTATACTAACAAAAACGCCTCATACTGTAGAAGTCCTGGGTTTTTCTAGGATGAATTTTTCCATGGATGAATTTTTTCCAGAACAAAACATAGCCAACAGACAGTTGGAAAGAGTCAATAATGACTTGTTCTTTGAAAAAATCTCAATTTTCCCTCTTTAAAGCTCTTTGAATTATTAGAACAATTTATAATTGAAGTTTTAATTATTTTTTTAAATATTAAAATAACTCAATTTGAGAAAACTGGATCAAAAGGTAGTTTTAATTCCACTGCGGAATGTGAAAACTAAACTCTACTTTCGAAATCAGCAGTCAATCACTTTTTGTGACCTTAACACTTTTGCAGTTCAATAGATGAGTCTGTTTTCCTTTTAACAACGGATATGAACTTAACTTAAAAAAGGAAACAAAAGTCAAACCTCAAAACTAAGCCTGAAAACTTTTCCTGAAAAAAAAACGAAAAAGAAATTATTGCGACCTATATAAGAGTCCGAACTACGTTCATCGAATCTTAAAACAAGATGGCGTTAAAGTTCTTTGAATTTCCCGAACAATTTTTGACTGACACTTTTTTGACCAAATTAATACAATTCGAGAAAACTGGATCAATGGGTGAAACTTTTAATTAGCTAGGAAATTCGATAATTAAAATAGTTTTTCGATAGTAGTAATCGATCACGTTTTCTTTATTTTTACACGTTTGTTGTTCAACAATAGAGTTTTCCTTCCTTTCAACAAAGGAAATGAACTGAACTTCAAAAGTCAAACCGCGAAAAAAAAAATTGAAATGAAATCTTTTAGGACCTTTCCTGAAAAAAATCACCACATATCTCCGACCTAATGATTAGGAGTGCCACTCACGTCCTCGCAACTGCGACACGGTCACTTAGAAGTTAACTAGTGGCCCAGCTAATGCTAGAAGTACCTGTTTTAATAATTTTAATCATATATTGTGCTGATACGTAACTTTCAAAATTGCAAAAAAAATGGACGTTACGCAAAATCTTAGTTATTTCTCTGCTCAAGTAGGGAATTAGCTGCTTGTTTAAAGTAAAAAACTTCTGCTTGCTCTATCAATTGAATTCTTTAACTCATATTTGGCTGGGTAGTTTTCAAAAAAGTGAAAGATTCCCAAAAGACAATCAAAAAATGAAAAATTTAACTTTTCCTAAACCCATAAATTCTTCTCTGCTAAAGCATGGGAACATACTCTTATTCAGGGAAGATAACCACGCCTTGATTGTAAGATTCAACTGTTAATATGAGATTAAGCAGTTTTCGAGAATTGTGATAAAATTTCTTTAAAAAACGGTTAAAGTGCAAAAAATGGATTTTCCCGAAGTGCATCTAGTTTTTTCTATAAAAAAAATAAGGAGAAACAGATCACGCAGGGAAAATCTAAACGCCAAAATAATTTAAATGAACTATCAACCTCAGAATTAGCAGCTTATCAACCTCAGAATTAGCAGCTATCAACCTCAGAATTTGAAGAAAAGAAGTTACCAAAAAACGGTCAAATTTCAAAAATTGGACCTTGTTTCAGGACACATATATATTTTTCAAAATGCAGGACATGGCCGCTTGCTCCGGACAGATTTCTATAATTTTTTCTCTTTCGGTTAAACCCTCAATCTCTGACTTGGCAGGTTAATTTCAGAAGTTTTGAAAATTAACTAAAGTGTAAAAAAAAATCAGCTTGTTTGAGGCCATATTTTTTTTCTACCAAAATTAGGAAATAACCACTTGAGAAGAGGGAGATCCCCATGATTTTTTCTTTTGACTAAAACCTTCATCTCTGATTAGTGCATTTAATATTTGAGAAAATGAAAAAATTCAAAGCAAATAGGTCAAAAATCGGCCTACTAAAACTTTCGAAGGCCTTAGACCGTAGGGTCAAATGAAAAGAGACTAGCGAATTATGCAGGCACATGAAAAAGCAGTCGGTTTGTCAATTGGTACAACTTTTGGACAAAATCCTTGCAGCGCTTCGCAAACACTACTGAGAACATGACAAACAGCAGCGCTATAAAGAGCGATGAGAAAAAGTCTCAAATTCAAACCTACGACCAACTGCCAGCTGGAATACAAGAGCTTCACGCACTAATCACTCAGCCACGGCCGCTTAATTAATGACAAACACTAGTCATAGTCACAAATAAAGCAGAGAACAGATGCTATCCAAATTCCAAGGCTACAGTGCAACTTCCAGATACGTGAACACTTTCAGTGAACACTTTTAATTGCGAGTTAGGTTAGAAAAAAGAAGGGCCCTTGAAATACACTAAGGCTCGCAAGCTCGCTAGTGAAAAAAAAGGCTGGGTAATTTTTGAGGAAAAATGAAATTTCTGCGAAACGAGCGAAAAATTTCCAAAAGCATTGCAAAAAAAAAACAAAAAATCCAATTTTCTTAATAGCTTTTTTTTCTAACAGACTTAAAACTAGCCAAAAACAAAACAACAACACATGCATCTGAACTATCTATGCTTAAATAAGCTTAAAAACCATTAAATTGAAATATACTAACTTTTATTTGCGACTAGATTAGAAAAAAAATCTTCGTAAAAATACACTACGCTTTGCTACACTACCTTATTTAAGAAAACTGGATCAAAGGTAAAACTTTTATTTCGCTGGGAAATTCGATTATAAAACTCCAGATCCGAAAATAGAAGTCGATCACTTTTTCGTGATCGTAAGATTTTGGCTGTTCGATAGTGGAACTTACTTTCCTTTTAACAAAGAAAATGAACTGAATATAAAAAGAAATCAAAGTCAAACCGCGAAAAAGTACATTTGCGTCTGAACAATTTTTAAGACCTTCCCTGAAAAAAAGGATAAAGAAAACCATCACGACATATTTCAGAGCCTAAATTACGTTCAGCGACTCTAAAAATGGCCCTAAAGCTCTTTGAAATTGAAATCGCGAAATATTGATAGCCAAAACGAAAAAATAAATGAAATTTGAGCATGAGCGGTTTTTATGACTTTTCTTAGCAAGAACAAAGCCTAATAAGGAAATAAATCATTCCGCTCATTAACATTCAAAAACATAAGGAAAACTCCGACCCGGTCAAAAAATCAAATTTCCTCATTCGAAAGGAAAGGTCACGCTCGACCTATAAACTTCTATGCTCTAAGTTCTCTAATTAGGGAAAAAATTGAAGTCCAATCTCTTCGTCATCGATTGTTCTTCAATGTTGGCTTTCATGGACATACCGCGATGAAAACTGTTTAGTGAACCTTTGCAAGAATCGCGCTAAGTTGGTTGGAATAGGTGGCCTTTTATAGCACCGGAGTCGCTTGTGAAAGAATCAATGCTATTTGATTCAATGAGAGGGAACTACAAAAAAAAACATGGCCAAAAGACAGTTGGAAAAGTGTCGATGAACTCAAGTAGTTCGAAAAAGAAGACTGTTTTCGTTTACGAAAACTTTCAAAATTCCAGTAAGAACAAAACATTTATCTCTTCGAAGCACTTTCTTTGAAGAAAACGGGATCGAACGGGAAAAAGTCTTTCACCTTTTTTTTCAACATTTCAACTACTTCCACGCTTTCCTCATAATGTCACATGAACTTCACAAGAATCATATGTCAGACCCACTAACATAGCCGACAATCAGTTGGAAAAGTGTAGAAAAAAAGGAAACCAAAAAATTGATTGACAATTTTTGAATATTTTTCAAGTTACGAAAAAAGAAATACATCATTTATTTGAATTTCAAATACTGTTTATGAGTGGTACTTTTTGAAGCAAGAAGTCATTCACATTTTTCGTGAGCTTTTTACTTTAAATGTTCAAAAGTGGAGTTTGCCTTCCTTTTAACAATGGAAATGAGCCGAACTTAAAAAGATATCAAAAGTCAATCCGCGAAAAATTAAACTTAAGAGCGGACAGACTTTTAAAGTTTTTCCTGAAAAAAAAACATCAAGACCTTTAATAAAGAAATCGCTTCGTTCTCTTACAAATGAAAAACGCTGAGCGCCAACGCTATCAATACGAGACGCAAATGAGTGTCTTTAATCCGTTCGTTGACCCTCAACCAGGTCACTATCGTCCACTATTGATCTGACGAATGCTGGTCTGTTCTGTTCTCTCATAAAAAAAAACGTTTTAATCCCCAACACCTACTTTGTCTTTGCATTGAGTGATGATGTCTGCGTTGAAGTGTGGCAGCTGTTTGAGGTATGGGTCTCTGTTCCAAATGGCCTGAGTCACCATCTGTGCCAGCTCCATGGCCGCCAACGCCGGAGACAGGTAACCACTCGAACTCAACACGTCAACACAGGCCTAAACAGAATTCCATCTTTTCTATTGGAATTCTTTTTTTTCAAACTAAAAGTACATTTGATTTCTTTTCGGATTATCCTGTTTGAACAAGGATAAACTCGCTCTATACCTCTGCACAGATAACAAAAATCCAGATATTTGCTCTAAGTCCTTTGCAAAATAAGATTTTGCTTTAAGAAAGCCTTTGCAAAAGTTTTTGCTTCTAGATGGACAAAGCATATTTTTCATCTAGCAGCTCAGATTCTTCCAATTTGATATTTGAATTATTGAAGTTCACTCTGATTTCGCAAATAAATTCATGGAAATTGATTATTGAAGAAAAATTCATCCCTTCGAGCAAGTACCATCTAATCTTCAACTGATCTATCCATAATATCTTTCTTGCATTTGAAATTTTCGCAGGTCAAACTCGCAATAAATCTTGCGGAACCAGCACAGAAAAATGCAACGAACTCACACAAACAGACTCTAAAGACATTGTCATGGCTTCACGTTTGATAAAAATTTCCGAAGTCCTTTTGTTGCTCTTCAGTGAACCTTATAGAAAATCAATCAAATGGATGGGAACACCTATTTTCAAGACAAGCGTTCTTTGTGTAAACTGGAACGTACAAAATCAATTGTTCAACTGACATTGAATTTTGGCGGATTTTCAAAATTTTGAGTTCAACTTCACTTTCGCAATTTACTATGTCATTTCATTGGAGCTATTCATGATTCCGCAAACACACAAGAAAACTGTTGAAATAAAATATAAAAAATTGAACAGTCAAATCAAATTCTCGTTAGGTTAGGATTGGTAAAGTGATTTATCACGAAATAACTAAAAGTCTGAAACAATTAGGGAATATTTCAAGTGTGGAAATGAAATTTAAAAACTTCCTTAACTTCAAGTTTTGCTTATTAACTGCTTTTTACTCTATTTTAGGCTCTATAAAAATCTTTTCGTACAATAACAAACAGTGATGGCTAAACTATCGATAGGATTATTTCAACGAGCTTTTTCTGTTGTACGGCCATTATCTACACATTAAATGTACTGTTCTATTTGAATTTAATTTTGGAGATTTCTTTTCGCAGTAATTAGTTTCAACATATCAGATTCAAGTATTATGATTCAGATTTCAAAGTCTCAAAAAACCAATTAGGGGAGTGTAAAAGAAACAACATATTTCATCAATCGGTAACTGCAGTTCGCTGATCATACCTGAATGAGTCTGATGGAGTGTGTTAGAATGTCGTTGGTATCTGCCTGCAGTTCTGGACTCAGTTGAATCCTAGACAGATGAGCTTGGAGGAGAAGTGAGGCTTTCACGTGTGGGTCTGCAAATTTCACCGACTTATCTGGCTTGTAGGGAATGTGTTGTATCAACTAAAACCAGACAAAAATATGTAATACAAATTGTTTCCAGAGGTATTGGTCACTTTTGCGTATTCCGTGTATCTTTCTTTTAAATATTTTTTACACAGAGGCGAAGCGAGAAAACGAAAAAAAGCTCTATAACGTGCAATAATAAAAATTATAAATGAGCCTCGAATAAGCAAAAAAAAATTCGGCTACATCTGAGATTTGAAACTGAGACCTAGAGATTAAAAGTCTCACACACTAACCACTCAACCACGGAAGCTTAATACACGCCAAACACTAGCCACAATAAAATCAGAGAACAGATGCTATGCAATTTCGAAATAAGCGAGTTAGGTTAGAAAAAAAAGAAGGTTCGTAATAACACACTAAACTGATCGCAAAAGTAAAGATATCAGCCTGAAATCAAGAGCAGTTATAGCTGAAACAGCAGGTTCAGCTCAGCTTTTCGGCATTAATGTATAAAAACTTGGTCAAAACTATTTTCAAAACTCTTTCCAAATCAAAATTAAAATTCGATTCAATCAACAATAGTCTTCGTGATAGCTGATCATTTTTGTTGATGAGCTTAAAGTGGGTAAGAACTTAGTGTTTGTCTGAATTCATTTAAAAAACTGTAATCCACTCAAAATCAGGCACCAAAAATAACACAGAAGCTGGAGTTCGCAAACATAAGCAAAAAGAAACACCCAAGAAGTAGCTTAAAAAGTAAAAACAATTCTTAAAATGACCATTTATATATTCAGAAATTCTCCTCTCTTCCAAACGTGACACCGCAATACATTTACATGTCACAGCGTGTTTTTTTGCAGAATGCATTACGTGAGTTTTCATTCCGGACAATCTCTGATTCAAAATACGCAATAAGTAAGCCCAGACAAACTAGCGATTATACAGTATGACATGTATATTATTTGAGACGTCAACATTTTCTGATATGTACCTGTCGTAATAAATTGTCCTCCTTGTGTCTGATAGGAATGACATCGAACTCTGCCGCATTGCAGATGATGTCGATGAGGCCCTTCACTTTGGTCTTGTTCGTCAGACTCATGCTGAACAGTTCTATGGTGGTGTAGTTTATGTAGTAGTAGGCTGCTATCATGCCCAGATTGAGGGGGGTGACGTCCATCCCACCCACTATGTCAATACACTACACACAACAATCCATTATGTAATAACAGCCCATTATGCAATGAAGGTATGTTTATGGCGACAGGATACTTAGCTCTATTCCAATTCAGTCTATGTTCTGTGCCATCTTCATATGCGTTCATATTTACCCTCTGCCAATTTTACTCTGAACTTATCCTATACATCGTATGTTGATTTACAAGAAGTTAATTTCAATTAGCAACAACTGTTTAGATAATTCACTGCCCGTGCCTCCTCCAGCTAACAAACAGTCATCACTTACTGTCAAAGGGTGATTTCGCCAAATAGTTTTTTGGCTATAGTTTCAATCTATTTTGCAGTTACAATAAGGCGATGGATGGGTTCCGTGAATTGAACATAACCAGCCTTTGTGTTATTATTAGTTGAGAGCGAAAACACTTATTAGAACCCATTAGGACGGGATTGCTAACTAGGTCCAATTTAATTTCAAGAACCACAAGCAAACAAAGCACACAATATGAAGTTTAATCAGTTTCAACAAATCGAATGTCAAATGGTAGTGAAGATAAGGCTCAATATCTTTTCCATCCAACTAGCCTACGTTTATTGTTCGAAATCAAATCAATTTTTCAAAGCTTTTATTTCCATATTCATACATAAATTGTAGTTTTATTTTCAACTATCATTTAATTAAATTTACTTAACTTCTAAGGACTTTTTGATTTTAAGCGTCGAGAATTAATCGAAAGAACTTTTTGTTCAACAAAAAAATTGCACAGGATGAAGTTAAATATACCATACACTTTGAAAATTAGCAAGCAGAATCATTGATACTCTTGTTACCTTAGACTGTTGGAGGTCACTGAGGGTCGTCTCCACCAATTCTGACATATGTTCCGACAGATGTCGATGGGTCGTACCTAGAGGCAACAAAACAACAATTTTAAATAATAAGCAACTAATCTGACACATCGAACTAAGCTGAGGGTTCAAAAACCGGATAAAAATTTACTTATACGCGCAATACCTCACCTAAGCCTTTATTGGCGTCTATGATGCCTTCTGAAAAACTTTCGTATTGGTCATAAAATGGATACGCTACTAGGGTCGAGAAAATGAATGCAAAGGTTAGCCTCCCAGCAAATTGTGCCTCCCTACTCCGCCATTGGCTTTACACGAATTTCTATCATCTTCACATTGAAACATAGCCAACAGAGTTGAAAAGTGTCCATGAACGCCAGTAAACAGAAAAAAACTACTGACTTGTTTTTTTTGAAAAATTTCATTTTCGAATAATTTCCAAGAAAAAATATATTCTTTACAGCTCTTTGAATTTCTGGAACAACTTATGATTGACATTTTTTTGATAAAACTAACCAAATGTGAAAAAACTGGATAATTATATATAAAAAAAAAATCGCCAGGAAATCTAATAATTAAATTTCATTTTCGAAGTACGAAGTCGATCAAGTTTTAGTGATCTTTACACTTTCGCTGTTCGATAGTCGAGTTTGCCTTCCTTTTAACAAAGAAAATGAACCTGAACTTAAAAAACAAAAAAAAAAAATCATCACGACCTACATAAGAGTCTGAACTACAATCGTCGACACTTAAAAACAGCCTAAGTAAATAATTCACAGTTTGGCCAATACTATCAAACAAGAGAACATTTTGGTTCAAAATACCTTGCAAGTTGTAGTAGTTGGGATTTTGAGTCATCCTCCTGTATATGAATGTCCACGTCAAATAATCAACAGCATCCTGTTTATTCTCAATAGTCTTCGTCACAACCTTAAAAAAATAAGAATCAAATTAATTCAAATTCTCTCCGTTCATGAATTGAAAATTGACAAGTTTCTAATTTTGTTCTGCCCACTCCCAAGATTGGGATGGCACTAAGCCCAGCGTGGATATTTTTACTCGATTAACTCAAAAAGATTGGGAATTGAAAATGGTATCTATCATATTGAAACAATATCAGATTTGATGAGAATCAAACCATTGAACTCCTTGTATCAAAGACACGTCATGATTATTGTTGTGACATCTGGAAGTGGGAGACATGGATAAGCGTTAATAAAATGAAGAAGCGCAGACAAAACTGCTAATTTTTCAATTTTTTTTTGAACTAACATGATTGACAAAATTTCATTCACACAAACATAGCCAACAGAGTTGAAAAAGCGTAGCGTCTATGAATGCAAGGGAAAAAGTGATTTAATTGATGAAAAAACTTCAATTTTAGAAATTTAAAGTTAAAAATATATGGGCTTAAAGCTCTCTGAATTTCAAGAACTATATCATCGACACTTTTTCGAGAAAACTAAAACTAAATTGAAGAAAATTGGATCTATAGCTAAAGTTTGTATTCCGCTGGTAGATCTGAAAAAAAAACTTACGAAAGTAGATGTTGATCACGTTTTTCGTGACCTTTTCGCTTTCGTAATCGGACACGGCAATTTGTCTACTTTTTAGCAAACGAAATGGAATTGAACTCAAAAAGTGCAGATATACCTAAGTGTATTTGTAAATGCATTGTTCATTTGTGAATGCATTAGCAAGTATGAATTTATTTCTGCAGTGCTTGGAGCATTTTAAGACTTTCCTGAAAAAAAATCATGACGGCTTATAAAAGAGTCTTCAATACGTTCATCGAATCTTAATAACCCCTTTTGAGAAAATGGAATACTGGGTAAGTACTCTAGCATCTCTAGAAATTACATTCACACTTTTGAAACTAAAATCTAAGCGTCAATTTCCTTGCCACATAGCAGACCAATTTTTATGTCAATTGAATTCACATGGGCATGTTTATCTAGAAGTCACGTGAGCTGAATGCTTTACTTAATTTTCGAAGCTTACATCACAGGACTTTTTCGAGCTCCAGTCCAGTACAATGGCGAAAATGGAGTCTCAAGAAACTGAAAAGATCCCTAACTTAAACTTTAATGCTTTAAGGTTTAATAAAGTGATTGTTTCGGTTTAACAAAGCATCAAATAAGTTCTCGTGTGAGCCAGGTATGTTAATTAAGTTTGAAAAAACTCTTGTTCGTCTTTTATCTAGGTAATGAACTGCTGTCTGTCTACACTTTAGCCCTCGATTTCATAATTTCTATCTATAAGGACCCAAGGAGAGCACAATTTAAGCAAAATGTTATTTATTCTGCACGTTTTTTTTTCGAAATATATATATTTTTAAAATAGGGTCTGTTTAGTGGTTTTATTTTTCGATCTTTAGTACAAAAATACGCGCTTTTCCCTTCTTATTGCTTAATATGGCATATGCAAAATAATTTTGTTTACCTAAAACCAAGTAAAACAGCAAAACAGAAAAGAATTCTAAAATTCAATAAAACGAAAATAAGACAACGAAAACAAGACTTGAAAACACTCCACACTGGCGGTGGGGGTTCGAGCCCTCAATTCACCGGGCCCAACTCGAACACCACAGCACTGACTACTAACAACTAACTCTTCCACGCATGCTTTAACATTAAATATCAGGCAGCAATGAATGTGATTTAACTGCCGAGTCTAACTTATGCGTCATACATAAAGCGTTCAATTGGAAAACATATCCAGTAGACAGCTGAAAAAAGTCAACAAACTCAAGGAAACAAAAAACCGATCTTGTTCCTTCAACACATAAGCAGCAGACAGTTGGAAAAGAGTCAATGAACGCATGGAAACGAACAAAAATACTGGCTTTTGAAGAAAAATACTGACTAATACTTTTCAAATACTTAGAACAAAAAAAACGTAAGCTATCGAATTTAAAAAACACACGCAAGCAAGTACATGAAAATGTAAAGAACAAATCATGATTGCCACTTTTTTACACAGAAGTGAAGCTTCGCAAACATTAGCAAAAACACGACGGAAAGCAGCTCTATAAAAAGCAAGAAAAATGAGAAATAAGCCTCGAATTAGTAAAAGAAAAAAAAATCGGCTACAAATGATATTCGAATCAGCGACCTATAGATTAAGAGTCTCACACACTAACCACGGAAGCTTCATTGGTCCAAAACACTAACCACATATAAAGCACAGAACAGATGCTAGGCAATTTCCAATGTTACAGTGAAATTTCCAAACAAGTGAACACTTTTAATGAACACTTTTATTTGCGAGTTAGCTTAGAAAAAAAGGTTCGTAATAATACACTAAGCTGATCAATTGTAGTGACATTAAATTGCTGAACTATGAAATGTCACGCCATGATTTCTCATCTTGTTATCTAAACTTATTGATATTTGTATACCTTAGTAAAGATCACTAACTTTGTGAGCAACCACCAAGACCGGTTGCCACCTTATTATATATCAAATTTAACTTGTGAAATGGCATTTGAACAAAAAGAGTTCAGAGCTAAAAGCTTTGTTACACTAGTGTAGACAAACATGAAAAGGATTTTAAAAAAAAATTCAAACCGCGACAATTAAATTAAAGCGTGAACAAATTTTAAGACCTATAAAAAGTCTTCACTGCGTTCATTCACTCTTAGAAACTTTAGCATTTGATTTTCAAATAAAAAATATACGCGCTTAGAGCTCCTCGAAAGCAAGAACAATTTAGTTTAGACACTTTTTTTTATAAACTTAACCCAATTTGAAAAAATTGGATCAAAGGGCAAAATTTCTATTCCGTTGGTATTTTGAAAAGTAAAATCCGCTTTTGTATCAAGATGTCGACCATGTTTCTCGTTAACTTAGACCTTTTGCTGTTCTACAAGTTTGCCTTGGTTTTAAAGGAAATGATTTGAACTTCATTACGGTCGTTGACACTTTAAAACTTCATTACTTTATAAGTCAAATTCCGATGTTAAACAAATGGTTCTATTTCCAGTTAAGTTTAAGGTAATTCACCAGTGCTTCGAGTTAGAATTTATCAAAGACAGTGAATAATTATTATGGCATACAATACTCGAATGAGTGATCATTGAGATAACTGAACTTAGCGAGTTTCTTGATTTATAAGAAAAGCTAACAACCGATTGCTGCTGCCTTCTTCTTTGACTTAACCAAAAACGCTCTTAGAAAAATAAACATGATAGCTAAGCACTGATGTTCAGGTTATAAAATTCACACCGAGGCGAAGCTGCGGTTCACAAACACATGCGAGAACACGACCAAAAAGCAGCTCTATCAAGTGAAATAAGCTTCGAATTAGCAAAAACTCGCCTACGTATAAGATTCGAATCTGCGACCTACTGCAATCAAGAGATTTTTAGTCTCTCGCACTATCCACTCAGCCACGCTAGCTTAACAACCGACAAACACTATTCACGAATGAAGCAACTACATATACTAATAACTTGCCATTGCCATTCAGCAAAAGTGGCGCCAAATACAAATAGATTCAATTTTGCATGTAATAATTTGGAATATAACAAACAGAAGGCATCCACACTAACTTTGCATGTAACTAATCGAAAAGCATAAAAACACATTATGTATAAATTATGCAGTTCAAAAAAATTGCGAGATACATTGAGTTAGAAAATTTCTTAATCGAGTTTTCATTATTGTTATGTTGTTTGAAACAAATATTTTTTTTTGGTTCATTTGATGCATTCAAAATACATCAACTGTGTTAACTTATTACTTTTCGAATGTCAAAGCACATGCTGTCAAAAAGCTGAAAAAGTGCTTTAAATGTGGCACCAATATTTGCGACTTAGGTTGAAAAGAAAGAAGGTTCGTACTAATACACTCGCTTCGCAAGTATAAACATAGAAAAATTTTGCACATTTCGAACGGTCGAAATATTGCTAGCAATAAGAAAAAAAATCAAATCAATTCTACACGCAAAGAACGATTGATAAGTAGTTAAGTCATTATTTTCTGCTACGGTTTTCAATTTTGTAATATTTCAACCCAGTGGTTTATAAACCAGCCAAGCATAAGCCAGCTTCCATATGCTTCACATACTCTGCACAGTTTCGGCTGGTTTCTACTTGGGCTGGTTTGTTCACCTTCTCCTGAATCAATAAAATTAGTTTTTTAATAGAATAAAAAGGATCTTTGATCTTTCAGATGGGCACGAGCTACTATTTAACAGATCGATTCTAACTCAACAGACTTCATAACACAGATGTAGATGACAATTGAATTATGCTATTCATCAAATAGAGTCCTTAGCCTCCAAGCTGAACCGGATAAACACTCCCGATTTCGTTAATCATAATTGTTATTCTTGGCAAGCTAATACAAGAAAGCGAATTCAAAATTGTTTGTTATGCATGATTCCTTAAGCAAGATATGTTAAAAAATCAGTTTGACTGATATATTTAAACTCCGGATTATGATTTCAATTAACTCAACTTAAAAAAAGCTGCATACTTTCTATGCACAAATTTATTAAGTTTATTAAATTTCACAAAGGTAATACTAGCACTTCCGATACAACAAAAACAATGCGTTACAAGATCTTAAATAGGAAAAGGGAATTTTTATGAAAAATTAAGTTAAAAAATTACTTAGAGAAGTAAAAAAAATAGACTTACAAAAATTTCACACAGAGGCGCAGCTACGCTTCTCAAACACTTGCGAGAACATGACCAAAAAGCAGCTCTATCAAGTGAAAAAAAAAGTAGAAATAGGCCTCGAATTATCAAAAACCCGGCTACGTGTCGGATTCGAATCTGCGACCTAGCAAATTTGAGTCTCACGCACTAAACACTCAGCCATGGATGCTTCAAATCCCAAAAACTAGCCACCAATAACGCAGCTACATATGGTAATAAATTGCCAATTCGATGCAGCAAAAGTAACACCAAATACAAAAAGACACAAATTTGCATGTAATAAATTGGAAAGCATAAAGCCAAATTATGTATAAATTATGCATCTCAAAAAAATTGCGAGTTAAATTGAGTTGAAAAATTTCTGAAATCGAGCTTTTTATTATTGTACTGCTGTTTGAAACATATTTTTTTCGGTTCATTTGATGAATTAAACTTGCATCAGCTGTGTTAACTTTTTATTTATCAAGTGTCAAAGCACATATGATATTAAACTGCTACCGCAGCCTACCACTTCAACAGTGCCACCAAAAATAGCACTTTTATTTGCCACTTAGGTTGGAAAAAAAGTTCGTACTAAAACATTTGGCTTCGCAAGTGTAATTACCGAGCGGCAACTAAGGCTACAATTTTTGGGTCGACCCCTGTTGAACCGAAAACAAAACTTATGAAAATTATAGAGCTATAAAAATATTTTGCCCTCAAAACTGCGCATTATAAGTTGACATAGGTGACATAATATAGGCCAAAGCCGTTTAATCCAAAAAAAAAATTATAGAACTTTCTGTTGTAGTAAATTTGTTCAAATCAATAAATAACTCATGCTTCAGAAATTACCAGATAGTATAAATGTCATTTCAAAAATAACGGAAAATGAACCGACAGAAACTAGGAAGAAAACCACGAATCCGAGAAACATTCTTCGAGAAAACTATTTGAAAAAATAATTACTGTCAGAAATGAACTTTAGCGAATTACTACCAAGCCTACATGATGGTAGTTTTGTTAAAATTTTCGAGAAATTGAGCATGTCAGCAGTATTAAAATTCTGTGAACAAAGTTGTTTACGGGAAAAAAAGCCAAGTACCCGGTAGCATTATCCTTGCCGATTACAAGGGCAATGAATAACTAACCTCTGCGTTGAAGTGATCATGTAAATTCTGGTCCAAATGGGACTCAATAGGCAGTGGCTCATAGAGGAACTTCTTGTAGAAGTCCTTCTTGCTGTTCTGACACAGCAACATACAAATGCCCTCATTGTCGTGCTTCGGCCTGTTTAAAAATAAAACAGTTTTTAAAAAGAACGTTGTACCCCTTTCTACTGAAAAAGTTAGTAAATTTCGTCAAGTAAATCAATTCAGTATCAATTTTCATTAAATCAGTGTCAAAACCCTCGCCTGTTAGCTCTTCCGAGCATGTGTAATACATCTGTGATTGGGTAGTCCACGTATGAGTGTACTTGTCCATTGTAGTATTGGGTGTCGATTATGACCACTAAATGGGCGTGGGCTGTCAGAGACCAGCAGAGACTGCGAGAGGCCACGATGATCTATCAAAAAAAATAGTCACGCTTATCACGATCCTCGTTGTCTTTTGTTAAACTTGAAATTGACACCTATACGAAGCAACATGTTCTGATAATTTCAGTTCATTCCATTCTGATCGCTAATTAAATTTCACTGTGCTGTTATCCAAAACTAAGGATGATCCTTTCCCATGTTCTCTCATAGTTTATTCTCTCAACATTAGTTCTTGACAGTATTATTTGTAATCTTCTCTGCTTCAAAAAGAAGAACCTGAATGTAACTGACCTGCACAGCTCCAGCGTCGAACAGTTGCTGGACGATGGAGAGATCCTTCTTGGACAGTCCCTCGTGAGTGAATGCCACTCCTGAAGAGAGAGTCTCTCTTAGTGTCTCATCTTCTACCATGTCCACGTACTGCTTCAGGTCACTCTCCGAACAGTGCAGGAACCTGGAAAAAAACATACATTTACTCAGAATTTTTTCCACCAACCATCCTCGTCACTAAAAATTCTCCATTGCGTGACATAGCGACTCAAAGTATGAAACGAACCTAGCCAACAGTCATTTGGAAAAAAAAGTCAAGGATCGCAAGGAAATAGAAAAAACACTGACTTTTTTAAAATAAACTTACGAATTTCAAAGAAAACATTAAATGGCCTTGCAGCTCTTTGATTTTCGAGAACAATTTATTGAGTTTCTCGTGACCTTTACACTTTTGCTGTTCGGTAGTCGAGTTTACCTGCAACAAATTAGAGCCTTGAAAAAATCACCAAGACCAATAACAGAGTATTCGCTACGTTCATGACTCTTAAAAATATAGTATTTAGAATGGTTGATTTATTCAGCATGTCAAATAGGTTTGGATTGTACCAAAGCTGAATACATTTTCAATCGGTTTGGTATATCAAAAAAGATAACAGAAATCTTATCAATCAATTTAAAAAAAAAACATTTCGATATTACAAATGCAAACACAGCAAAATTCACCTTTTTGGACTGAGCTCAGCCGCACAATATGTCAGCAAGTCGATCGCCGTTATTTTTGTCTGTTTGCGTGATGGCACAAACACCAGAACTGGCTTCCTGGGTGAGTGCTTTATGATTGCATTGTAGGCTGGCTTGGACATTGCCAGTAGTCTGGATGCATTGTGGCTGATGTTGAAACCCTATCAAAAATTAAATGATTAGAATATATTTGGACCAATGAATTTTTTAGTATAACTTTTTAGTTTTAGATCATAATTTAACAACCATGTGTTAAACGTACCTGAATATGCAACTCTAATGGTAGAGGTCTGACATTAGGATGGAAGTTGAAGATTCCGTTGTTGGGACAGCCGAGCCACTGTGCCACATCCCTGGCATTCGCAATAGATGAAGCTAAGCCCACGATACGGATTGGCTTCTCCAAATGAGATGCCATATTGTGCATACGTGAGCAGATTACCTGAAAAGTTACTAAATTACGCTTACGATTAACACGTATTCATAAGAATGCATACGCTTTTCTGAAATCTAGAAATCTAAAGCACATAATAAAAACTCCGATTAATCAAGTAGCACAGAATGTTCCGACTATTTAAAAAAAAACTATTAAGTTGTTTTATAAATTACGTCGTCTTTTTGTTTTGGTGTGATGAGAGAATCTTAAAGAAAGACTTAAAATTCGATAGTAAATAAAACCATAGAATAAAATCGATATTAAATTCAACGTAAATTCAATTAAATAAAAAAAGCAGCTACATATGCTAACAAAATGCGATGCGATGCAGCAAAAAAGGCACCAATTACAAACAGCCACAATTTTGCTTGTAGAATATAACAAACTGAAGGCCTCCACAACAATTTCGCATGTAATAAAATGAAAAGCTTGAAGAAAAATTATGGATAAATTAATCTTTTCAAAAAAATGCGAGATAAATTGAATTACAAATTTCGAAAATTAAGTTTTTTTAAACTGTTTTTTTTGTTTGAAACAAATACCTTTTTCCGGTTCATTTATTCATTTGACGAATTAAAAATTCATAAAGTGTGTTGACGTATTACTAATCGAATATGAAAGCAAATGCTATCCAAAAGCCGTCAAGGTGCCTCAAAAGTGGCACTAATATTTGCTACTTAGATTGTAGAAAATAATAGTCGTACTATTACACTACGCTCGCCAAAGTTTAACCATTACACAGAGGCGAAGTTGCACTTCGCATACACAAGCAAAAATATGACCGATAACGCAACTGAGAAAACCTGAAAACTGAATGAGTTAAACTTTGAGTCTACAAAACTTCTCTAGTGACGCACGCCAATTATTACGCATTAGCAGTCAATTTGAAAAAAAATTTACCAACTAACATACCTCAATTTATAGAGCGGACGCATTTCAACAAGTATACGAAAAATTTCATTAAAAACATCCGACCCTGTTAAGGTTCGAACCCTCTTGTTTTGCTGCAGGCCTCCTTCCCTACCTCTATGCTACAGATCCATGATTCCTTGAGGCTAAAGTGATATTTGTAATATAATATTCTGTGCTAATATCCTTAGCATTGGCTGTACTTAATAGCTGGATCAAAATGAACACTTTCAAAATGAACACATATTTGTCGCAACAATTGCATCGCAACAATATTTGCGACTTAGCTTGCAAAAAAAGTTCATACTATAACACAAGTTATGCTTGTGTAATAAACCTGCACACTCGCTTTATTCGATTCAAATTATACGAAAAATGAAAAAATTCAAACCGGTTTTTCTCGAAACTGGGAATTTTTTGTTGAAAAGGGCTTTATTTAATATATCATTCGATCCACTCTGAAAATTATTTGTGGCACCTGATTTTACGTGGAAATTAAATTAGAAAAAACTAGAAACCCCAAATACAAAGCCCCCCCCCCCCCCCCCCCTCCTCAGTAGCTTAAATATAAACTTGCAAACAACGAAACCGAAAAATGTTATCAGAACCAGGGGCGGATCTAAGATTTTCAAAAAATAATTGTCGGCCTGACAAAAAAAAATTATGTGTTACATAAATTTGACAAACTTAAAAACGATTCAGGAGCAAAACAAACACAACCAAATGTTCGAATTGAAATAAAACAATTAGACTGACTTTATGCTATTGTGCCTTTTTGGCACTTTTTTCCCCCGCCTCTTTCTCTTACCTCCATCACTGGTCCCTCCTCTCCTCCCAGCAGATGCAACTCGGTGCATATGAACAGGTTCACATTCTGCACACTCTTCCTTTGTTTCCACCGGCGTGAAATGATGTCCCAGTTCTGAGGGGTTGACAGGACTACGTTTCCCTTCGCGAGTAGTTTCAAGTCCACTGCTGTTTCGCCTGTCATCGTCACCACTTTCTTGCCCAGTTTGTTGCCGAACGTTTCACTCCACTCCTCGTATTTCTAAACCAAACAATATTAACATGTTGATAAAAGATAGAGCAAAATGTTCTGACTAATGTTGACGTCGAAAAAAAATATAAAACCCCCACCCCAGGAGCAAAAAATATGTAGCTTAAAATGTAAATACCACACTATGCTTTCGAGCCGCTGGCCAATGATTCGCTTGTGGTCTGCCTACAAAGGCGAAAAGCCCTCCTTGAAAGGATTAAGAGCCACCAATGAACAGGGCAAGACACAATTATTTGTGCCGTCGCCATCTGTTTGTACAAATCTACTAAATAACAAATCTCTCACCTGTTGCACTAGTGAGTCATAGGGTGTAATGTAGACTGCCTTTGCAGAGTCTGGATCTGGGTGGTGGTTGAACAATCTCATCATAGCGAACTCAGCCACCACTCCTTTGCCACTGCCACATGGGGCACCCACAAACACATTGTCATCCGCGTTGTACACTTGGTTGAACACTAGAATGGGGGCAATTTTAGACACCGAGGCGAAGCGGAGCTTCGCAACACTTGCGACGCAAAGAAAACACATTGCGCTACAACGTAGTGAATGAAAAAAAGACAGAAACAAAAAAGAAAAAATTTCAGAAAAATTATGTTAGAAAAAATTACTTGACAAAAGTTGAAAAATTACAGCTACAAAAACTTCATATTGGTATCGGATGAAGTTCATAAACAGCCCTCAATAAATGGAAATCATTTACCGAGCGACAACAAAGGCGAAAAACTTTGGGTCCAAACCTGTCGAGCCGAAAAAAAAACTGTTGTCATAAAAAATTTCATAAAATTTTAAACTTTTTACGGCCCATCCGAACTGAAACTTATAATCCCAAAAAGATATAATTTGCTCTCGAAAGTACGCAAAATAAGTTGACTAAGTCGATACAACATAATTGAAACTGTTTGAATATTAAAAAAAAAAACGAAAAAAAATGAACAAAAAACCAAACAAAATCAGATATGGTAAATTAACAAATTTGTGAAGTTCCAGTTATAGTAAAAAAGTATTTTTTATTAACCAATAAATTTCAATAACAAACCCCAAGTGACCTTTTGAAAATATAACTAGTTTAGAAGTTAGACCAATATTGAACTTTATAGAACACTGTTTAACTGCTAACACTCTCGCTTTACCAGTATTCCCATAGATCTATTGAGATGAGGCAATAAGAACAGGACTAAGATCAGTCACGAACATATCCGGTTGACAAACAGACTGTGCACTCAATCTGAAAATACTCTGAGATGGAACCTCGCTCAATCTCAAAAAGAAGAGAAAAAAATAAACGAAATTTCGTTCAAAAAAGTAGGTAAAAAAATTTGCTGAAACTAATGGAGATATTTACGAGTTTCGAGAAAACAAACATATCACGTTTGCACTCTTTGATTTTCGAGACATGTACAGATTTTTCGTAGGTGTTTTTCGGTGTTCAATAGTGGAGTTTGCTTTCTCTCAATTAAGTAGAAGACCTGAACTTGAAAACAAATAAAAAGTAAAGCAGCCAACAATCGAAATTCAATGTGAACAAATTCGTGAAAAAAAAAATAATCACGACCTTTATAAGATAAGTGTCTTCACAACGAGCATTGACGCTTATGGACATTAGACAAAACTGCTGAACAAAAACATAGCCAACAGACAGATGGAAAATCTGATAAAAATGGCCCAAATTGAGAAAACTGAATATTGAATAAGGTAAAATTTATAATTCGCTGGGAAATCTGATAATTTAACTTCATTTTCGAAGTTAGAAATCGTGCACATTTTTTGTGCTCTTTTCAATTTTGCTGTTCGCTTGCCGAACGTGCCGTCCTTTAACAAAGGAAATGAACTGAACTTAAAAGAAATTTAAAGTCAGAAGGCGAAATAGTAAATTTGAGAGTGAACAAATTCAATGACTTCTTCCACTGTCATTACGACGTATAAAAGAATCTGAACTACATTCATCGACTCTCAATTAATCTTTCTTGCAAAAAAAAACAGAGAACAAAAGAAGTTTTAAAAAATGGAAACGGAAAGAATAAAAAAAAAGGTAGAGAATAGGGATTGGTAAAACTACAACAAAAAAAAACACGAATTTCGGGAAAAATGATATTTAAAATGCAAACATATTCTAATGTTTGTGAAGTCATCAAATTGTGTAACAAATATAATCTATGAAATTTTACGAAAGTGCCGACAAACAGTTGGAAAAGTGTTAATGAACACGACTTCTGAAAAAGATTTGACTTGTTTTAAACATATTTCAAATTTCACTTTTCGGAGAAATGAATCACATTTAGATTCTTTGACATTTAAGAACCTTTTATGAAACTAACCCAGTCAGAGAAAAATAAGTTTGTTTTCTTCATTTCGCTGGGAATTCTGAAAATTAAAGTTCAATTTTGAAACTGAAAGTCATTCTCGTGTTTTCTCGCCATTGCACTTTCGATATTTGAGAGCGCAATGCGCTTTTCATTTAGCAAAAGAATTTGAAGTGAAATAAGAAAAACTCAAAAATCAAATCGCGAATAATGTAACTTGAGCGAGAATAACTAAGACTTTTTATAGAAAGAGTAGAAAAAAAAATAGCCAACCCAATTTGAGAAAACTGGATCAATAGGTAAAACTTTTATTTCGCTGGGATATCTGATAATTAATTTTCATTTTCAAAATTCGATCACGTTTTTCGTGACCTTTACATTTGTGCTGTTCAATAATTGAGTTTCCTTCCTTTTAACAATAGAAATGCACTGAACTTAAAAAAAAATCACAAGTCAAACCGCGAAAAATCAAAACTGAGCGTGAACAAATTTTAAGACTTTTTCCTGAAAAAAAAACAAAAAAATCAGCAAGACATCTTAAAGAGTCTTAACTACGTTCATTACTCTTAACAATGAGATAAATATATTCATTCAATTACACTTTAACAACTTTGGAAGGAAAAATAACGAAAACCTTGAAAAGCTTTTCGCTTTTTTAGCTCTACATTCAATGCCAATGAATTATGTTAATGAAATTAGATTTTTAATTTATCAATGCCATGCATCAAATTGGAGATCTCGGTCATCCTCAAAGTGGGAAAGTCTCTTACGCGGTTTCAATACCCTTGCTTATTGCAATGGTAATCATGGAAGAGAAAATACTTTCCTTGATTTTTTCAAACTATAACAAGTAAATTTGGCACGACAAAAATAGCACCAGGGCCAAGGTTGGCAGACAATTACCAAAAAATCTAACTGCGAAGCTCAAACAAATTATGAGTACCAAGTAAACGTAGAAAAAATTAAAGCGGATTATACTCAATACTACGACGCGTTTCGCCTTAACCAGAAGCGTCGTAAAAGCTACGTTTATTTCAAAATGAGCAATTTAAACGTGGTTTTTGTCAGCGAGTATAGAGAGTTGCGAAAAGTTGGAACAGAGAGAACTATTTAGAAAAAACAATGACCAGTTTCAAGAAATTTTTGCATGCAAAAGCTAAATTTTCAGACAGGAACTAAGACTCAAGGTCACCTAAAAATTCAAATTTGCATGCAGCAATTGCTCAAAATTGGCAGATTGCTCTTCATAATTACTTCAGTCTATTCCAGCTTTTTGCTACTAACTATAGAGTCTATATGGAGTCTAACTATAATTCTCCGTCTAGCAAAGATCAATTGATGTTCAGACCGTTCTATTTCAAACTTTCGTTGATATAGCATGGCTGTAGCAAACGAAGAGCTATCAATATTAGCCAACCTTGAGTCTGAATGGGATTGAAGTACTGGAACTGTCTCTTGTATATCTCCTCATACCTCGAGTCTCTCAACGCACTCATCGGCAACGACTGCAGATCCAACAGCTCAGTCGGAGGCGAGTACTTCTCGGGTAGAATCAGATGTCGAAACGAGACCGGGAGCTGCGTTTCCGAGTTCAGCCATGAGTCGGATACGACGCGAATGAAGTATTGCGGAGGGAGGGGTTCGAACATGGGCACATAGAACTTAATGAGGTGCTCATCTTCGCAGAATTTTTGTTTGAGTAAGAAGTATTCACTGTGCAGAATGTTTTCGTTATCGACGTCTTCAACCAAAATCCAGAAGGCCTAAAATATCCACAGTATCCAATTATGGACTTGCACATTTACACTGACATTTGAACAATTTAGAACAAACTTAATCTTTAGAAAAAGCAAATCTTAACAACCTCGTCTACAATTTTTCTATGTTAGTGCAACTTCAAAGATTATTATCGGAAAGCCAAATTCAACAGTTGTCATTCGGTAAATTTAGCACGTATGAAACCGTACCTGTGATGAGCCGTGTACTTTTTCATCCCACTTGAAATCGGGAGTGACTGTCAGTTCCACCTTCAGAGTAGCTCTGTTCACTGGCTGGATGTGGGAAGAAAGATCTAATTTGGGGAACTGGTGAACAAACTTGTAGATGTTCTTCCCTATCTTAGGCATCTTCAGCAACTCGCCTAAATTCACAGAATTTCTCATAAGATTTCTGATGTAATTCTAGTACAAATTGACCCAAAATAACTCCAACGAAGCTTAAGATGTTTCTGTGACACAACTTTATCTTCAATAGCATGGGAGGCCAATAGCGATATTTGATTCTGAATTCGAAATAAAATCACCTTTCCGTCGGATTAATTTGCCCAAGAGTATAATTCAACTACCTCATTCATTTGGTCGTCGATTACAAAGCAACAAACTTACCGATCTCGCCAGCCTCTAGATCGTAGAACCTCTCCCACATGAAGTTCTTCTTCTCTATCTTGCGCACCACTTCTTCCGGTATCTTCTTGAACTGTCTCAGGGGACACATGCTCAGCCACATCTTGTGGTTCACCATCTTGCCCACATTCAGGGCCCTAGAAAAGGTGAACAAAATTGTCCCCATCAATTTTTCAGCAGCCAGTTCTAAACAATCTAAAAATTATCCAATTGCAGTATTTGTGGAGGCTGTTAATCAGTGTTTTTTTTTCAGATCACCGAGGGTTGGAAGTAACTTTGAATTAGGGTGTCTTTTTTCATGTAAAGCATTTATTTTTCAAAGTAACATCAGATCAGGTCCATTCTTTCTGTTTTGGATTCCACAGAAAAATTACCAAGGGACACATTGACTAAATTCTTTCCTAGTAATGTAAAATCATTAATCAAGAATTTAGAAGTCTAGTATTTTGCCGTGCAGTCACATTTCATCCGCCACGTGCAAGTATTTGACTCATTGTAAAAAATTTCGAAGTAGTTCCACATCCAGTTAAGTAGTTCAATCGATGTTCAAACTACGTAAGTTTTGCAAATGATAAGTTTTGTTCAGGGGCGGATCTAGGATTTTCTCGAGGGGAGTTGCGGATTTTAGGTCGACCAAATTAATTTCCCGAACTGTGCCACCAAATCAGCAAAAAAGACACTGTTTTGACCAATGTTTTTGCGCCGCAGGCATATTTTTGAAAAAAAAAAGGTAAAAAACCCGTTTTTGGGCACTTTTTAGAAAATTTTGACAAAAAAAACTGCGTGTTTTGGCGCGCTCTCCCTTTCAAAAATAGTATTTCTTGGTACCGAAGGCGCCTTTAGAAAAATTTTAGGGTCGGTCGGCCAAAAACAGATTTCTTAAAAAGTACCAGAGGGGGGACTTAAAAAATCCAATACACAAAAATGTTTTTGAGTATTGGATTTTTTGTTAGGGGCCTCAGTTTTGAAAAAATACATGTTTTAATCGTTGGAAAAGTAGTCCAAATTTCGTGACGAAATTGCCTTTTTAGTCATACTTTGTTTTATTGCTAACTTCTTTAACAAAAATTTCGGCTATCCCGGAATTTGGCTCTGTGGGTACGCGCCAGGGCAATGACCAACTTCGGTACTCGTGACCAACTACGGAAACCTATTGAAATAGCAAATAAAGAGCAGAACTTGTTTATTTGAAATGAATCTACTCGATGAAGTGTCCTGGTAAACAATAGTAAGTTCAATTCGATGAGTGAGCCAAGTGATTTAATTCAATAATCTTTTGAAAAATAATTTGTCTTGTGAAGCAATTGCAGAGTTCTTTTAAATCCTCGTCTTTTATTGGATTAAAAAGCTATCAGCAAAATGATAAGTTAGACGTTTAAATGTTTGCCAAAGAACTATATTCTAAACATGGGTCCATGTTGATTTAAAAACAGGGTCAAATCCCCGAGGTAAAACGTAAAACGATCCAGATTTAAAACAATCATAAAAAAACACTTATGTGTTAAGCATAACGTGTTAAGCATTGTTTTTAACATGGGTTGATTTATGCATTACAACACTGGAAATTTGATTCTGGCACACAGTTGACACTAAGCCACGTCGAGACTACAGTTCTTAGAAAAAATTGAAACTTCTGAGCTTATCATTCAGCAAACCACTTTTATTTCATTAAAAATACAAAGATTTAAAAGGACATTGAACTTACATCACAAAAAGAACAAACATTTTTCAAAAGATTTTCTTATTGAATTAAATCACCTGGTTCAGTCAGCTATTTGAATTTATTTTTGATTACCAGGACACTTATTGGATCAGATTTACTGAAAGTAAACAATTATTGGTCTTTGTTTACCATTTCCATAAATGTCATTAAATATGCAAGTCTTTTAATCGGATAAACTGATTATTCATAAAAAACAAAGACAAATGACACCAGTTCTAAAGGCATCAATAATTTCGACCGAAGTAATCATCCTAAAACTGAAAAAAAAACACCCAACAGAAAGTTGAAAGCTTTTTGCAAACGGAACAAAATGATTGATTTTAATTTCATAACATAGCCAACTGACGATTGTAAAAGAGTAATGAACGCAGGGAAACCGAAAAAAAAACTGATAAAAAACTTACTTGTTTTTTCAAATAAGGTAAGCTTTTGAAGTTCGAAGAAAAAAATAGATGGTCTTAAAGATCGTTGAATTTGCAGAACAATTTATGATAGACATTTTTTTTTGAGAAAACTGGATCAATAGGCAAAACTTTTATTTCGCTGGGAAATTTGAAAACTAATTTCCATTTTTGAAATTAAAAGTCCGTCACCTTTTTAGTGACCTTTACACGTTTGCTGTTCGATAGTGAAGTTTGCTTTGCCTTCCTTTTAATAATATAAATGCACTCAACTTTAAAAAATTACAAATCACACCGCGAAAAACCAAAATTGAACGTGAATAAATTTTCTGATTATAAAAAATCACCAAGACCTATATAACCGTACTCACTGCGTTCATTACTCTTAAAAACAACCTGATTCATCTTGAACTGGTCTATGTCAAGATCTAGATACGGTAATCTATCTAACTCCGGAATCTGAGCCAAAACAATACATTTTCACCAAAACTCAATCATATCAACAGATTGCACAAAATTGGTTGAATACGTTTGATTTCTTGAATCCAAAATGAAAATTTAAAACTAACATTTATTCTTTTCCGAAAGAAAAACTGTTAGATTTTTTTAGCTTTTTTTGTAAGTATTTCGAGTAATCTTGAAAAATGCATTAATTATGAGTTAATTTTGCTGAAAAAACCGCGCTTTAATTACCTGTCGGTGAGTTGTGCCCAACCCCTGCTGAGTGCGATCTCGAATATTGCACGGAGGAGACGTCCCGCATTCTGAGAAATGAAGACCATGTCACATGCGATCGCAAATCCATCCAGCTTCAGCTGCGATATGTATGCTTGCAGCAGAATGTTCACCTAGACAAAAAAAATGCCACACAATTTTCCAAAGTTCTCGAATGAGACAATACAAAAAACCTTTACAGGTGATGAGACATGAATGAATAGCAAATATTGGAAAACTTGAATAAATAATCCATAATTAACGCAGAGGCGAAATTACACTTCGCATACACCAAATATGACCGATGACGCTACTGGGAAAAACTGAATGAGTAAAACTTAGTCTACAAAAGTGACGCACGCCAATTAATACGCATTAGCAGTATCAGTCAATTTGAAAAAAAAAAAGAAAAATATCAACTAACATGCCTCAATTTATAGAGCAGTCTATGGAGCAGTAATAACATGATAAAAATAAATGTAACAAAAATAAAATAACATTTTTTTTTAATTTGAGATTTTTGTCCCCCCCCCCACACGCCATATTAAGTACAAAGTGATAAATTTCGCTCCTAGTAACAAATCAATTATGGCAAATAAGCTTCTTAACCAATTTGGAACGATTTCTATGACGGATTAAATCTCCGCTTACGCTTTAATAGCGCGAAATATATCGCGCGTTAATTGTCCCAAATTGGCAATTCTTAAATCCCCATATTTTTCCAAAAAATGATCACAGGTGAAATATCTTTCCAAATTTAAGCTCAGGACAACAATACTTTTTGAATGATATAAAAAATACCGTCAAAAATGGCTAGTTAAAAAGTCGGAAATTTGTCTGAAGAAAAGAAACACCCCGAGCACAAATATTCCGTTACTTTCGTTACGAAAGTCGGAACAATAATAGTCTGTGTTAAAATCCTTAGCATTGGCTGTACTTAATAGCTGGTTATTGATCAAAATGAACACTTTCAAATTGAACGTATTTTATCGCAACAATTTTGCGACTTAGGTTGGAAAAAAGATAGTTCATAGTATAATACAAGCATTGCATGTGTAATCATAGAAACCCAGAAAATGATTTATATGATATTCTATACAGACAAAGAGGACTCTTTTCTAAGATAGCCATGCAAAAACCCAGTAGAAGTGCCAAAGAGGTCAATCAACAAAAACACCTAAAAGTCCAACAAGTCCACACACATTTCGAGCTCAATACAAATGACTTTTATTACTTATTACTTTATTTTTTTCGTTCCATCCAAATTCAAGAAGCTTTGCTGGGACTTCGAGCAAACTACCTCGGGGGTTTCATAGTTAATTTTCTTACTTAATTTCCCGGTACTTAACTTTCCCAGAAATAATTATTCTCAGAAGTCTACTCTTTCGACCGACACGTACTTCGTCCACTACACATTTTGCCTCAAATACTTCAAACCCAAAATCCCGTAAAACATGATAGGCAAAGAGCTTGAGGGGCGAAATATGTCACTGAAAACAAATTAGAAGAATCGTATTGCATTCATTTTCTTCAGGCAAAACAAACTCGGCAAGGTTTCAGTTAAATACTGCCGTTTTTCTGAACTGTGGCTAGGGCAGGCTAAACACATCTTCTATCGTCCAAATATGGAAAAAAAAGTCGCAAAAGAAAATCGATCTAATATTGACGAATACTCTATGTCGTGGTCAAGTGGGTTAGGCACATCTCTCTTAACACGAGGGTCATGCGTTCGAATCCCGCTTCGGTCACGGCTGGAGGGGTCCCAGTGTCATCCGCCTCCTCAAGGTGGGACCGGCTGCGGCAAAATGGATGACATCTCCCCCTCCCCCACGGTTGGTCCTGCACTGAGCAGGCCGGGGGCAAATAAAAAAAAATAAATTAAAAAAAATAATAATAAAAAAAAAAATACTCTATGTACCAAGCCGCATGAATCCTTTTTTACCCATACTTTCAAGCTAAAATCACGCACACAAACGAATTACCCACAACAAAAAACAATGATAGCCGGTTGTTGTGCACAGAATATTCCAACAACAGTGTATATTTATAAATTTAAAAAAAAAAGTCAAAAAACGATTTATTTTTACAAATCGCTAAAATGAAATAAAAAGTTTTCCAACTTACTGTAAAGTGTTTTTAGGAAATAGTGACTGAGTTAGGTGAGAAAACTTCAATAATGAAAAGTAAAAATAACTGAAATAATGATCAACTTGTCATAATATCCGATTTCTGGAGCTTCTAAGTGCCGTCAAAAATAATCAAAAGCAAAAGGGTGTGTCACTTCCTTTCAATTCATTTTTTTCAATGGCATGTCTGCGAAGTTGGCAACATGCATAATCAATTCTAACGCTCAAACAAGTATAACAATTTGGACACAGGTACTCTATTCGAGCAACATTTATTCCAAATTTTCAACCGAGTTTCAAAAATTTGGCTTGGATTGGATGTGAAAACATATTTAAAAAAAACTCAAATACTTTACCGAAGCACGCGGGAAAATTCGGTGAAAATAATTAACTTGAATAAACACAGAGGCGAAGGTGCACTTAGCATACACAAGCAAACATATGACCAATAACTCTACTGGGAAAAACTGATTGAGTAAAACTTTGAGTCTACATAATTGCTAAGTGACGCAAGCCAATTATGACGCATTAGCAGTACCAGTCAATTTGAAAAAAATTCACCAACTAACATGCCTCAGTTTATAAAGCGGACGCATTTAAACTAGTATACGAAAAAGTTCACTAAAGACCCTGCCCAGTTTCGAACCTTCTTATTTTGTTGCGACTTAGGTTGGAAAAAAAAGAGAGTTCATACTATCACACAAGCTTTGCTTGCGTAAATATACTCATTTGATAAGTTAGTCTTAGTGTAGCAGAAAGATACCTATTGGGAAAAATGAAAATTATTTGTTTTTGAGCTGCGCTGGAAATTTATTCATGTAGGCAGCGGCGGATCTAGGATTTTCTCGAAGGGGGAGTGTTTTCAAATAGTTAGTCGAATTTTTTTGTTTCAACCAAATTGATTTCCCGAGCGCTCTTAGAACACTATAAAGACCCTATTTTGACAAAAAAAAATTAGCCTATAAAGACCCTATTTTTGAAAAAAAAAACGGGTCAAAAAAGCCGTTTTTTTGAAAATTTAGACCAAACAACCGTGTTTTTTTTGGCGCTCATAATTGGTACATATTGGTTTCAAATTGGTATATATCGGTTAGTCGGTCGAAATTTGATGTCATAAAAAATCCCAAAGGGGGACCCTTTGGTTGGTGACATGCCATTGAAAAATCCCAAAGGGGGACCCTTTGGTTGGTCGAATCCCTGAGCTATTTCATTTCGCGTCAAAACTTATATTATCATGAAAACATGCTCTGATAACTGAGAGGAAAGTTATGATTTCCACATCCACAAATTTATCTGGAAGGTGTTTTTTAGGCAGGCCAAAAAAACTGTTAGCCAAGTTTTCATATGTCATTGGAAGTCTTCTGCAATAATTTCTGGCAAAAATGCAGGAAAGTTTTCGATAAACCAAGCTTTTGCACCCCTAAAATTTTAATTTGGAGATTTAGCGGCATCCAAGTTAGCGGTGCAGCGCTTAGATTTTTAAATTAGCGATGACAGAAGTCTATCTTTGGTAGTAAATGATTACAACGGACTTCTCCCCTGAGATATATTAAAAAAACAACGAAGCATTACTTTTTATTAGGTTGTCAAACACAATTTTTACACTCACTCCGGGCAATAATTTCGGGCACTATCATTTAATTTGAGAAATAAAAGCTGATTCACGCATTGAATGTCGAATGGACAAACAACACCATTTAAATTAACCGGCTTTTGTAACCAATTTCCATACTAAACAGTGATCAAATATTTATAATATGTTAATATTCTGGTTGATTATTTTTTATTTGTCTCATTTATAGCACTTGGTCGCTTTTCGACTTATAAAGAAGCACAATTTTGTCAAAAGTGAGTTTAGCTCACCAGCTAACATTTGCATAAATATTCAGTTGAACCGCTCAATTATTAGGGTAGTTAAATTGTGTTTTGAATAAGAAAGGGAAAAAAATAGCTCGTATTGAACATTCGTATCGAACATTCTTCTCAAAAAACCTGCAAAATAAAGGAAGCTTCTTCGATATAAATTATTTTGAAGCAAGTTTTTAAGTACATTTAACGAAATAAAATACAAAGTAATCAAACAATTTCTTGCTGTATTAATGATTTATTTCTATAATTAAGTCTAGTTAATCAATATTTTAGACGTTTTCCCCCTCTAAATCCACTATGGTTCTAGAAGGGTTCTCCGCACTACAAAGAAATCATTTCCCCGGGTACCCAAGATTATCTTTGCCCAAATTCAACCTTAAAAGCAAAAGAAAGCTGAATAATTGTTTAGAAGACCTTTCAATGTCTTTCTTTTTTGTTCTTATCAGTTCCGCGCAAATTTAACGACCAACAAAAGTGCTCATCGGTAACCCCGATATCATATGTGCATAAATCGAGGGCTCAAACTCATATCCGTCAAAAACAAATTTCTAAAAAAGATAACAAAAACGTTTTCAGAAACATCTTTGAAAGTTTTTATCTAGTGCAAATTTCCTTTCAAAAAATAGTCTGAGATAGCTTTTGATGAAGAAAATATTGTATTTTTGGTAAGTGCCGCCCGTATTCAAGACTGATTTTAATCGGAGGACATAGCTGAAAAGAAACTCTCCGGTCACTTCATAAACACCTGAAAAAATATTGAGATCGGGGCAAGGAAATAATCAATAGTATTCAAAACAGCGACACCACCCAAAAATTATTGGCTTTTCAGAATTTTTCTACCACTCTTTATTGAGCAAATAAAAATTCTCAATAAACCTCAATCGGAGCTCTTAAGAAAACTAGCTATAAAACAAACACTTTGTAAAAAGAAAATCTCCAATAGCAAAATAAATTTCATTTTATTTTCTCCAGATTTCTTTTTCCAATCAGCGTAGAACTATCTCTGCCAAATACAATCTTTATTTTAGAGCTAAAAACATCTATTTCTTCATTCAGCAGCAGTTTCTTGGCCCGAGAAACCTATATTTATCACATTGTTTTATACACCAGTTCAATTTGTTCAAACATGTCAGCCTTTGCAAAAATTCGCATCGCAAACTTCCTCAACAAATTATTTATTTTGTCAGTTATTTTGTTAGTCATATCTATATACAGCTGTTCAGGTGAGCTTTCTTCTACCAATAATACAAAACCCAAATGAAACCTGAGGCTTAAAATCAAACAAAAAATTAAATACAATCAGTGCTTTCTCCCATTCCATAAAAATCCCATACAAAAATGAAAAACGTATAATCTTGGAGCAAACTTTTTTCATTTAACTCATTCCAAGATCAAAATCAATATGAAACGGAGAGTAGAAAAGCATTAATCTCTCAAAGAAACTGCAAAAAAACGAATGATTATGTTTCAAATAGGTTTTCTTGTGAACAAACAAAAAGTTTTTCATGTGGTATCTTATTCGCACTTGCTAGGCGAATTGGTATCTTAATCTAAAAAAAAAACAATTGAACCCAAAGCTGCCCTCTCCTTTGCAAGCGTTAGGGAAAAACACACTTCAAAGCACAAAGATTTACAGCAGAGGCTTATTACTTAACCAAAACCTAATTCAGCATGTATGTTATTTACAATTTAAATATCAAGTTTATTCGTGGACTAATCAACTGACCTTTTATTTGGTCATTGTTTTCTTCGAGTTTGCGAGAAGGCGCACTTTTTTGCCTGACTGATTAAAAAAATGCATAGGAGTCATAAATTTGAAGGGGGAGCGGTCACCGAATAAGCAAATTGGTAATTGGCTCGTGGTGATTTCAGTTTTGGACCAAGTACCAAGAAAAAAATTGGCAACAAGGTTTTTCATCGAATAATCGAGCACGAAACTTCTCAAACGAAAATTACCCCCAGCAAAATTTCTATTTCAAATGTTTGTTGAAAAATACCTCAAACGGAAGGAACCAAAATGGTTTTTTATTGCTTGGTTTTTTTTATTGTTTAAACGAACATAAGAATCAGATCAAGTTTAAACGAACATAAGAATCAAAAAAGGAATCGCATTATCATTTATTTGGGACAAGTTCATTCAGTAATTATAAATCAACACTACGAAAAATTTTGCAAGAAATTTAATTGATACCGTCACATCCCTCAGCGAATGGACTTTCATATACATTAATTTATTATTTTTTCTTCGTTAATTTATTTATACATAAGGAATGTGTTTTTATATAACATTCCGACGTAATGGTTGTATTAAATGCCTGGTCTGTCTTTTATTTTTGGCAACAAATATCGAGTAAGAAAAAGGTTAATTGAAATCAAATTTTAGCGAATGTAACTTTCATTTTCGAAAAAAGCCCATAATTTGCAATTCGGTCGCCATAGGATCTTCTTAATAAGACCGAAAATCGATTTGTTCCACTAATATCAGGTCGAGAAAAATTCTGAATACTGTATCGCTAACCCCCCTCAACTTGGTCACCAAGATCATGAGAAATTTTAAAATTAAAAAACACTTTTGATTGAAACTACAAGCTAGCCGCCATTTTTCTTGATAACAACTATTTTCTTTTTGAAGACCGTAATTTACTATCATCTTGTTGAATGATGTTGAAATGAGCTAAATACTATCGATGGCTAAACAAAGCAATTTTTTTAATTTCGAGTTTCATACAACCTTCATCACGTTAGAGCTATTTGAATTGCCATGATCTATTACTTTTATTATTTTTTGATAAATATAGCTCAAGTTGAGAAAAACGGGATCAATCGGTAAAATTTATGATAAACTTTGAAACCCATTACAAACAAAGTCAACACACTAGAAAACAGTTTATTGGAAAAGAGTCAATACACTAACGCAAGGAAAAGAGAACAGACTTGTTTTTTTTTGGGAAAACTTCAAATTTCGAACTCCAAAAAAATGGCCTTGAAGATCTTTAAATTTCAAGAACAATTTATGCTTGACATTTTTAAACTAAAACTAACCCATTCTTATAAAACTGATTGAACAGGTAAAATGTTTTGTTCTGCTCTGATATCTGAAATACACTGTTAAAACTAGAAATCGATCAAACGTTTCATTACCAAAGGAAACGAACTTAACTTAAAAAGAAAAAAAAAATCTAACAGCGAAAAATCAATTTTGAACAATTTAGAACTGTATTCCTTCAAAAGTCAATCCATCAAATTACTGAAATGCATGCGAACAAGAAAAAACCATACCGCCAAGAAAAATGAAAATGCCTAAGTCGAAACATGAACGTGAAAACATTTGTGTTCATATGAAAGAAACGCGATCACAGAGGCAAAGTAAGCGGAGCTTTGCTTTACTTGTGATTCAACGCAAGCACACCATTGCAAGCTACCGCAAAAAAAGACAGAAATAGACAAAAAATGAATTTTCTTTTTTCGAAAAACAACAGTCGAAAAACAGAAACACCAGAATTAATTTATCTTTTTGTTCTAACAGAGCGGCCACAAAGCTGATAAATAGTTAGTGGACGCCTATAAAGAAGAAAACAAAAAACTATAAAAAAATGTTTTAATGAATGTAATTAATTCATAAAACTTTGAAAGCTTGCAACATTAAAAACCTGAAATTTTCACAGAAAAAATCAATCGGTTATCATTTTTTGCTTCTGAAGCGACAAAAAATAAGGCAACTAAGCCAATAAAACATGAACCGAGCCCACTCAGGTCGAATACAAGTTTTAAGCAAAAACTAAAACAAAAGGTAAAACCAAGAAAAAAATACAACGTCAGGGCTAACAAGTTACAGAAACAAAACATAGCCAATCGAAGATTGGAAAAGAATAATGAACGGAAAATCTCAACTTTCGATTTTCAAAATAAAAAAGATTCCCTTAAATCTCTTGTAATTTCTATAACAATTTATTATTGGCGCTTTTTTGATAACATGAACCCAACTTGAAAAAACTGGATCAATAGGTAAAGTTTTTATTCCACTGGAAAACCTTTAAAATGAATTCCACTTTCAAAACTAGAAATCGTTTACGTTTTTTCGCGCCATTTTCACGTTCGTATTGGGAGAGTGCTATTAACGTTACTTTCAGCAGATATATTTCACATGAACTCAAAAAGTGCATTATACCTAAGCGCATCAATATTTCAAAACAATTTCCTGAAAAAAAATAGCAAGACCTATAAGAGTCTTCACTACGTTCGTTACTATTAATCAAAAACTTTGCTGACATTAAAAAAAATTTACCGATGTGGCAACTAAGCCGACAAAACATATGAAGTCATACGACAGTCCGACAAATTTTTGCTGAAAAATTTAATTTCGAACACACTGAAAAACAAATAAGTCCGACCGGGACTCGAACCCCAGATCTTCAGGTACATATGCATAGGCGTTAAATCCGGCCAAGTAAGAAGGAGTCTCGAAGTTGTTAATGATATATCAACGTCCCAATTTCTTACAGATTTGTAAGAAAATTGTTTACGGGGAAAAAACTCTAGTTCACGATTACAAGACCCTTGTTCTTGCAAAACTACTAAGAAAAACTTGCCCCGTTCACCTAATCGAATTTAAGATCAGAATCAAAAAACAAAATGCTGATTTCTGATTGAAAAAAAAACATAAGCCTTTCTGAGTCATTAAGGGAGAAGACTCTTATAAGCGAGAACACGACACAAAGCAGCTCTGTAAAGTGCAACAAAATTGAAAAACGCCTCGGACTAGTAAAAATTCGGCTACGTCTCGGATTCGATCTGCACCCTAGAGATCATGAGTCTCACGCAATAGCCACTCAGCGACGAACGCTTTATAAATCACAAACAAAAGCCACAAATAAAGTAGAGAACAGATGTTATGAAATTTCAAATGCTACAGATCGTGATTATAGCGAAAGTGCACCAAATAAATGAACACTTTCATTTGCGAGTTAAGTTACAACAAAAAAGGTTCGTACTGAGACACTACGCTGCTGGCTAGTGTAATAAGCTAGGAAATAACTTGTAGCAACACCAATTTTAACATTTGTTTCAGCCAATGAGTCAGATATGGCTGATCCCTCAAGGTACATAGCATCTCCCCAATTGAGGGACAACTGGAATTCACTACGAGGATTCAACAAGAAGAACACAAACTGGAACTCATTCAGATCTTTCAAGAGGTCGCCCTCCCAGTGGACCTCACTGCGCAGTTTCAACAAGAGGTTCGTTTTTTTTGGAAGTTTCAAAAAAAAACAGCCAAAACGAAAATTTTCGGCGACCTTTGAAAGGTTTCGACAAAAAAGGCAATTGATTGGTGCGCGGTCCCAAAATGTAGGGTTTGCCAGCTGAAAATTAATCTCGTAAAATTGTAGAAAAGGATGAACCTTTTGGGTAGTGTGTCGAATTCCTACATCAGCCCCTGGATACAAAATTTATTATTTTTGAACCTGAGACAGTTTCCAAGCCTGTGTTGTTGAACTTCTAGATCACCTTCTCGTTGGAGTTCGTTCAGAAGTTTCAACAAAAGAGCAGAAGAAGAAACTAGCTTTGAAAAATGAACCAACAACAAAACAAGGACATAAAAAGCAGAGCCGACAGCTGAGTCAAGTTGAAAATATTGAGAATATGTCTATTTTGAATTGATATTGGTCGTATTATGCTGCAATTTACACCGACTAAACGCGTTTTTCTTAAAGACCAATAGTGAAACTCTGAGAATCAAGAATCTTTAGTCAGCTTAGTGAAGGAAAACGCAAAAACATTACTCAAATCTGTATATTTATGTAGAGCACAGAAAATATTCCAGCAAGATGAGACAATCAGTCAAAAATTTGCCGACTTTAACAGTCTCTCTGAGGCAACTCGATAATCGTTTCGAGACAATTTTTTCTATTTCGATCTTCACGAATATACTAAACGGAGCTTAACAAAGGTTTCTCCTGTTGTAGCTTGAATTATTCTTAACACAGGAAAAAAGGAGCTTCGCATAAATTGCCACGTTGGTTAGAGATTCGACAGAATTAAAGTTGATGTTGTAATAACCTCCATAGAAGAGAAATGTCAAAAATGGGTATCGTAAAACACAATGATACATTGCACGTTAATTCATCTAAACAAGGCTTTTGAAACAGATGACCACAAGCTACCATTAGAAAATGAGAATCATATGCATTTCGAGGTTCTGTTTCTAAACTTCTTTGTGCTATGTAAATCAGCCTTAATAAAACGATACCAAAAAGCTCATGCTAAACAAAACAAAATACTTTTTCATGATGTCCCATAGGGATTTATTTTAGGTCCTTTTTCATCATTTATTCAAATGATAGCAAACAGGCAGAAAAAAAAGAATTAATCGCATTTTGTATGCAAACTACTGTTATAAAAACAGCACCAAGAAACGGTGACTTACCGGTTAGATATCAGAAATATCAACACACTTGCGATACAACATCAACATAGCATTTTAAATTACCAGACAGAAAATGACACGGAAGCAACGCACTTTTTAAAATTCAAAGTTTTGGAGATGCGGTTCAGAAACAAAATCCAGAAACAAAATCACCGCCATTAAAAAAGCCTTTAAAACATTCACCGAGCGGAAACTAAGCCGACAGTACTAGGGTAGATGCCAGTTGATAAAAAAACCAAATGAGGTCATAAAACTTAGAGCTAAATAATTGTGAAAGCTTCTAGGAGCTACTTAACAATCGCCCTCCCTTTGGTTTCTACAAAAGAATTAACATCCTTATAAATAAAAGCAGTAAATGGCACTAAAGCGTTGTATTTGAAATCCGAGTTTTGCTGCATTCTGATCGGCAAAAAACTTGACAACTTAATCTACTTAACAATTACCCCCACCTTTCTTGAAAGGGGGCAATTTTTAAGTAGATCCAGTTTCTATGCTCCATCATTTGAGACAAAATAGAACAACGATCTTTTTTGCATTCTAAACGAATCAAGATGAGATGAAATTTAGAATCCGCGGCATAGATTTGGGCAACTATCAATATCAGATACACGTCTCCCTCATAGCAGTTTGGATTTTTTATTTTTCCCACCAAATAAATTACTTATTTTAACTTGACTGCTTTCTTTTACAAAGGAGAGTAGGCGCAAATAAAGGATTATAGGTAGGTGCCGAAATACGGGCTGAAAACATACTAACGGCATTCTCGCAATTCAGTTTTTTATTCTAAATATTTCTAAACATTACAATGGATGGAAGGTAATTTGCAAACAATTTATTCTATATTATTACAGAGGCGACTCTTTCTTTACTTCTTTAGCCCATGTTAGGCGGTTTCTGCTTGTTCCTCTCCAGGCGAAGGAACTTTTCCATTTTCACCGGCCTTAACCACAGGTCTGCAGGAGAAAAACGGGAGGGATTTCTGGGGCAGTTAAATATATGCCAACTAGTGTGGGGTGACAACAGACAGTTCGGGCAAGGTGGGAAACATGGTTGTCTAAGCGGCCGAGATGGGTGTTTAAAATCCGACTAACCGGACCAAAGTTCGGAAAACTTACACCAGTGGTTCTGGGAAGGGACTGTTCAGAGGGGGCGATACTTGGAGGTGGGATACAACTGACTTTGAGGAAGGTGCTTCTGCTAGGAAGTTGGTTACAAAATTTGTATGGTTTTGTTTAAGAAGGCACTTGTGGTAGTAAAATCGAAAAAGGAAACTTCCTCTGAGTCGTTGAGATTTGGTGATGGGTTTTGGTCGGTTAATACTGAGGCTGTGATATTTTTAAAAGCACTTAAATGAATTTGCGAACTTGATGTGGGGGTGTGGGGGGTGGGGTAAGAGTGATAAACATAATTTGGGTAACGGAAACGGAATGTGGAGATTAAAAACTGAGAATTTGAAAGAAAGTGCTGGTTTGGAACGTTAAGGATCTTGACTTCACTGTGCTGGAGTGCAGTGAAGCTCATAAGAGTTAAGCCAGTTATTACACTCTTGTGGGAATGCATATAATAAAAAAAAGGCGAATTAAGATGTAAAACAGAAGTATGGTTTCTTCAGAGTGACCCCGATAGGAACCTGCTAACGCCTTCAGGACTCCTATCATGCGACAAGCCTTGCCAGCAGATCTCTTGCAGTGTGCTGCAAAGCATGGATTCCGATCAAAATTAGCCCTTAACATTTTTGGATTTTTATTCAGAGGGAGGGCTCGTGGTTTAAAAAGACAGTAGACAGTAGGAGTTTTGTAGAAATCTTTGTTGTAAGACGAAAACAAGTTATCTGATCCTTTTATAGGACGCGAACGCTAGGTTACGGAAGGTAACAAAAAGTTTAAAAGGTAGCGCCGATAACCATTAGCGAGCGCGATGCTTTCGGGGTGAGGAGGGGCGTCATGGACGTAAAATTAAAGGGTCGGTGATGAAACAAATCCCCGGGGAACTTCACAAAGAAAAATTCTATTGGGGGATACTTGGTTGTTGAAAAAAGTGGTGGCTTGTCGGCCACATAAAAATTGCCGAGCCAGTGAACTATACCTCCTCTCTGCATCGGTGTGTCATGAATGATTTTCACTACTGTTCTATGACATACCGCATCAGATGCCTTTGAAAGATCAAGTGTGGCGAGAACAGTACGTAAAGAAGGACGGTTTTGGTTAAAACCTTGAGAGATAAAAATTCAAGGGTGGAGAAAGCGGTTGCGATGGAATGAAATAGGCGGAGCCCATCTTGGGGTGTGGCAATTGGGAGGTGCTTTGTTAAAAAGGGATGGACGAGCCTCTCTAAATTTTGACGGTGGGGCACAGTACTCAAATAGGCCTGTACATGGAAATTTTCTGTTCCTTCTCAGGTTTGAACAGGGAGGTTACATTTGGGGGATAATCAAATAAGTGAAGTATTCAAGTCCAAGAGGTTCACGGAGTTTGAGGTGGACATTATAGATGCCATCCGGACCGAGTGCTTGTGAGGGTTTGCTATCCGCAATGGCTTGTTTAATTTGTTGAGGGAGAAAGTTGGGTTATCAGAAAGAGAACGTTTGCCAATTTCGCGTTTAGTTTTCCTTTGCAAACACAAGGAAAATACGCCAAGATCTAGCTTAAACGGGTTTAAATGAGCACTTTTAATTGAGAGTGTAACTATTTTTGCTATTAACTTCACAGAGGTGGAAAGAGTCCACATAAGTCAAATCATCTAAGTCAGTGATAAATCTGTTTGTCGAGTTTCACTTGCACAACTAGCGTGAACAACTCTCAACTTTGATTTGCACAAATTTCGCATCGCTTAAATAATATCTTTACGGCGTTCAGTAACATTTAACTAAAAATAACACTTAAATTATACTAACTTTTAGAGCGTTGTGAAAAAAAGACTATTTAAAATTTTAGAAGCTTTGAAAAACTTGTTTCAACGAAAGTAATATTACCTTAGCACTTGGTTCCTCTACCGACTCTTTGATCGGAATCGGGACTCTTTCCATCAACTTATTCAACTCTAGTTTTTCCTCATCCCGCACAATTATATGTTTGAACTCCGAACTAGAAGCGAACACTCGGAACAACTCAATTTCCGACAACGTCGACTTCAACAACTGATTGAATGTAGCCATGGTTTGAAAGCAACAGTAGTAGTGGCTTGAGATTCTTCCGAGGTCAGTGACAAAAATATTCCCGCTTCTTCTGTCGTATTTAATCAGATTATGTTTGTCCAGAAGTGCACAGGCGCTGTGTACTAAATCGATTCTTCTTTGCTCCAAGATTTGGTCTTTGTCGTCTTGAATGACACCTGAAATCAAGATCTTACATTTCCAAATGGATATAAACTATAACCACAAAAAAAATCATCTAAGATAAAACCGCAATACAGAAATAATTGACACTGAATAAGACCAATTCGATTTTAGGGTTCTATTGCATACAATTTTTTGTCTCATCCCATTCTTTTCAATGGTCTCATTATATATTATGATAGCATTAGTTTTGGCAGTGGGTATCATAAATTGAACTCGCGTAGAAGTTCAGCAATGCTACCCTACTTAAGCCCTCCAGATCATCTCTACTACGAATACATCAAAGGACAATTGAGAAGACCCTTGTCAAAACCCGATATGAATTAAAATAAGATAAAGAGAGCATGATTAGCGCGAATCGGATAGTTTTCAACGCGGAGAAGACTTTTTAATGGGAACGGAGAAAATAATAGACATACACTGAATGTTAAATATTTAACTTTCAAATTTATCTTTCTAAATAGGATTATTATGTTTTAAAGGAGTAAATACCATATAAGGATGGGTTTCTCAGCATCCGGATGTAAAGATACGTGTATCCCAGCCAGTTGACAGCATCCCTTGTGTTGTTGATATTTCCCAGCACAGCCTCCGCACAAAGATGGTCTGCAAACAACCTTGGTTTTTTCTACTTAACCAAAAAATAGCTCACTAATGATTTCTCAGTTTTCGAATTTTTGAAGCTGGTCCCATTTATGGAAAAGTTGGTGGGTACAATGATCGACAAATTATCATGCGTATGAAAGGTGAAATTTGTTTTTAAATGGCCCGAATTTCCATCTCAAACGCCGTTAATGGAACTTCAAATCACTTAAGAGCAAACATTTTGATGCATTAATTTAAAATTTAATCTCTATCTCAATAATAGTTTAGCACACAAAAATCATTAAAGTTTGAATGCAGATTACAGGATGGCACAGACCTGGTAGTTTTGAAATGAACTGGCTCTCGATTGGGAGTTGCTGGTTCATCAGAGACAGGTAGTACTGCAGCTCTGAGTGGGAGGTGAGAACTATTCCAGTTCCCTTCTGGTCGTATTGGGGTCTGCCGGCTCGACCCAACATCTAAATTATAAGGCAAACTTCCCTCTATGTGTAGCAAACCAACATCTCAATAAGTGAAACGTAGCCAACACAGTTGGAAAAGAGTCGAAGAACACAAAGAAACAAAAACTGACTTGTTTTTTTTAAAATAATTTCAACTTTTTCGAAATACAATATGAAATATATTTGGCCTCAGACCTCTTTCAATTTCAAGAACAGTTTATGATTGACACTTTTTGATAACGTTAATTTAATTTGAGAAATTTGGATCAATAGATAAAGTTTTGATTCCGCAGTTTTTGCATGTGCATTTGAACTTTTAGGTGATATTGAGACATTGTCCGAATTTTTTTGCTACTGATCATACATGAGTCTTCACTGCGTTCATCGATTCTTAGAAAAGTAAGAAAACAACCTGGCTTCCGGATTTGAAAACAGAACACCAGTTCCAAAGAGGATATCAAAAGGAAGAGGATATCTTTGCGCGCTCTACATTAAATGAGCTGTCTCTGCAATTAACTACTACGCTCTGCATTAGAGTAACTAAGAGATTCTATTACAGACATCAAATCTGAATCTCACTATTTTGGACCTTTTCTACGCCCTCTCCCTTAATTTAGAGTAAGCTACAATATAAGATAACTTAAGAAATTGTGACAAATTGTGACCCCCCCCCCCCCCAAAAAAAACGTTTGAAATCACTTTGTTGACAATGATATTACCCGCACCGTATTTTTTATGGGTTTTTAGAGAGGCATGAAAAAATTTGATCAGGTACTCACCTGCAAAATATCCAGCGCGCCAAGTTCAGTCCACCTGCCCTTTTCTGGACTATAAACTTGGGTTCCCTTAATTATCACAGTATTCGCTGGCAAATTCACACCCCATGCTAAGGTTGCTGTAGATACCAAAACCTGAAACAAAAAAACTATTACAAGATAACAAACAACATGATAAGCGGTCAAGTGGCTAAGATTTCAGCCTATCAGTCGAAAGATTGGTGGTTCAAGGCCCATCCTGATGCGAACTCAATGCTAGAGGGTAGTACAGCATTCACTTGTCAATAGAAATAAGATTTCTCAAAAACAGAAAACAATTAATAGCCTTCTAAATGTCTTTCAATTTGCAGTGAAGCTTTTAGTTCAAATGTCAGGCGAAAATCAAATTTATTGATTTTCAATTCAGTTCCTTGAAATATAAAGTTGTCGAATTGAAATCCGCTATTAAAAACTGGCAGGGAAAATTAGAATTGTATAGCAGTCACAAAACTGTTCAACAAGGAAAATGGAAATTGTAAAGTAGCTATTTGAATTGCATTCGATCAAAAAAACTTTAATTAAAAACATCTGTTTGAGAACTCTCAGAGCTACCAGTTAAAAGTTATGCCTTTCAGAGCTGGCCCATAAAATTCAAAACAAAACGCTGCAACAGTCATCCTATAAAAACAAAGCTAACTAACAACATAAAAACATAGCTCAAGGAAGCCGAAAAGTTGAATTTCGGAGAAAAAATGTCATGTTTTATAGCCCGTTGAATCTGAAGAATAAATGAAGAACGTGAAACCGTAGAGTGATTGTTTCTCTTCTAATAACGCATTAACTTGACCGAATAGCACAACCGAACAGATTCGGCTGGAAAGAAAAGCGATCTCGTAACTTTTGTAAAGAGCAGACAGTTGGAAAAGGTCAATCAACTCACGGCAACCATAAAATGAAAATTTTTGGACAATTCTTTAACTTATAAAATATCAGCTTCAAGCGCTGTCTCAAAAAAGGATTTTTTTATTCCCTTGAGAAATCCTACAACTTGAGTCGATTTTAAAAAAGTAATATGCATTTTTCGCACTATTTGCACTTTAGAAATTGGTGAGCGGTGTTTGCCTTCTATTTAGAGAATGAAATTTAAGTGAATTCGCAAAAAACCTTAAAGTCAGACAGCTAAATTGAAACATAGCCAACAGACAGTTGGAAAGGAGTCAATGAAAGAGGAAACAGAAAAAAAACACTAAATTGCTTTTTTACAAAAAAAACTTCAAGCTTCGAATTTCAAGGAAAACATCATGCTTTGAATTTCAAGAAACATTTATGTTTGAAACTTTTTTGATATAAATAAAACAATTTGAGACAAATGAATCAATAGTTAAATTTTTATTCTACAGAAATCTGAAAATTTAAGAGCACTTTCGAAATTAGAAGTCGATCTCCTTTTTCGCGGTCTTTACACTTTCGCACTACGTTCATGACTCTTAAAAGAAAAATATGTTTTGGAAAATCAACGTTGCGTTAAAGTCAACCATTAAAAGTCAGACAGCTAAATTGAACCATAGCTAACAGACACAGAAGGAAATGAGTCAATGAACGCAAGGAAAATAAAAAAAAATACGAATAGAAGAACAAAAATCATGTTTCGAACAAAAATGAACAAAGTATAATGCGGTCTTTGAAGTTAAAAAAATATATGATTGAAGTTTTTCGATAAAATTGAACCCATTTGAGAAAACTGGGTCGATAGTTGTATTCACTGGAAAATCTGATCCATTTTCGAAACTAGAAGTCAATCACGTTTTTTTTGCGACATTCATACTTTTCCTGTTCGACTGTGGAGTTAGCCTTCCACTCGAAAAGAAACCAAACGTCACACCCGAAAACCAAATTTGAGCCTGAACAAATTTTAGGACTTCTTATTAGAAATAAACGAAAAAAAAAACACCACAACCTATACAAGAGTCTTCACTACGTTCATTGACTCTTAAAAATTGAGCGTGAACAAACTGATCTAAAAAAAAGAAAAAATGAAGTTTGCTTAGGTTAACATTATTTGAAAAATGTTACACTAAGAAACGAAGAAAATAAATTGATTTTGGGCGTATTACAGCATCATAGTATAGCCTCGTCTGACACCTCAATTTAGAGGTTATGGTTCGAATCCTCCAAAACATGAAAATTTGAACAAATATTTTGTTATATTAATTTTTGTACCTGAATGTGTCTGTCACTGAATAGATCTTCCACCAGAGTCCTGTCAACTCGACCCATGCCTGCATGATGGATTGCGAAGCCATACGGCAACAGATCTCTCAATTCAGTGTCTTTCACATCTTCCGCCTCCTTGCGCAGAATCTCTACCGACGCCGACTCCTCCTAAAACATAATGGACATAGTGATCTTTCGCAATTTCGCTCATCCTAAAAGGTAGCGATCACAAATACCGGTATAACGCCTATTTTATATTATACACAGAAGTGATGTTGAGATTCGCGCACCACTTGTGATGAAAAAAATGACTACGATTATTATCAAATGAAAAGAAACATTGAAAATTTAAAAAACCGTCAAAAAATGGTTTTTGTCAATAAAAATTGTGAAAATCGTAACAAAAGCCCAAAAAAATCAGGAATAAAACTAGCTAAACAATAAAAACTCTACAAGATGCTTTCCGAATGCGAAAAAGTCGAATTTTCAAAAAAAAGAATTCTGCGGAAATAAGCCGACAAAAAAACACTCAGACAATAATCTTAAGTGGCCGAAACACTTCAGTTTGCAAAAAATCAAATCTTGACTGTTATCGAACTCCCCGGCTTTGACGTCTCAAATATAGCTGTAACAGCAACTTGGAAAAAAGCTGAACCTTTAAAAAAAGTCGGGCTACGGGAACTAAACCGACTAAAATAAATAGACTGAAGATAGTCCAAATTTTTTTCAGTTTGCAAAAACACAGGCTTCCGCCGGATTCCAAGCACAATCTTTTGCGTCTCACGCAGTTGTCTTATCTCTACACCAGATGCGCCAGATGGTTGATTGAATTTGAATGAATAGTTATCAAGCGATAACAAAGTTAAAACATAAGAGACAAATCAAATAATTTCAAGTCCCCTTCCCCTCAGAGCACCAAAACACGCGCACCAAAATATTTTCGATTAACAAACAGAGCAATAAGAGGCCACTAGGTCGATATTAACAAAGAGGCGAAACTGCATTTCGCATACACAAGCAAAAGTATGACCGATAACGCTACTGGGAAAAGCTGAAGCCTTCAAAATTTCTTAAGTGACGCACGCCAATTATGACGCATTAGTAGTACCAGTCAATTTGAAAAAAAAAGAAATTTACTAACTAAATTTATAGAGCAGTCCATGGATCAGTAATAACATGAAAAAAATAAATGTAAGGAAAATAAAATAAATCCCCCATACGCAATTTAAAGTACAAAGTGATACATTTCGCTCCTAGTAACAAATCAATTATGGCAAAAAGCTTCCTTCAACCAATTTGGAACGATTTTTTATTGACGTATTAAATCTCCGCCTACGCGTTAATAGCGCGAATTATATCGCGCGTTAATTCACCCAAATTGGCAATTCTTAAACCCCCATAACTTTACGAAAAACGATCACAGATAAAATATCTTTTCAAATTTAAGCACAGGACAACAATACCTTTTGAATGATATAAGAAATTCCGTCAAAAATGGCTAGTTAAAAGGTCGAAATTTGTCTGAAGAAAATAAACCACCCGAGCACAAATATTCCGTTACTTTCGTTACGAAAGTCGGAACAGTAATCGTCTGTGTTAAATTCCTTAGCATTGGCTGTACTTAATAGCTGGTTATTGATCAAAATGAACAATTTCAAATGATTACATTTTATCGCAACAATATTTGCGACTTACGTTGAAAAAAAAAAGATAGTTCATACTACAACACAAGCATTGCTTGTGTAAAAACACCGAAACCCAATAAGCCGATGAAACCAAAAAAAAAAAAAAATAATAAATCGAGTTGGTAAAATTACAACAAACATAATAAGCACATTGCGATTAGGCCGGATATTTATAACTCTAGCATGCACAAAGATCTGTTGCAACAGAAAGTCTCCTGGAATGAATGATTCCAGGAGATGACTCCTCTGAACAAAGTTTTAACAAAAATTTCTATTAAGATTTTAGCAAATTGTGCGATCTAGAAAAAGCAAATATTTTTCGCTAGTTGAAAAACGCAATATATGCCATTAAGCCGATGCGACATATGCCGAAACCCAGCGAGCCCAAAATAAAGAAAAGAAAAAAAGCCAAGAAAAATGTTGTCATGAAAAACTTGACCAATAATTTTTGAAAACTTTAGCAATTTGGGCTATCCAGTGAGCATAAAAACTATTTTCCTTTCAAACTACTCAAAATTAGGCCACTAAACCGATGAAGTATGAGCCGAAATTGTATGGGCAGAATAAAATTTTTCAGCAAAAAAAAAACAGAAAATTTACGAAATAAAGAAATTACAAACAGCAGAAGTAAATAAAAACTCTACAAGCAACTACAGTGTAAATTTCGTTCAGCAATAAAAAAAAACAATAATATGATGTAGCAACTAAGCCGATAAAACATAAGCAGACAAATATTATCCGACAAGTTTTTTGAAACTGAATATTTCGTATAAAAAAGGTCCGGTCAGATTCGAACATAGGACCATTAACGTCCCAGGCGTATTCGTTAACTCCAAGCCAAGTAAGTCAGAGAGGCAAAAAAAATCAAATTCATTATGAGCTGAACTTAAATTGACCATTCTGTGAATAAAGTTATTTACGTGGAAAAAGTCTAGTACCCGATTGCAATACCCTTGTTTATAGCAAAGGTAACAAGCACTTGAATCTGAATACAATGATACTTTTATGAGAAATATTGCAAAACGAACTCGGATATTTTATTTATAAAATATAAATTTTTTTTGTATTGAAAAAATGTATATTTTTCAGTCCCAACTTTGATACTTGCTACATTCATACAATTCCTGTTGCATCGAGGGCAGCCGAAAAGTTGTATGAAAATGTAAAAAACGCCGATAAAGCTTCGCAACAAACTATAAAGCCGAACAAAACCAATTCGTCTCTAAAAAGATTATCACATTTTCAACCTAGAAAAACTGTTTTAGGCAAAAAAAATCAACCAAACGAAAAAATGCAATCAAAGATCCTTCCCCACACTATATTTTTTTATTGAAGGAATTCTTGCAAGGCAAATCATCAATTTTTCAAGATATCTTAACAAGTTGTACTGGTGAGTTTGGCAGTCTAAATCGAATAACATGAAACCGTTAAGCGATATATATTCTCCACAAAGAATTTAGACGGCGATAAACCGCTCGAAATACATGCATTTTTTATCTTTTATATCATACTTTTAACATTTCCCCCCATATATGCCCAGTTGACAGCTTTCATCAGAAATGTGTTCACAGAGGCGCAGCTGCATTCCGCGAGCACGCGCAAAAAGGGACAAAAGGTAAGAAAATTTCGACTTTGGTTATGTCATCATCCAAGCGAAATCAACAAAAAAATATTGCCTTTTTATCTTTGGAAATCTTCATCTTCAATTAAATTTCGATCAATCAAACGCCTCAGCAACGTTAAATTGATGATTGATTCGTCTAAATTGGCCAGAAAGAATCATTTGATCTGACATAAGTTCACAGAATAGCATTTAAGAAAAATATTTCACGCCCATAAATAACACCCACACAGAGTCCACAGAAAAGTCAACATGATGTCCCATAGACAAAAATGAACAAATCTAACTCAATAAAAAATTATCTTACACTTTGAAAATCTTCCCTGTAAATTCCCACCACACATGTATCCATTTAAATTTATCCATCAGAATAAGGGTAAAAAAAAATTAAGCAGATATGAACCTTCAGAGAAAAGTTGTCAAGAGAAAAAAGCAAGAAAGAATATAACTTTTTATATGGTTGCTAATTTCCATTTTCCACATAAGTTTTGACATGTTTAGCTACCGAACACATCCCGTCGAAAAAAGAAACACGGAAGCTTTAAAAGTTTGAGGCTATTAACTACCAATTACCGATTAAAAAATTTAGTAGCTTAATATTCATTGACAATGGCAACCACCTCGAGCACTTTATATATCGGGATGCCCGCAGCGGCATCATGGTTGAGTTTACTAGCTCCCTGGAAAAATCACGGGCGGTATATCCCTTGCTTTCACAAAGGAAATTACAGTTTACATTTGAATAATTCAATTTGAATCAATTTTTAACCAGTGAGCAGAAATTGTAGAAAGATGTCTAAAAAGAGCCGTGAAGCTTCATTCAAGACAAATATAAATAAAAGCTTTACTCGAATTTACATTCGGAAAATGCTAGGCGGACTGTTTTGTCAAATTTTTGTCTAAGTTCCGGACGGGCAAAATTGCTGTTTTTGGGCTATATTTGGAAAGTTTTGACCAAAAAAATCAACCTTTTTTGGTGCAACTCCTAAAGGAGGTTATCGATTCCGCGGGAGGCGTCCCTGACTACAACCATAAAATCCGCCCCTGACTACAAGCATAAAATGAAACGAGCATTAATTACAATAACTTTGGGACACAGATTTTCACGACGCATTCTTGTGACTATCTTTACCACGATTTACATTTAACACCATTAAAAAGGCTGTACTCTTTTGTGCGCCATATGCCCTCATTGGTCAATGTTTCAGTTTCTCGAGTTTATGGCACCCAAAATAATAATTTAGATATCAAATGATGTTGTGAAGCTTAGTTTGAACAGAGGCGAAGCGGAGCTTCACACAAATTACGATACAACAAAAAATGGCACAGCAGCTAGCCCAAAAAAAAAGATGCAAAGCTGAGCCAAAAATGTTGGAAAACCTTTGATTTTTTTAACGTTTGTCGGGAATGCGGGTAAATTTAAGGAAAAATACTGAGAAACACAACCGCCAGTCTTATATAAGCATTAAAAACGAAATTCGTCAAGCGGATACTGAGCAGACAAAACTTGAGTAGACGACTGTTCAGCCGGAAAAAAAACCAAAATTAAGCTAAAAATTATTTTGAGCCAAATTATCAGGCAACTAAACAGAAATGCATCAGCCGAGACCTTTTAAGCCGATAAAAAACCTTTTGAAAAAAGCGAAAAATCATAACAAAAAAAAGAAAACTTAAAACAAGAGTTTATTTACAACCATCAATGAAAATTCGAATGGTCATTTGAAAGGCAAACGAGCTCAAAAAAAATCTGCTGACCTGATGCATTCTGTTCTGCTGCTATCAAAACGAGCTTACTGCTTCAACTGATTTTGTTCATCTAGTTATTAACCCGAAAAAAAGTCTACATTGAAGCTTGATAACGCTTGCTAATTGCGAGCGAAGTTAAATATCCCTTTAATAACTTGTCAACTAACTTTCTGAGATTAACGTACCTTGAGGAACTTCCCTAGTGTTTCATTCTGCAGACACTGGTCTCTGATGGATCTGGCAGTCCTGCCAGTCTCCTTCCTGGAGTGAACAAACACCAGCACCTGACACTGGCCCGCCCTCTCCATCACTTTCTCATACACTATTTCGTTCATCAGCTGCATGCGCTTAACTGCCTTCTTTTCTGTCACTCCTAAACAAATCACGTTGGAACTCATCTATAGAGAATATATCAGTCCAAAAAGTTAAAAGTTTGCAATATTCATTTTTCCAAGACTTTCTAGTTTTTTAATGCTTTATAGTTTGTCCATGAATTATCAGTGCTTTATTCATTTTGAAACACTTATGATCACGAATAAGGAAAAACTTAGGTCAAAAACGCAGAGGTGAAAACCGCAAACTCGTTATTTTCTTCCTGAAAAAAGGATGAAAAAAAACTTCAAATAGCTGCCATCAAAGCCGCAATTCGGAAGTTTTTTCATTACAAAGGCATGATTGATTGAATCAAGTCTTTGCAAAAACTAGGAACACAGAGATATTGAACGCAAAGAAACCGAAAACAGTGACTTATTGTTTTGAAAACATCCTACGTCATAGTTCCTTCCAGTCACTGTCAGTGACATGGTGGACAGAAAAATACTATTTCGTAGTGCCCTATAAAAAATTCCTTCTTAACTTTACAAAAGAAATAGAATTTCTACCCATCGAATTTTTGTAGCATGGTGTAATCGCTATGATGCAGGAACGAAAAATGTTCCTACTAGCTTTAGACACCAACTCTAGTAGTAATGGCTCCAACATTTCGTAGGCTTCATAAAAAACTTATGCTTCTAACGTTTCAGTGTTTCAAGAGCGAAAATATACAATCAATTTTTTGCAGTTGTTGGACTTACCTATGTACTGCTGCTCGAGTGGACATGGTCTGTATGAGTTGTCGAAGTAGTGCAGTCCAGTCTGGGGTTCCACTCTGAGGAAGGTGGCCACGTCCTGGTAGTTGGGGAGAGTAGCACTCAGACCCACCAGTCTCACCTCACCCTGCGTATTCTCTATGTTCCTGATGGTCCTTCAACGAAAAAATTAAATCATACAAAATTGGTAGTTTCAAATGATTTATCTCAACATTATTGCTACATTGTTCGAACATCTAATTTGCGAAAATACTCATAATGAAATCGGTTATCGTTATACGTAACTCGGCACCGACGTGTTGAGCCATTACTATAACTTTAATGAAACCGAAGCGCACAAATAGATGATACAACAAAGGTGACTCTAAACCCGCGTTCTTCTAATTTTACATATGTGTATTTTAAGTTGTCAATTTTCAATTAGAACTTCAAGTCTGCTTCAGAAAAACTTAAAACCAACTGGCTCACCTAGCCACAATATTCTCCAGCACCGGTCCTCTGTCATCATGCAGAAGATGAATCTCATCAATTATAATCAACTTCACCAGCTGAGTGTAAGTTCTCTCTCCCCCTTTCCTTGTGACTATGTCCCACTTCTCAGGGGTGCAAACTAGAACTTGAGTGGCCTGGATTTCCTCTCTTGTCAACTGATGGTCCCCAGTCAATTCCGATACTTTGATGCCATAAGACTCCAGTCTCTAAAAAAAACAGAAACAAGGGTACGTTTCAAAACTCTACTGAAGGTTGAAAGGGCTTTTCCTAGATAAAAATCTACTTTCAATCAAATATACGCTATTTGCAGATAATGAATTTTAAAAGCGGTAGAACTTCCGAAAAAGCGACAATCATAAGCGGATTAACTACACTAATTAACACTGAACTAGGAGCAAAAAGATAGCAAACAAACAGTTGGGGAAAAAGTCAATAAACGAAGGTAAACAAGAAAATAATGTTTTTTTTAAATAATAGATGGCCTTACAGCTCTTTGAATTTCTAGAACAATTTATGATTGACACTATTTGATTAAATTAACCCAATTTGAGAAAACCGGATGAATAGGTAAAATGTTTTATTTGCTGGGAAATTTGACACAGAGGTGAAGCTAAGCTTCGCGCCATTTGCGATACAAAAATCAAAAATGTCGAAAAAACGATATCTATCAAATGAATAGGGCTAGTTTTAAAACCAAGACGTGCCGAGACAAGAGAATGAGAAATTAGCAATAGAAGATAATTTACCCAGCGGTAACAAAGCCGAAGATACTTTCGCAGAAACCCTCTAAGCCAAAAAAAATCAGGAAGACTTCAGACTTATGGAAAGTTAATAAGTCCACCTCACCCTCAAAACACTCAAAAAACTTTATTTGCTCGTCAAATGAAACAGTATGAGACAAAAAAGCCGATTTAAAATAGACCGAAACCTATTAGGACCGAGAACAAAAAAAATGCCGAAAAATTTCAAAAAAAAGTAATAACAAGTTATCCAGCCCACCTCACCCTCAAAACACAGACACTGTAGTTGGATGGTTAAAACACAGCGGAAACTAAGCCGACAAAAAATAAACCCGAAGCGACGAAGTCAAAAATTCAAAAAATACCAAGAAATATCATTAAACACAGGCGAAGCTGCGCTTCGCAAACACTTGCGAGATCACGATCAAAAAGCAGCCCTATCAAGTGAAATAAGAAAAAGTAGCATAAGCCTCGAATCAGCAAAAACTAGGCTACGAGTAGGATTCGAATATGTGCCCTACTATAATCAAAAGATTTTGAGTCTCACGCACTATCTACTCATCCACGCAAGCTTAACAACCGATAAGCTACTAGTCACGAATAAAGCAATTACATATGCTAAAAAATTGCCAATGCAATTCAGCAAAAGTGGCACCAAATACAAATACACTCAATTTTGCAAGTAAAAATTTGGAATATAACAAAGTGAAGGCATCCAGACTAACTTTGCTTGTAAGAAGTAGCAAAGCGTAAGACCACATTATGCATAAATTACGCATTTCAAAAAAAAATGAGATAAATGGAGTTAGAAAATGTCTGAAATCGAGTTTTCATTACATTGCTTGAAACAAATCAATTTTTTCGGTTCATTTGATGAATTAAAAATGAATCAACTGTGTTAACTTATTAGTATTCGAATGTCAAGGCATATGCTATGAAAAAGCTGTAAGGGTGCCCCAAAAGGGGCACCAATATTTGCGACTTAGAATGGATAAAAAAAGAAAACGTACTAATACGCATCGCTTCGCAAGTGTAAAAATTTGAACTGCGAACTTATTGGAAAAACAATAATAAGGATGCTCAGAGAGAGTAATAGACCAATGAGCGCAAATATACGCACATACTGCATGCATGTCGTGAACTACATGCAATACTGAAATCTGTGAACAAAGTTGTTTATGGAAAAAAAATCTAGTACCCGATTACATTACCCTTGCTTATCGAAAGGGTAATAGTTAAAATCTATTTTTAAAGAAGAAATGAACTTAAAAAGAAACCAAAATTCAAACCGCAAAAAAAGCAAATTTCGGCTTGAAGACTTCTGAAAAAAAAATCACGACTTATAAATTAGTGAAACTTACCGCTGAGAAGTTTCCGACCATCTCCTGTACTAGTGATCGCATGGGTGCTACGTAGACTATCTTGAACTGGTCCGTGTTTATCCTGGCCTCCATGTCCATGTTCTTCCCTATCACTCGCAACATCGTCAACAGGGCCACGTTAGTCTTACCAGCTCCCTGCAACAGAATTACAACATTGAATTGAGCTCTCACGGAAGTGAGCAGCGTAAATCCAACAACTTGTCTGAAGAGAGCTCACCGAGTTTACAGAATATTCGCCCAATAAGATACAATCTATTTTGAAGGATTAGAGTTTCCGCCAAACAATATCAAATGAAACAATATCTCTCCTAATTTCTACATCGTGTTTATGAAAGAAGATTCAGACAATTGTTTTTTAAACACAGACGGGGCAAAGCTTCGCACCTACTTCGATACCACACAGACATAGCATTGTAAGCTAGTGCACACAATGACCAGCGTTAAATTAGCATTCGGAAGAATTTACTGGGCGCCAACAATAATTGGGTAAAATAGAATCGTTTACTGCTGAGCTTAGCTATTCAGTTCTATTTCAAGTTGTAATTGAATTTCATACTTAAAGAAAAAACACATTGTACAACTCTAATGAGGCGACTAGCAAAGAATCACTATTCATTACAACACCCTTTCGACCCCTCACCACCCAAAGGGTCCTCACTTTGCCCGACATCAATGTCGGCCGACCGACATCAATGTTCGGCCGACCGACCCTAATTTTCATACATGCGCCAATATAAACTAATTTTGAGGGGGAGCGAGCACCGAAAAAACGCAATTTTTTAAAATTAAAAACCTTCAAAAAAAAGTAACCTAAAACGTTTTTGTCCTGTTTATACAACAAATCCCCTACGCCGCAGAAAATTTTGTCAAAATAGGATAGCTATGGTGTTTTAAAAGAGTCCAGAAAATCAATTTGGTCGACCATTCTAAAAGAAGGGCAACGTTTCCTCAAAAAAACTATACGTAAAATGGGCAACGCTCGATGGGAAAATTGATCAATTGGTGCTCAAATATTCATTAAATAAATAAAATCAATGTACAAGGTTGAGAGTTATTTTCATCAGTTACATTCCACTTACAGTGGGTGCACAAATCAGCATGTTTTCATCACTCTCCAGGGCGCACTTTTGTACTTTGGACTGGATTCTGTTCAAATGAGAGAACCCCTTGAACGCCGGCTGGGCATATGCTGGCAGATCTTGAATCGCCACCAGTTTCTCCCCCTCTTTGAAAGGCTTTGGTCTCAAAGCAGGCACATGTACTTCCTCGTAACCTTAAAATCAGATCAATTAGTTCATCGGATCAACTGGAATGACTATTACCAGCAAGGACGTGCAGCTCTTTCAACAAAAAATACTATCAGGGTTATCTTGCCGCAACATATATTATTTTTGTACCCACACGGTTTAATTAGAAAATCATAGATTTAGACTTGCATTTAGAGGTTGAGCATGCAAGGGTTTTGAACGCAAAGTTAGCGAGATACAACAAGACCTACATGCAACAAGGTTCATACAAAACCAGCATGGATAAATTGACCGCATTAGCTCTGTACCTTTTTTCTGTCGTCTGTTTGAGCCTTCGGGCAGGTGACACTTCTTGTTGGACATGAGATGACTTCCTTGACTGAACGAGAGGTCTTCCAGGTCTAATGTTTTCATCTGGGAGTAGTTCTAGAACAAAAATCACATTTAATTTCTTCCACCTCATTTACGGATGCTTTTCCTTGAAAAATTATACACCTTAACAAATAAATACATATACACCTTAGCAAATAAATACGCCCACAAACTGTCAAAAAAAAACTAGACAATATCGAGATTCAAAACGATCCGCCTCCCATAATTATTCCATTTTTCCATTCAATTTACTCTTTTCCGCTTTTTTACAAATGCTCTTATCGATTAACAAATTTTCTTTTCGCTTTATTTGCAATGATGCACTGGATGCTCTTGGAGGTTGCTGGTTCACACATCACCTTCATGCGTGTACGCTTATAATTCGTTGGTCTATATTCACAAAAAAACGATAATTTCAGTTAAACCATCTTTTTTGATGAACATTAGTTTTTCGGTGGTTTTAGAGTTTTTTTTCATCTTTACCCTTGAGCTATCAAGCTTAAATTGTCTTTTTTAAACCTTTATTTAAATATCAGTCCCCGAAACCAGACAAAACTTAAAACTAAGAAAAGAAGATAAGAAGAAAAACGGCTGCAAAGAATTTCACAAGTGGTTTTCAAAAACTTCGAAAGCTCCTTTTCTTTATTAAGATTCAGAAATGGCTTCAGTTTGCGGCTCTTAAAGGCAAAACGTAAAGCAACAAAACTTAGATGCATTAAGGCACTTCCATATTTAAGTGAATAAAAACAGTAGTGTAAATTAAAACAAAATCACAAGTAATTTCTGAGGACCCTTTTTCAAAATGAAAAAGTAAAACGAAGCAGTAATGCAGTGAAGTAGTAGATGTTACAGGTGATCAGTGATGGTGGGGGTGGTGCTGGGAGACCCCCATGTTTTAAGATAGGAATAGAACATTGATATTTACCAATTGGATAACGCGCGCCCTAATTTCTTCCAAAAACCCGAGATTTCCACACAAAATTTGGTTTTAAAAAACGCTATTTTTCTTACCATTCTGTTACCATTACACAAACATGAAACCTTACCAATTTTTTTCCCTATCGTAATACATTGTAGACTCTATACCCAATGTTAATACATAGCTGGGAGACCTGATGTTCTATTCTCTAAAAACAGGGGTCTCCCAGCACCCCCACCCCCTGATCACCTCCAACATCTACTACTCAGTAAAAATATCTCCAAGATCGCCAAAAAGATTGCTGTCAATATTTATTAATACAAGCCGGTAAATTCAGTGCAATCGACTTGGCAGTTTGAAAAGCGAGGATAAAGAAATCACATGATTTAGACAACAATGCTTCAAAGGCTCATTGTCATATGAAAGGACACTCGAAAACTGGAAGAACTCAAACCTCGGGACAGAAGAGTGAAAAATTTCATCAGCGTATACAACCAGCATACAATATCAATTCTAAAGATTTGCCAAATTGGTGGAAATTGATGAAAAGGATGCCAGAGATAAATTAGAGTTATAAGTTTTACACCCCATTTTTGAAACAAAAAGCATAACAATCAATTTTTGAAAATTAATCGACGCAAATTGAGGTAGAGAAGAGAAAAGCATAAACTGAGCTCATTCGTTGAAAAAAAGTAATTAAACAAAATCATAGTAAACTTACAAACTACAGACCGACTGTGAATTGTAATAAGAATTGCTGAAATAAATTTGAAAAAAGCTTTGAAAAAACTCTATGCGTTGGACCGTAAGCTGACAAAAAACAAGCAGACAAGACAGGCCTACAATTAAAACTTTCCAAAACAAAATCTTCCACACATTGAAAAAACAAGGTTCCATAATAAAGCCAAGATACATACATACATACATAAATACATGATTTTATATCAAGGTTTAATGATTTTTGAAATTTCAAATATTCATGTCGTCCCCGAAGCCCGAACTTAGTTCGCTTTTCAAACGACGTCCAATAAGGCAACTTTATCCATATAACAAAACGAACAACCTTTTAGCGCAAAAATAATACGCAAAAAAATATATTTAAAATGGTAGAACACTGTTACCTGCAACATAATAATTTTGAATATAGTATTCATCAATGATAAAAGTAGCGTAAACATCAAGTGTGTGCTCAGGAAACTAAGCCGATAAAAAGCGCCGACACGAGAAAGTCAGAAAAAAAATTAAAAGCCTAAAATTTACGAAATTTTGGATTTAAAAAATTGTTGGCGATATTTCAAAAAATCATGTGCCATGAACTTGAGCCCGATAACAACAAAAACTCTGAAAGAGACGAGAAATAAAACGCTAACTAGCTAGAATGTAACTCCAAACCAACAGACAAAAGAAATTAACCAAAAGCTATGCAGCCAGAAAAAACACATCTATTTACGTTTTTCGTCAGTAATAGAAACATTTGGGGGCTATAATACCAAAATTATATTAAGCATTTACACTGCGCTATACAAAAGTGATTAGAAGAGAATTAGAATAAGAAAAAATTCTGATCATAGCCAAAAGACAAAAAAAACTTAAAATTGAACAATCGAACTTAAAACTTAATATTGTAGGGCCTTAATGCTCGTTAAATTTTCAGACGAAATATGATTGACATTTTAAATCGAACTACTGACACTTTCAAAGCCAGAAAATATTCACAATTTTTTGCGCCATTTCCACGTTCTTAAGTTTAGAAAGCGCAATTTAATTAACTTTAAGCAGATGAATTTGAGCTGAGCTCAAAAAATGCACATTAATATAGATGCATTCACAAATGCATTAATAGGTATGAAAGCACACATAGAGTTATAAAATCACTTTAGGATTTTTTCCTGAAAAAAAACGAACAAACAAATTAGCAAGACTTATATAAGAGCCTTCACTTCATTCAGTGACTCTTAAAAACAACTCAACTTGACATTTTAAAACAAAAAGTTATGAGCAAAACTTAATTTTTATACCTATATGTATTCATAAAAAAATCGCTACGTAGGACTGCACTTCTTTAGTTTTTAAGCATTGGGACTTTTTCCTGACAAAACAAAAAATCATCAATTCGTTTTTTTTACACTCAAAAAACAAATATCGCAAAACTATTCCAAAAAACGTGCAAAAAACTCATGATTTTAATTATATTCACCAAAAACGATATGGTTAACACAACACGCCACTTAAAAAGCAGCGAGCATATATCTACTTAAAAAAAATAAAAATTTTATGTTTTTTGTCCTACAAAACAGTGTCAGAGAAATTGATTTTGAGATTTCGCAAACATTGTCAAATTTGAATCAATTTCAGCTCAAAAAAATTGATAAGAAACTATAAGAAAAAAATGAGGTATAAAAGCCGACATAGTTATGACCTAAACCCAATAAAATCAAAACAATCAGAAACTTCAACGAAAAAAAATCGCATTAGAAGTACTTTCAAGTAACAATCACGAACAGTACACCAGCGCTACATGTAAGATGTAAGCGCTACATTAGTATACTATCATTTTAAAGATCATTCTTAAACTGACCACTCTGTGAACATATTTATTTATTTCAAAACATCGTCACCATCGAAATGGATTTCGCAACAACTACACAGAGGGGAACTTGCACTTCGCATAAGCAAGCAAAAAATATGACCGATAACGCCAATGGGAAAAACTGAATGAGTAAAACTTTGATCTACAAAATTTCTTAATAACGGACGCCTATTATGAGTCTACATAATTGCTAAGTGACGCAAGCCAATTATGAAGCATTAGCAGTACCAGTACATTTGAAAAAAAAGAAATTTACCAACTAACATGCCTCAATTTATAGAGCGGACGGATTTTAACTAGTATAAGAAAAAGTTAATTAAAAACATCCGACTCTGCCTAAGTTCGAACCCTCTTATTTGGTTGCCGGTCTCCTTTACTACCTCTACGCTACAGATCTATGATACCTTGAAGCTAAAGTGCTATTTGTAATAGTCTGTGTTAAAATCCTTAGCATTGGCTGTACTTAATAGCTGTTTATTGATCAAAATGAACACTTTCAAAATGAACACAATTTGTCGCAACAATGTTTGTGTCAACAATATTGGCAACTTGGGTTGGAAGAAAAAGATAGTTCATACTATAACACAAGCTTTTCATATGTAAATAAATTGATTCCAGAAACAGAATTAACAGCAGAAGCAGCTAGAATTCCGAAACTGAATTTGAATTCATCTCTACTTATATTTACGAGTGTATATTACCTTGTCTCCATCTCTTCCCATGAACTCTGGATCCTTGTCTACATACTCGTACTGACTTTGATGTCTACTCTGAGCGGCAGCAGATGAACCCGACACTGCACTCGAACTCCTGGCCGACGACGACTTCGAGGATCCCGCTGACGACGATGTCCTATCCAAACCGGAGTGGTCCATTTGTTTGTCATGACCTGCAAATATACATATATTTTTTAAAGAATTGCAATATGATAATCATAAAAAAGGTTACCAACCAAACTCTCCTCAAAATTACAGCTGATAGCAAAAAAAAAACGCCGGTTCTGTTGAGGACAGACGAGCTCAATGCCAGACTAGTGAAATACCAGACCAAACTCAAGGTCAGACTTGAGCAATAGAAACCTAATTAAAGGTCGACTGGTATAAAACTCAATGCACTCAGACAAGGTCAACTGGTCTGCTGGTATTTGATAAACTAATTAATTAACTGGTAATTAATTAACTGGTACTATTTGATGCTCAGTTTGTCGTGTCATTTTAAAAACACAATCTCAATTCATTCTTCAACAATCAGTATCTCTTCTCTCTCCTCAGTTGAAACCGCAGATAACTCTCAAACCTCTATCCCCTAGTCCTACTTGCTCTAACTCTGAATCTTAACAGGTTATGGGCCCAGATTTCTAAACTTTTTGATTTAATAATTATTTGATTTCTGTCAGAGTTTTTTTTAGCTTTTATCTAGCCTTTAGCAAAGCAGAGATGGACTTGAAACTGGCTGGATTCAGTGGAAAGTCTGAAGATTTTCCAGCTTGGTCGACGAAGTTTGTGGCACTGATGCATACCAAAGGCCTGTTCAGGACTGTGATGGGCAATGACGATCTACCAGAAGCTGAACCTACGCTACCTGAGAATCCGAATGCTGACCAGATGACGGCGTACAACACCAAGATGCAGGAGCGAGCTGTGCTGATCCAGCAGAGGAAAGACAACCGAAACACAGTGTGGTCACATCTAGCTCTGGTCCTGAACAACACCACACTGATGTACATCAAGAACGACTGCGTGGCTGCGGATGGCTATGGCGATGGGACGAAGGCCTGGAGACTGCTGCAAGAGAAGTTTTGCAGTGTGGAGAGGCCTACAGTGGTCAGTCTAGTAGGCCAGCTTGCGAAGCTGCGCCTAGGATCAGAGGAGGATCTCGATGACTACTTCGTTCGAAGTCAAGAGCTGATGACGCGGCTGAGTGAAGCTGGGGAAGCAATTACGGACACACTCTTCAATGCGCTCGTGATCAACGGACTGCCTGACAGCTTTGAGCATTTCGTGGTGCAGGAGAGCTTCCAGCCGGCCAAGACTTTTACAGAGCTGAGAACGAGGTTGAGGAACTATGATGACTCGAGACGAGCTCGATGTGGAGAGAAGACTGGGAATGGACACATAGCTATGCAAGCTGTGAGGAAGAAGAAAGGAGCGTCGGGTGGTGGCTGTTTTGTGTGCGGTCAGAAGGGTCATTTGGCAAGAGATTGCAGATCCAGAAGTGACAGTGGTCAATCTGGTGCTCGAGGCAGTGGCTCGAATGAAGCAAGTGGTCCAACTTCAAGGAAGCAAGGGTGCTTCAAGTGTGGACAACAAGGACACTTTGCAAGGGACTGCAAGCAGGCAAAGACAGGGTTCTTCAGTTGTTGTGCAACAACCTCAATGAAGGGAGATGATCTCATTGTGGATACGGGATGCACCGATCATGTAGTGCGCGACAAGGCTGTCTTCTCAAGCTTTGAGAAATGGGATGAGGGGACAACAGTTGAGAATCCGAACGGTACAATATCAAAGATTGAGGGCATAGGCTCGGTGGAAGTGGACATACGAGACTGTCAAGATGTGACGAGGAGCTACACTTTCCACAATGTGCTGTTTGTGCCGAGCTACAACGTGAATCTGATGAGTGTGAGCTCAGCAATAGCTAGAGGGTCTAGTTTCAGCTTTACATCAGACTCTTCTCATCTTGTGGCACCGGATGGTCGACGGCTACCAGTGAAGCAGCGCGGCAAGCTTTTCTTCCTGGAGTGCAAGTTCAAGAGGAACGCGATGACTCTAGCTACGAAAGCGAAGATGGAGACAAGTAGTGCAATGCTGTGGCACCGAAGGCTGGGGCATCTCAACAAGCATGATCTAATATCAGTTGTTGATGTCGGCGAGCTAGGGTTCTGCGAAGTGTGCACAGCTTCGAAGATGCACGAAGTAGCAATGCCAAAGAAGACAGAGAACAGGGCAACTGCAGTGGGGCAGCGGGTCTTCAGCGACATCCAGGGACCATTTGAAGTTGCGAGCATGCATGGAGCGCGCTATGCCGTGAGCTTCATTGATGACTTCAGCCGTCTGGCAGTGGTCAAGTACCTGGTTAAGAAGAGCGATACTCTTTCGAAGTTCAAAGACTTTGTAGCTGAGCACGGAACACCGAAGTGCTTGAGAACTGACAACGGAGGTGAGTATTCGTCGAATGCTTTTCGGATGTTCTGTAGAGAAATGCAGGTGAAACAGGAGTTTACAGTACCTAATACTCCGCAACAGAATGGCGTGGCAGAGAGGTACAACAGGGTGATAACTGAGATGACTCGATGTCTACTGGCCGATGCAAAGCTCTCAAAGATGTTCTGGGTACGAGCAATGTCAACGGCAGTCAGGGTTCGCAACTTGTGTCCTACATCCAGCAATGAGCATCGCATTTCATCAATGGAGATGCATTATGGGAAGCCATCGAAAGTCAACTACCTGCGAGTGTTCGGATGCCTGGCGTACTACCTGGACAGAGGAAACCGGCGGAAACTGGATCCGAAAGGCAAGAAGAGCAAGTTCATTGGTTATGACGAGGAGAGCAAAGCCTACTTGCTGATGGACCTGGAGACAAAGCGAGTGGTACGAGCAAGAAGCGTGACGTTCAATGAAGACATCATTCCAGACGACTTTCTGGTAGACAGTGAGCAGTCACAAACACTGGGTCTATCAATCGAGGGATGCATTGATGTAGAGGAAACTAGCACGAAGACCATCACTGAGTCTACCAATAAAGCGAACGATAGTGGAGCAGCAGCTTCAGTGGGGGTTACGGAAGATGACCCAGTCGAGACTGAAGAATTGGAACCACCTTCCACAGAGCCTCCAGAGCAGAGGCCAACAGAGATTCCAGAGCAGCGGTCAACTAGAACGCGGAACCCTCCCATCCGATACGGACTGGCTTACACTCATGCTTCAGTGATAGCACAAGAGCCAAGAAGCTACTTGGAAGCAGTATCTGGACCAGAAAGGGAGCAGTGGCTAGCAGCTATGGCTTTGGAGGTGCAGTCACTGAAGGCAATGGGCACCTGGACACTTGTTGATAGACCAAATTCTCGCAAGGTCATTCCTGGACGCTGGGTGCTTGCTGTGAAGAGAGATGCAATGGGACAAGTGGAGCGGTTTAAAGCCAGATACGTGGTGAAGGGTTTTATGCAAGTGGAAGGACTGGACTTCAATGAGACCTTTGCGCCAACCTGTAAACCAGAAACAAAGAGAATACTACTGGCTTTGGGAGCGCAAGATGATCTTGTACTTCATCAGATGGACGTGAAGTCAGCCTTCCTCAACTCGCCGTTAACAGAAACTGTGTATATGGAACAGCCCGAGGGCTTCAGCAGCGGGGACAACCAAGTGTGTTTGCTACAACGCAGTATCTATGGGCTGAAGCAGGCAGGAAGGGACTGGTACCAGACGCTGAGCACGTTTCTTCTGGAGACTGGTTTCACTCGAAGCACCAATGACTTCTGTTTGTTCACGATGAGGGGAATGGATGATGCTATGATCTATGTTCTAGTATGGGTGGATGATATCATCATTGGCTGCAAACTGCAAGCAGAAGTTGACAGGGTGAGGGACCGATTCACTGACCGATTCAAGATGGATGATCGCGGTCCATTAGCCTGGTTTTTGAAAATGCAGGTCAAACGGGCACCTGGTTCTGTCACTGTGAATCAGTCTCGCTACATTGAAGACTGCTTGGAGCGCTTTGGGTTGGCTGACTGCAAACCAGTAGGGACACCAGCTGATATCAGCACTCAGTTGACGAAGAAGGACTGCCCTGGAGCGGGCTCAGAAGAAGCAGTGGCAATGCAGCGTGAGGACTACAGAGGCATAGTGGGCTCGTTATTGTACATAGCCAAGCAAACGAGGCCAGACATCCTAGCTACTGTGACTCAACTTTCACGGTTTCTGGAGAATCCTGGGAGAACACACTGGGTGGCTGCTAAGAGAGTACTGCGATACCTGAAAGGAACCAAAGATCTGGAGCTGTGCTACATCAAAGATCCTGATGGGTTCAACCTTTATGGTTCAGCAGATGCTGACTGGGCTGGTGACGTTGATGACAGAAGGTCAACAACAGGCTACAGTTTTCATGTGCAGCGGTCAGGAGCAGCAATCAGCTGGAGTACCAAGAAGCAACCTACTGCAGCAATATCTACCAGCGAAGCTGAGTATCAAGCAATGGCAGCGGCTGTTCAGGAAGGCCTCTACTTACGATCCCTACTCAATGAGATGGATATGACGTGTGATGGTCCAACTGTGATCAACGAGGACAACCAGAGCTGCATCAAGATGTGCAAAAATCCCGTAATGCAGAAGCGTACAAAGCACATTGATGTCAAGTATCACTTTGTCCGAGAGCGGGTCGAGGATGGAACATTTGCGCTCGAGTACTGTCCAACCGAAAACATGGAGGCTGACTTGTTGACGAAATCCCTGAGCAAGGCAAAGGTGGATCAACATCGTCGAACGCTGATGGGTTGCAGCCTGACATTGGACAAAGCCAATTCAGCCTGAGTGGGGGTGTTGAGGACAGACGAGCTCAATGCCAGACTAGTGAAATACCAGACCAAACTCAAGGTCAGACTTGAGCAATAGAAACCTAATTAAAGGTCAACTGGTATAAAACTCAATGCACTCAGACAAGGTCAACTGGTCTGCTGGTATTTGATAAACTAATTAATTAACTGGTAATTAATTAACTGGTACTATTTGATGCTCAGTTTGTCGTGTCATTTTAAAAACACAATCTCAATTCATTCTTCAACAATCAGTATCTCTTCTCTCTCCTCAGTTGAAACCGCAGATAACTCTCAAACCTCTATCCCCTAGTCCTACTTGCTCTAACTCTGAATCTTAACAGGTTCCACTTAAAATGATATCTTAGAGCAGTAAATTAAGTATTCACATACTGATATATTATTGTTAACTGCGCATACTTTCCAAAAGCGAAATATATAAAAATCATAAAAACAGTTCTGAACTTCAGCTAAAGTAAAATTATCAAAACAAACATGATTAAATCGAATAATGTAAAAAACGAATTAAAACAGTTGAAATCACAATTAACAGAGACTGGAACCTCGCGAAGATGATGATTCCTGGTGATCCGAAGTCTCCCACAGCGCATGTAGAATGACACTCAACTTGGGATCACTTTGCATCTTATCTTCAATCTTCTCCTTCTCGTCTTGGCTCTGAGCTTGGGCCAACAGGGTGCAATATAGAACTACATTTCGATTCTGCACCAGTTTCTTGATGAATGCGAACTGGTCGAAGGAGAGCAGATCCACTAGCTGGTTCTCGCAATCTCGGTTGTCGCCAGCAGCCTGAAAAGCGACACTACGATATAACACAGAAGAGAAGCTCTGCTTCGCAAACACTTTCGAGAACACGTCGAAAAGCAGCTCTATAAGGGGCAATAAGAAAAAGTAGAAATAAGTCTCGAAATAGTAAAAATTCGGATACGTCTCAGTTTCCAACCTAAGACCTACAGCGACCTAGAGATAATTAATCTCGCGCACTAACCAATCAGCGACGGACGCTTAATTGATGACAAAAACTACCCACAAATAAAGCAGAGAATAGATGCTATGCAATTTCCAATCCTACAGTGAAATTTCCGTTTAAGTGAACACTTTTATTTAAGAGTTGGGTTAGAAAAAAAAAGAAGCTTCGCAGTAATAGACTACGCTGATCGCTAGTGTAAACACAGCCAATCGAAGATTAGAAAAGAGTAATGAACGCAAGTAAGCATTAAAAAAAAACCACTGACTTTCTTGAAAAAATATCAACTTTCGAACTTCAAAGAAAAAAATCGATGCCCTTTAAGCTCGTGAATTTCTAGAACAATTTATGATTGGCGCTTTTTGATGACATGAATCCAATAGAGAAAACTGGATCAAAGGGCAAACTTTTATTCCACCGGAAATCTCTAAACTTCCACTTTCGAAACTAGAAATCCTTCACGTTTTTTCGCGACATTTCCACGTTCGTATTTGGGGACAGCTTTTACGTCACTTTCAGCAGATTAACTTCAATTGAACTCAAAAAGGGCATATATACCTAAGTACATTCATAAATGCATCAATGTATATGAATGTACATCTGTAGTTATTAGACTTTTAAGACTTTTCCTGAAAAAAAAAATCAGTAAGACCTAAATAAGAGTCTTCACTACGTTCATTACTTTTAATAATTCACTATCTAAAGCTTCGGAAGAGTCGCATGATATGCTAAACTTACCTCATATGCAAACACGTCAAAAACATTCAAACTCACATGACATGGCAAGATTCCTATTTGGCAAGATATCCATATCCGACATTAAAGCATTTGATAACAAAGATTGCATCCTTGTCTTGGCTTAATGCCAATGTCGACATGCCAGCCTTAGTTTGGTATGGTGAAAACTTTTTCTGTTCTTACCTTTAAAATAGCTAAAACTTCATCTGCCTTTTTCTGACTTGCATGTGCATCATTGTAGACTTTGTTCAAATTCCTCTGCAGCCAATAAGCGTCGATGTCCCTCGGATTCAGTTCATCCAATGACCTTGAACTCTTCTTGGAAGTCATGGTGGTCAGACCGGCATTCAAGTGCTTCTTCGTATCTTTCTCTTTTACGCCTTCCGATGCTCCTTTTGCTTTACCTAAAAATATACTCAATAAAACATCTCCAGCCTCAATAAAAAATTCCAAAATTTTGTGTGGTACTTAATTAGGTCAAAACTCAAGCTTGCGAAGTTACTGTGTTTAAACTGTGTTGACACATATTGTCTTGTGTTTACTTATTTTCTTCCAGATTGATAAAATTAAGATAAGTCTTTTTGATTTAACCTTGCGTGGTGTCCATATCAGAGTCGCTATCTCCCTCGTCATCCTCACTATCACTCCCCCTCTCCCTCACTTCCCCGTACACATTCTCCCCATCAGCCGCAGCTCCTCTTCCCCCTCTCGCCCCTCCCTCTTCTCCCTCCTGATTATCTTCATCTGAGTCGTCAAATTGCACATTCACCCCATAAGTGTCGTCTATTTCGTCATTGTCTACACAAACATTTTTTTTCCTTCTATCAAATGGTACTTTTTATAACGAAAACTACGATGTCAAAAAAACATAGATTTCACTTCACACATTGATTCTTGGTTGCTTCGGTCATTGATCTGAAGTACCATAAATGTTGTCTATTTTGTCATAGTCCACGCAAAACTCCTCAATTTTCCTGTTTTCAAAAAATACTTACCGTAATGGCAACTGAAATGTCAATGAAAGCCGCAGTTTTCGATTCGTCATTCAAAATTGGTTACTTCGGTCATTAATCTGAGGTAGCAGACCAATAAAACAAACAGAAAAAATGCTACTCACAGAAAAATTCAGACTTTCAAATCAATTGGAGCCAAGTGAAAGGCTCCTCGAGTTTCCAATGCGTAAAGTATCGTTTGATTAGATGAAGAAGAAAAAAGCTCAACTCGGATGAAGGAAGTACAAGAAATTTTACATCAATTACTTAAGATTATTGATGATTCAATTATTTACAGTACAATCATTTTAAGACCTTTAATTATTGCAATTGCACTTTATAAAAAGAGAACAGGTATTACTGGTATCAAACTTGCAAAATTTTACGCAGAGGCGAAGCTGCGTTCGCATACACTACCGATGCTCTATAATAGGAAATAAGGAAAAGTAGAAAAAGCCATAAAATTAAAAACTTTGCAGTGGCAGATTCGATCCCACGACCAGGAGATTTGGAATCCCATGTCCTCGCATTTGCGCTACCGGCCCTTGAGCAGCTACATGCCGGCCCTTGAGCAAAAAAGCTGCTACATATGCTAATAAATTGCCAGCAGAAGAGGCAACAAATACAACACTGAGGCGAAACACTAGCAAGAACACGAAAAAAGCGTCTCTACAAAGCGCAATAAGAAAGTAGAAACAAGACTTGAGTTACTAAAAAATTGACCCATGTTCGAACCCTCTTATTTTTTTTGCAGGTCTCCTTCCCTACCTCTACGCCGCTACAGTGCCATAACATCTTGAAGCTAAAGTACTTATTGTAGTATAATAGTCGGTGTTGATATCCTTAGCATTGACTGCAGTTAATAGCTGGATCAAAATGAACACATTCAAAATTAACACAATTTGTCGCAACAATTGCAGCGCAACAATATTTGCGACTCAGGTTGGAAAAAAAGAGAGCTAACACTATAACGCAAGCTATGCAAGTGTAAAAAAAAGCTATAATTGTGTAAAAAAAAAGTGTACATTCTATAACACAAGCTATCAAAACAACTAAGGGTGCCACCGATGGTGGCGCCAACATTTTCGACTTGGGTTGGAAAACAAGAATAGTCGTACTAATACACAACGCTAAGTGTAAAACAGAAAACTACCCAGAGCAACCTTGAATGCTTTTAGAGTCATGTCACAGCTAATTTTTGTCACACAAAGCATCTCGCTTGAGGTACTGGTAGCGCCTACAAAAAAATTGTAGCAACACCTGAGTTTTTAATAATGCTCAAATTCAATTCGTTCATTTCTGACTGATCTAAGGTCGAATTCACTTTGACTTGCTCCAATTGTGTAAATTATGCCAACTGTTTTAATTATTTATCAAAAGATCAATTCATTGCTACAAAAAACAAACAGGAAGGAGCTTAAACCGTAAGAAAGAATAGACCTGACAATCGTCTTTACTGTAAACCCATTTCGTAACTCTTCGCTGAAAACTCTCCAATTTTCGCAAACAGGATACTGGCGAACACCAAACCGCAGAGCAATATACTACAATTGATAAAACTAGCGATTGAAACAATAAAGCCGAGTTCTTCAATAAAATTAACGTCAAGTGAAAATTTAAAAAGGGTAAAATTGTCGTAGCTGTAATTAAAACGTAGAACTTTGATGGGAGAAAAATAATATTACAAGCGACATCTTAATAATTTTATAACCAATATCTGGACCTGGTCCTTACCTGCACTGAACTTGTCAGCGTTCTGGAAGTCAGTGATCTTTCTGGTCAGATTCACCAGCAGAGCATATCTCTCATCGGGTAGTCCTCCCAGCAGGGACTCCACCTCCTTTCGCTTTTCCTTATCTTTCCTGTTTTCACTCTTGAGTGTTATGAGCACTTCGTCAGCCGCACCACACAACACGTCACGAGGCTAAAATATTAAATGAATTTAAAAACAAACCGGAACTGTGAGCCAGTCCGAAATGAGCGTGTATAAGGCAGCCAAAAATTACGTTATTTGGGTTGAAACTTGCCAGATTTTTGTAACTGTTACACAATTGTTACATTATTATTACATGATGATTAAGATAAGACAAAAAATGCAGAGGGCAAAGTTGCTCAGAATTTCACCAAAATAATATGGTGCAATAGTTTTACCAAATTTTTATTCAAAACTTTACCCAAAAAATGGGTCAACTTGGCTTTTGTAATTAATCAAGAATTACGATGAACCTACCAAATTAAAGATGAGAACGTTAAATAAAAAAGCCCCTTACACGGCCAAACAAAGTTTTCGAGATATAAAATTTTCGAAAATCTATGTAAGAGAATATATTTTGATTGATAGCCAAAAAGGTAATTTTTACTTCATAAAAATCAAAGTCTTCGGCTAAAACAAATTTCAAAAATTTTCCGAAAAACTTGGCAACTTTTTTTTCAAGAATTTTGTTGGGCTGTGTAAGAGTCTTCTTTTGATATAACTTTTTTTCTCATCATTTAACATGGTAGTTTCAGCGTAACTGCTGATTAATTTAAAAAAGCCTATGACCATTTTTTGGGGCGAAATTTTAGGAATTTCGGTTAAAAAATTGCACAATATATTAACTCTGGTGAATCTCAAAGCACCTTTTCTTCTGTTCATTTTTTTGTCTAATCTTCACCCAATTTGGTAAAAACGCGTTTTTAATTTCAAGTTTTATTCGTCTTCATAACAGCTTCCTACAGTTCTCATTTAAGTTATCCGGACATTTAAAACTTCAAATCTTTTTTCTCAAATTGAGTTTAGAATAAGACAACAACAAAAAACTGAAAATTTGCTCAAAATTTTATCAGAATTATAATGATCCAATTTACTTTTTGAAATTTGCAGCCAACATTTTTTTCCCAAAAATGGGTGTTTTTGGCTTTTTATTAGTAAATCAAGAACCCAGCTGAAAAAACACTGCTAATTGATGAAAAAATTATAACAAAAGAAGCTTTTTACACACCCCGACAAAAATTTAGAAAGTAAAAATTCGAAAAATACCGCTTGACATTTGTTTTTAAGCAAAGATTTTGATTTTTACATAATAATTCGACTTTTTTTGGCTATCAATCAAAACTATATTCTCTTATACAGATTTTTGGAGCGTTTACTTTGTCGGACTATCTAAGAGACTTCTTTTGATATAACTTTCTTATCATTAACTAGATAGTTTTAGCGTAATTCTTGATTAAATTTAAGAAAACTCAAAATGACCCATATTTGGTGTACAGTATTGGTTGCGAATTTCGAAAAATGAATTGCACTATATTAATTCCGGTTAAATTCTAAGCAACTTTTGGTCTCTTACCTTTTTGTCTAATCATAACCCAATTTGGAACCCAGAAAAAAAGCCTTTGAAATGTCAAATTTTGTTCTTTGTGCCCTTAAATAGCACTGTATTATTGTCTGGCTTATATGGTAGCTGATTAAAATACCCTCCATGTATCAAAATGTAAAACTTTGAGTCAATTAGTTTCAGAGGCGTCTGAAAATAGGCTGAAAAAACCCACGGCATTTTCGCTGATTGATTTTTTGTATTTTTTTCCTAGCAAATTGATTCTTTTTGTTTGCTAATTCTTTACTTTATAATGAATGGAATCTTATTTTGGAAACAATTTATTACATTACTAACATTGGAGGAGTCCAATTCCAACCATCATTATCTATCATTGAAAATGATTTTCTTTAATACAATAACCACAAATTAACAATCGGACGTTACCATTTTTTATATCCCTTTCATCATCAAATACATGACGAGTATATGCTACTCTAGACAGTACCATTTTGAAAAGTTAGAAACCCCCGATTTTTTCGTTTCGACTATATTATTTTAGTGATTCGCAATTTTGCGATCAGAATGTTCCGACGATATTGCTCTTGTGATTGACAGTTTTGCGATTAGATTGTTCTGACGATAATGTTCTAGTGATTGACAATTTTTCAAACATAGCCAACTGACAGTTAGAAAAGAGTAATGAACGCAAGGAAACTGATAAAAACTGACTTGTTTTTTCAAATACCTTAAACTTTTGAATTTCGAAGAAAAAAAAAAGGCGTTAAAACTCTTTGAATTTGTAGAACAATTTATGATGGACACTTTTTTGTAAAAATAAACACAATTTGAGAAAACTGGATCAATAGGCAAAAATTTTTTTCTGGGAAATCTGATAATTAATTTCCATTTTCGAAATTCGATCACGTGATCTTTACACTTTTGTTTTTCGATAGTGGAGTTTGCCTTCCTTTTAACAATAGAAGTGCACTGAGCTTGAAAAGAAATCACAAGTCAAACCGCAAAAAATCAAAATTGAGCGTGAACAAATTTTACTTTTCTCAAAAAAAAGACCTATATAAGATTACTCACTACGTTCATTACTCGGAATCAGGCAGGAATATTGTCTAAACAATCTGATTAAGAGTAATGAACGTAGTGAGTAATCTTGCATAGGTCTTTTTTTAGGAAAAAGTCGTAAAATTTGTTCACGCTCAATTTTGATTTTTCGCAGTTTGACTTAAGATTTCTTTTCAAGTTCAGTGCATTTCTTTTGTTAAAAGGAAGGCAAACTCGACTATTGAACAAAAAAAAAGTAGAGATGACGATAAACGTGATCAACTTCTAATTTCGAAAAAGGAAAATTTCGAAAAAGGAAAAATCTGATTTCCCAGCGAAAAAGTCTTGCCTATTGATCCAGTTTTCTCAAATTAAGTTTATTTTTACAAAAAAAGTCCATCATAAATTGTTCTACAATTTCAAAAAGCTGTAAGGCCATCTATTTTTTTTCTTCGAAATTCAAAAGTTGAAGGTTCTTGAAAAAACAAGTCAGTTTTTTTATCAGTTGAATCAATAGATTATTATGGTCGGAGAAATCTGATCGTAAAACTGTGAATCAGGCAGGAATATTGTCTAAGCACTCTGATTAACAGTTTTGCGATCAGATTCCTCCGACCATATTTTTCTATTGATTCAATCTTGCAATCAAGTAGTGACATGTACCTGGTCACCCAAAGCCTCTTGTATGAATGTCAGCATGATCTCATACGTCTGTCTTGTCTCCTGTGTCTTTGGCCTGTACACGACTCCTGAAGATACCATTTCATCCACACTCTCACTAAGCAATGTTGTCCCCTTCATCCGATCTACGTCATACCTGGCCTGGTCACGCTTCACACGTCTAAACACGAAAAATTTTATACCATTTTTCAGTTAAGCAACTAGATGCCGGTACATAATAACAATAACCGCAAAGTTACTGCTTGCGCAGTCTCACAAGTATGATAAATTAGACCCTGAAAATTTGATGGTCCAATGAAAAGTTTTTTATTTGTGCTTGAAATCTTTGGAAACAGAAATCTTTGTGCTTGAAATCTTTGGTGAGCGGGCAAGCATTTGCTTACTTGTTTCAAATTTTTTTTCAAAAATTGCGGACGCCATCTTTCATACTTGCTTTTCCAGGGACCCATGACTCATATCTAGTTTTTATAATAAACCAAAAGTTTCATACGTTCATTTACAGAAATAAATCTAACCGTTTCATTAATCATGCACATGTTCTAAACGCCAGATACTAAAGCATCCGTTTAATTTCGGATTTTAAATATTCCTTTACCAAAATGTTTCTATCTGTTTCTTTAATTCTGTACATAACGCCACAAAGGTCGCAATGCTTGTCGAAAAGTTCAGATACTAGAAGCATCTTTATTATTTCGGAATTTTAATACCATTGATTCAGCTCGCAAATCATGGTGGCATAAATTCCAGGCAATAGCAAAACATCACTCTTCTGTAAAATGTTTGATTTCACGAAGACATTTCGAAAATTGAGATACAACAGAATTAAACTCCCACACAAACCCAATGTGCTCATTGTTCGGATAATAGTGAGCTTAAATTATTGACAGATTACTTAAAATTACTTAAAGAAACCAAATAAAATTTAAATAAACAAAGATAGAGATATCCAACTAAACTTGGATAATTTTTTTTCTACATTTCTTTCCAGTTTTTTATCAAAAAGGCAAAGGAGTTCAGAATACTGTACATGAGAGGTTTCTTGTGACGATTCTTCATTAGCAGTGGAATACATATATTTGCTATATGCTGTTCTTTCACAAGTAGTATACGTACTTTTATACTCCCTAGTCCACTGAAAAATTTTAGTTATCTAAGATTTTTGTGGTAGGGCGACAATTCGTAACAAGCGACAATTCGTAACAAGCGACTATTCTTCACAAGCGACAATTCTTAACAAGTGACAATTCTTAACAAGCGACAATTCTTAACAAGCGACAATTGTAACAACACATAGACAAGAAGAATAAGCTTGCTCCGCTGCGCTTACATTCTGCACCAGGGGAATACTGCGCAAGAATCAGTGTTCTCCGATTAATCTACTGTAACGAAATGTCACCTGTTACGATTCGTCACATCTTATGAATTGTCGATTCACGAGTTTTTGTAATCAGGTGGTTTATGATACGAAAGACAGGGCAATAATTTGTTTGGAATTTTTGAAAACTCAATAAAACCGCATACATTGAAAAAAAAGATCTGGAACCTTTGAGTGTACTCTGACAGTACCCAATGACAGGGTTCGTAATTTCAAATGTTGACAAGTTTTTTTCTATGAGTTTTTAAATTCAAATATTGAAAAAACATTAAATTTTGTGAAGTTTATATATCTAAGTTTTTGAAAAATTTTAAAATGACATTAAAAACGTCAAATCTTGGAAACTTAAAGCATTTGAGCAGTCGCGTTTCGATGCTAAATTTGCAACTCTTGAGCGTACTCTAACAGTACCCAACTACCGTAAAAAGATTTAAGTAAAAACTATTATGATTTGAGTAGGCATATTCAGAGGCAAGATTTTCAACCCTTCGAGAGTTCTCCGACAGCTTCCAACCAAAGGGTCGGGAATTTCAAAATTTGAAAAAAAAAATGAACTTAGGTTTACTGAGATTTTTTAAGCAATTACAATACACGCCATATGTCGTAAACTACAAAAATTTGAACAGTCATAATTGGAAAGAAGATTCTCAACACCCGATAGTATTCTGACAGCCCCCAAATAGAGTGTTCGGAATTTCAAAGTTTGGCAAAAAAAATTCAAATTTAAGATTTCTGAAAGTTTTTTGAAATATCACAAAAAAGGTCATATAAGAGGTTTTGAGCAGTCGCATTTGGGCGCAAGATTTATATCTCGAAACTCCTGAGAGTACCCTCACAGTACCCAGTACCCAACTACAAGATTAGGAAATTTCAAATCTTTTGAATTTTTTAAAAACTAAGTTTTCTGAAAACTTAAAAAGAAACCATAACACGTCATATCTCGAAAACTACAAAGATTTCAGCAGTCATATTTGGAGGCAAGATTCGCAATCCTTGAGAGTACTCTGAAAGCACCCAACTACAGGGTTTGAAATTATTTTTAGTTTGAGTTTTCTGAAAAACTTTGAAAAAATCTCAAAAATCTCGTACACTAAAAGGATTTGGGTATTCTTAATTGGAGGCCAAATTCGCAACCCCTGGGGAAGCTGACAGAATCCTACTTTTGTGTTGCTAACTTTTAATTCGCTGGAACAAACACTAGATTCAAACTGGAAAATCGAAAAAAAATTGTTATACATTACAATATACGACATAGCTTAACCATGCATACTTACCTTATGCCCTTAACTGTTGTGAAAACAACGCTTAAAGCTGGCAAGATACGTGTCACGCGCATTAAAATATAGTATAGAAGTTCAAATCTGTTTTAAGATTCTGAATCAAACTAACTTCTCCTTGCGCCTCTGCATCTGGGGCGGTTTGGATCTCAGTGCCTTGTCTCCCATCTGGGTGCCCAGTAGCTTCCCGGTTAGGGACAACACCTCCCCTGTCGCCTCATCTCTGCCTCGCTTGTTGTCTATCAAGTTACGGTCCGGTTGCAACACCAAGTTCGAGTTCTGAAACAAATTTGGACTGTTTTTCAGTAGGTTTGAAGCATATTACCTTGTATGTTAATAATTTTCATATAAATTTACAGTGCTATTAACCTCATCATGATTAGTTCATGAATTGCAATTTTTTCTAATTTGATTAAAATATTATTTTTACTCAGATCAAAATTATGTAAAAATATCAAATTTTACGAGCTTCATGTGCTTGCGGCCCATTTTTGAACTTAAATCGCAATCACAATTTTTGAATAGACAACTCAGACCAGAACGCCTAGAAACTTTCTCATAATTTAACACTGTTCAATGATAAAATCTGTATTGCACTTTTTGTATTGTAATTTCTGTACCATTTGAAATATTTTTTCTACTTCTCCCGAAAAAAATCATTTCTTTTCACGCTTCACAGACTCTGAGCTTTTTGACACCGTCAATTTCTAATCCTCTGGACCGCGGCGACATAAAAAAAATATATATATTTTGTTTCGGCACCTTAAATTTCAATAGTATTGAATCTACGCTTGAAGAGTAACTTTTATGGTGAATTTGTTTTGTTTTTCATATTGATTTTCCAATCAAGGTTAGATTGTGGTTGGCATAGAATCTTTGAAAGAAACTCTTACCACTTTGTACTCGAACTGCAAATTTCGTGCTGCTTGATCGGCCATCTTTTTTCTTTTCTCTCCTCTTCAAGTTCAAAGAAACAACACTCCGAGCTATTTTATTGTGAAAATCAACTCAATGAAGAACTGTTTCTAATCAAGCAGTTACTCAAATTGCATGTGATATCTAAAATGCAACACAAAATGCTAACACTTATATTTTATTTCGATATTAGATTTTATTTCAATGAAATTTCCTGATTGAATTTTCAATTCATTTAATTGATCGGATTTTTCAATGGATTTTCAATTGATCCGATTTTGCAAACGATTTTTAGGCACTTTAGATTGCTGGATGAATTCCGGAAGAGAAATTTAACTAATCGGTAGACCCTGTGTAAGACAGTTTGATAGCTAAATTGACTGCATTTGCATAGAAGATCCTCGAAACTATTAGTAAAAACTATCTGCGAAGCCATGAATGGTGATTGGATTAATTGTACTTTTAACTAATTTTAACAAGAGATTCCTGTTGCTGCCCCTGTAGCATACAAGGTTCAAAACTTTAATTACAAAATTACAATAAAAAAATACATTTTGTTCGAGAAGCTAACTCGAGTAAATTACTCCTAGAATACCAATGACAGCTAAAAGAGCTTAAAGATGAAGCCATACGCAATACCTTACTTCAAAAATGTGAAGATCAATCGAACCGATTCCCCGAGCTTCCCTAAATCCCTATATAGACTCTATTTTGCCGAAGAATGCCCACCCCCCCCCCCCCTTTTCTCGAATGTAGCAATAATTGGCGCTCAAGGCACCTGAAGAAATTTTTTTGTTAATGGTAGGGGCCGAAAACGGCGGTCACAAAATAGCACCGAAGGTGGACAAGACTCCAATGAACGAAGGGAGGGGGCTGGAGGGATTGCTTATCCATCTTCTTCCCCTAAATCCACCCCTGCAGTCGGCAATTTTGAGTCGCAAAACCATAAAATGGCAACTGGAAAAAACGTTCCATTTTCTGTGCCGCCGGCAAACTTTTCGGCTCGCACTTCCAATTCAATTTTTTTTCTGGTTGGTCTGCCGAAAGGTCAGCTTTTAATGTTCAAGAGCGTTATTTGTCTTTCAATTGGCAAAAGAAATTGAATTGAATTTGAAAGATTCCAACCGCGAGAAATCAAATTTGAGCGTGAACAACTTTTTCCCCAAGTAAAACACGATGTAAATAAGTAATAAATTACTTCATTCTTCAGCGCTAAACAAAGACCTTTACATTTTAGCAGTCATAGCCTTTCGCAGACATTAACAAAGGCAAGCAGGAATACGCAAACCAAAGCGATAACACAACGGCCAAAAAATGCTCTAACTTGAAAGTGGAACAACGAAAAAGTATAAAAAAGAAAAAAATTCTTCAATCTGCAAACACTTCAATCTGCAAACACAAGCCATCAATAAAGCAGATACAATAGATGCTATTTAATTGCTAATGCTTAAAATAAGACCTTCGGAATTGAACCCCCGACCTGGAGATTAAGAGTTTCACGACTTTGCACTTGTTCCACGGTCACTTCTCCATCTCCAACAGTAGCTATCAAAAAGCAGATAAATAAGATGCTATTTAATTGCAAATGCAATGAGAAAAATTGCCACAAAATGAGCACTTTTAGTTGCAAGTTGCGCTGGGAAAAAAGTGGATCCCTAAGGTAACACTACGGTCGCAATATCTCATGTGTAATTATTTAGGATCGATAACTTAACAAGATTGATAATAATAATTTACTTGGATAGACAACCATTCAGCCAAAAAATGCCATGAAAAACTTTGAGCTACTAAGTTTCAAAACTCATTTTACAACCAACCCTTCAGAAGCAAACAATAACGGAGAAAAGTAATTTCTGTTTCGAACGACACATTTTACGGTGCCCAAGCCGGTATAAATAAAACGGAAACCACTTAGGCGATACAAAAACGATTAAAAAAATTGTATTGACAGTCAGAGTTCGTTAATTAAAAAGTAACAGAACGATTTTCGATAAAAATAAAAACTATTTAAGTTAGAAAAAAAAACATACATTTCGGAAAAAGCCAGCAAAAAATAAACAAACGGACTATAATCCGACTATCGAAAGTTTCCAAAAAAAAGCAACCTAAATAAAATCTATTAAAAGAAAACAAGTCTCGAAGCCAAGACCCAATGATGCCAAGGCACGCCGGTTACAGGTAAGCCAAAAGTATAACGGCCCTCCTCGAAAACCAAAAGTATTTCAACCGAAAAAATTATATTGCAGATTTGATAGCCTGCACTGTAACCTGAAAGCACTCCATCGTAGGTTTCAGATTTTCAATTTCTAGTTGTTTTTGAAAACCAGTTTTTTTGAAAAAGAATTCAAAAAACCATGACAAACTCCATATCTCGGAAACCAAAAAGGTTTGAGCAATTAAAGTGAGAGGCCACATTTGAACCCTGATAGTACCCTTGAATATACCCTAACAGCACCTCACCATAGTGTTGAGAACTTTAAGATCGTTTTTTATTTCTATTTAAGTTTTTGAAAATTAGAAAAATCATAAAATCACATCTCGGAAACCCAAAGAATTTGACCAGTCAAATTTAGTGGGTAGATTTTCAATACCGAAGAGCACCCCGACAGTGCCACACCAGAAATTTGAGAAATTCGAGTTCTGCTTGTATATTTTATATCTAAGTTTATATTTAGAAGCCAAACTTGCAACCCTTAAGTGTCCCCTAACAGCACCCCACTATAGGGTTAAGAATTTCAAATTCGGTTAGTTTTGTTTTACCTTCTTTAATCATATAAAAACGCTATATCTCGAAAATCAAAAGGATTTGAGCAGTCATACATGGACGCCAGATTTGCAACCTCTGAGTGTACCCTGACAGCACCCATTATAAGGTTGAGAATTTCAAACTTAGTTAAATAAATTGTGAAACAAAAATTTTGATAGCTTTACGTTGCAAATATAGGAAAAATGTCGAGTTAAAGCATTCAGGCTCCAAACAGATTTAGAAATGTCGACTTGAGTAAATATTTCAACCCTTGCAATGTTTTGACTTTTTGATAGACCAACATAGCGAATTCTTAAACATTTGCCAAGTGAAATTTCTAAAGGATCACAATATATGATATATCTTACACATGCAAAAATTCTTTCGTTAAACTTACAAAAAATTATACGTTGAAAAAGCTTTAACATGTCAAAATAGGAACTTCTTGAACATGTATCAAGTGAAACGCCAATTAAATAATGTATATATTTTGGCGCAGAAAGCGACAGTTAAAACTTTAGAGACGAGATTTAAAAGTTACCAAAGGGGGCCCCTTTGGGCGGACAGAGGGTCGAAGGCGAAAATCGCAGAAACAATTCAGGTAAAAAAAAAGCACACCAATCATTGACACTTAGCAATTAAATGTTTAATATTCACATATGACATAACTAATAAGTACTCATGGCTGTCGATAAAAAAACAGACAAAAATTAATGTATAAGATTTGGATAGTTTCTTCTGTATCGGAAAAATCTCTGCCACCATTCCACAACTCTTTTTATAGACGAGTTCCTTTGATTTTGACAAATCCAGGGCTGATCAGGGCACATTACATTCGATTTGAACCAGCTGAAGGTTATGAAATCGATCGGATTCTCATACGGTATTCTTGGAGTCCAATTATCTCCAACCTTTAAGAGATAAGGGATGCCATGACGCTCATCTCTGAATCCATTCCCATGATTATCTCGTTTTAGCTCCCCAATTCCGAAACCAATTATGGTAATTATATTAGCATGACAACCAGGCTCGTAGAAGGACAAAATGTAATTAAGTTGCTTGTCTTCCTCCGAGTAATCAAAGAGTTTCGTTAAATACTCCATAGGAGTAAGCAACGCTTCTCGAAAACCATACGTGAAATAATAAAAATATTGACCTTGACAACAACCCTCGCTGACTACAAAATGGTTATGATCCTCATACACTGATTCAAAGAGATCATCACATTCTTCTCTAACAAATCTCTTCAACATGTTAAGATGACTTCCGAACAATTCGCTGGCAACAACATCTCCAGAAATGGTCCGGACGTGAAACGCTGGATTGTAAATATCTTCTTCAGTTACGAAGGCAGTTAAACAGTAGTATTTACTACGCTTTTTGCACAGTGGCCAGTAATGGTTAAAAGGGACTGCAATGGGAATTAAGAAATTCAGAGAAGACCAGACAGGATTGACCGTCGAATTAATTACAATACCACTTGCTGCTCCTAACTTAACGCTACCTAACCAAAAAAATACAAACCATAGAATATTTATAATCATTTTTACCACGAATTTGTTTTCATACGTGGTTCAATGTCATTTAGTAACAACAAATACATGACTAGTATAAATAAACTTAATCAGGAAATATCTGATCATTAACTAACTCCTTAAATTGAGTTTAATTGATATGAGCAAATACACTTAGATATCAAAGATCAAGATTCGCACTAGTAAAGACACATCCGAATTTCGAAACAGAAAAACGAAATCATGAAACTGAGTTACTTGCACCTTTAAAAACTTTTCAAACAGGCGAAGCAAAGATTCGCACTATTTGCGATATAATGCATACACCGCATGAAAAACTAATCGAGGGAAATAGAGATGAAAGCCGCAAAATATGCCAAGACGGTAAACAACGTCATCACCATTGAAGCCATCGCCAATATCAGTCATCCTGTGACAAAGTTGTTTACGGGAAAAATAGCCGAGTACCCACTTGTATCTTAACCGAAAAAATACTTTATAAGTTTGACCGATTCAAAGAACGCATATAAAGGATTATATGCAAAAGGTAGGATACGATCAATGTAAATGGCCGAACTAAATTCAAAAACAATCTGATTGGCCGAATCATTGGAAGACGAAAAAGAGGCCTATCTAGAATTCCAACAAACACTCTTTTACGATCACTACACTACTTCAGCCGAATACCGCTAGTTATAAACTTTCGAGTTTAAAAAATCGAACCACATTAGAGCTTATTAAACCGCGAAAATCAATTTTAAAGACTCTGTCTCTTCTCTTGTAATGAGAAATTTTACAAAGTTTATAAAGTTTTTGACCTATCCGAACTGAAACACATAATCTCATCATTATATCTATTTTGCCCTCAAAACTACGCAATATAATTTGAATCAGCCGATTTAACAAAAAGCTATACTCTTTCATCGAATAAAAAATAAATGATTGAAAATCAGATTTGATAAAATTACAAATTACTTAACTTTCAAATATAGTAAAAAATTTTTAATCAAAATGAAACCTAAGCTTAAACAACCGAACCAATAAAAAAAATTGTGTTAAAAAAACGGAAAATGAACCCACAGAAACTAGGACGAAAACCACGAACTCTAAAAATCTTATTTCAAATTGTTTTGACATAAATTCACTACACCTTGAACGAATTGCACCTAATTACTACTTGAATGATGATAGTTTAATTTAAATTATTGGGGAATTGAGCATGTCAGCCATTGAGCTTAATTTCACCGATCCTACTAAATCTGCCATTCTGTAACAAAGTTACTAAGTGGGCGAGTCTAGTACCTGATTGCAACACCCTTGTTGACCGCATGAGTAAAAGACGTAAATTATACTAAATACAATTAGTTGCATCTTTGCAAAATTTAACACAGAGGCGACGCTTCACTTACAAACACTAGCGAGAACACGACAAAAAGCAGCTCTATTAAATGTTTAAAAAATAATAAAAGAAAGCCTCGTAATTAAATATTCGAGTACGTCTCTCGGATTCGCTCTCCAACAGATCAAGACCTAGAGATAAAGAGTCTACCACACTAACCACTGAGCAACGAACGCTTTATAGGTAATATACACTAGTCACAAACAAAGCAGAGAACAGATGCTATGCAATTTCCAATGTTACAGTGAATTTCCAAACAAGTGAACTCTTTTAATGAACTCTTTTATTTGCGAATTAGGTTAGCAAAAAAAGGTTCGTTATAATACACTAGGCTAATAGCTAATTTAATAATAATCACAGAAACATTAGTAAGTTTATTCAAGCTATCCCAGCAGTAAATATTTCAAATTCTATAGCTAGCAAAAAAAACAAGATGCGACCTGGATTCGAACCAAAGACATTAGGCTACCAAAACAAGCACTCCAACACTAGACCAAATATGAGGGGCCTGGAAGTTACTGAGGTTTCATAATAAAGTAAAGTTTTTACCGGGGAAAAGTTAAGTTCCCAAATACAAGTAAACTCACTTTCTCTCGCAAATGAATTGATTTGAACAGCGATGAATTTGAACTCCGCATACAACTCAAATCAATAAAAACCATAAATCTTAAGTTTCTTCACCTTCGAGACAGGCCAAAACAGCAATAAACAATTCGATCTGCTTTTCAAAGTGGTGACCTAGGGGCCATGTGATTAGCAGCTATATAGGTGCAATTAAGCGACGCTATTATGGAAGACGACACGACAGATCGTTTTTTTAATGGGTTCAGGCTTCATCCGCAAATGTTGCGTTTTACAAATCTTTTGAGCCACAACTGATCAGAAAGCCCAGCTGCTATATTGACATACTCAGCGCATTGCTAAGAAAACATAAAATCTAACTTTAATTAGTCAAATAAACTATCATTTACTAATTAATTAAACTAAAATGCCAGATAGATTATGACATGGTATACGTGATTAAAGTACTAACATGATACATTGCAAATCTATTCACACTATATGTAGTTGGCACGTTTATTGCATTACTGTGTGAATAAATTTTCGTTTGTAACGTCAAGTGAACGCATTATTTGATCATCAATTCTTTTTATTTTCATTCAAATCACTCAGCAACTCGTTTGCCCTTTTCGTCTCGGGGTGGTTTTCTCCGTACAACGACACCGAATTATGATAGAACCCAACCAAATACTTCTTTGCCTCTTGGATTTCATTCGCATATTGGTGGAATCGTCCTTTGTTTCTGCAGAATCTTCCGTAGGTCAGGTGGAGACCCCCGCCTCCGAGCATCTTCTCGGCTTTAGTAAAATACTCGCGCTTTTTCTCGTGATCCTCTGCAATGTCATTTCAAGGTTAAAATTCAAAAAACATAACAGTATTACTCAAATGACAACTATCCTTATTTTCATTCAAAAGCGTACTATGTTATTTTGTTAACAATACTATGGCCAAGCCTAACTTCACAAACAGAACTCTTATATAGTAGATTTTTTCGCACTGCCATCTTTATGCACTGTGATCTGCAAAAATCTATGAAAATTGCATCAAAAACGCAATAAGAACTGAGGCAAGCAAAATAAAATTTCGAGTTAAAAAAACTACTTCATGATCACAATTGTCAGCGGTGATAGATATCATTCAGTGGTTTCAAATAATATTTTGTACTCACTTTCGAAGATGCCCCTGGATATTTGGCAATTGGCGAATCCGACCATATCTCCTGTTCTAAGATAGCATCCTTCTCCACTGTCGAGCCAAGTAGAGACTTCTATCAGAATCTTGTCAGCCAGTGTCGTGTTTTTATCCCTGAACGCTTTCCTTGCTTTCCTGAAGCAGCAGTTTATTTTATGGTTTAATATGATTTAAAAAAGTCCTTTTTGATCCATATTTGCTCAATTTTTCTAAAATCAAACAAAAAATATGAAGCGTTTTTGTAAAAACTTTAAAAAATTCATTCGATCTGACTCATAACTACTAACTACGACAAACCTCAAAAGGCCAAAAAAATTAACAAATCAGCGCCCAAAATTTTTGCACAATTCAAAATGCGTCAAACATTTTGTTCAAACTTAGACTATCCATACCTGTAACACAGCATAGCCATTCGATTGCATATATCTCCACAATAAGTCAGCATTTCCGAATTTGCCCCGAAGTCCTTCAATAACTCATACGAGTTCGTCAATTCCTTTTCAATCTCCTCTATTTCTTCACTAGTTTCCTCGCCTTTTTTCTTTTCTAGGAAAACATTCCTTTCTAACGATTTCGCCTTTTGGTACTGCAATTTTGCGTGGAAAAACTGTGCCCCTTTTTCTTCGTTGACCATTTTTACAAGTTCGCCTATATCGTTCAAAATATGAAGCGATTCCTGAAATTTAGCGTTCTGAAAGCACACATCAGCCAACACTAGAACTTGACTAATTCTTTCGTCTAAATGCAATTCACAGTCTTCAATTATATCACTAGCCAAATTCGTATATCGAGTAGCCAACTCGTTATAATCGCTATCAACAGCTCCCCATAATTGAGCCAATTCCTTTGAGAACATCGGATTAAAATACCCGAAAATCACTTCACTGTCGCAAAGAAAATCTGCCAATTTGTCTTTCTGACCCGATTCTGCTAAATGATACGGGTACTCTTCCAGTTTTCTATCCAGCCTGAGACATTTCTCAAAATAAGAGGCCAGTTTTTCATGGAACCATTTGTAAGTTACTTTCTCCGAAGAAAAATACACTCGTTCCACTGCTTCTTTGAACGAAGTATGATATATATTCAATCTATTTTCAGCCGTGTCTCCGTTATACTTCACAAAGGGTCGGATTGATCGTTGAATATCTTTCCACTTTTTCAGCGCAAGTTTCTCTGAAAATCGGTTCTCTCTCAGATGTTCTGGTAAAATATTTGGCGGCTCAGCCAGAATCTGGAGCAGTTCATCTTCTAAGAGACCAGTACGACTTGTTACTAACAAGCATAGACTAGCGACTAGAAGCCAAGACCTAGTATCCAATTCAGCTTCAAGCCGGTGTAGAATTTGACACTGGAGCTCGACCAAGTCGTCTGGTAGGCTTGCGATCTTATCAGTCAAGAGAGAGAAATGTCCGAATATTCGCAGCTCCTCGCAAGCCAGAGATAGCCAGTAGTAACTGAAATACGAAAACACGAATTCTAATTCAATTCTAAAACCTCCATATTCCAAAGTTATCAACGCAAAATTAAGTGATTGAAACGCAATTATTAAGTATCAGATGTATGAGAAGCTCCGTGAAACAAAATCGCAGGATACATCTATAACTACAGATACTACATGCAAAAGCCCACCTTGACGAGGACTCTTTGGACAGGAGTATATCCATCTGTTCATTGTCCAGGGTCTTGTTGTACTTGCCCAGGGATGCATGGACCAGTTTACGCCTTCCGGCTTCGTCCATCTTCTTCAGTGTTTTCACAGTTAGTCCACGCGAGTAGTTATTCTGAAGGTAGTCTGCAACATCTTCTCTGCCTGAAAACAGAATTACAATCAACTCTGAATTTCATAAAACCGCAAATAATTTTTGGACATCTCCAAACCGAAGTTTGCATGGTACCAAACTTGTGTAAGAGAGCTAGTTATCAAAACGCTTTGTTTGTTTCGACTGATTAAAGTAGCCATATTATATTATTAACAAAAAGTAGCTCTTGAACTCATCCAAACGCAAGTTCAACTAAAACAGCAAATTTCTAGGTCTGTGTTAATTAATAAACTATACAATTTCAAAGGATGAGCAAACCCATAAACATTATTCAACTCAATTTGAGCGGTAAATATTCTGTTATTTACGAAAGTAATCCCTGTTACTAGTTTTTTTATTAGCCCCCGGTCCAGCTCCCACTATTCAACCTTGGGCTTTTTTTCCATGGCGAGAGAAATGTCATCAATTTTGCCGCAGCCAGTTCCACCTTGAGGAGGCGGATGACACTGATACCCCTACAACCGTGTGTTTTACTACTTCTAATACCCTTTTGCTGTTCTCTTAAATCTGAAAATGATGCTTTCGAATAAGTAAAGAAAATCATGCACAACTAAACTGTTTGACTTTATAGTTTGCCGATTTCGTAGCTGATTTTTTTTGGATAAAATTACCTGATACGACATTAATTATATAATTGTTCCGACCATTTGAAAAATGTGGAAAAACTTTGTATTCGGGTTTGTTTTACTTTTTTCGTTTTGTTTTCCACGAAAAATCAGGTACCACAAATAATTATCAAAATGGGTTGAGTTATTAATCATATTAAAACTCTTTCAGTCGGGTAGAGCTCTTTGAATTTCAAGAACAATTTACGTTTGACACTAGTTTGATAAAATTAACTTAGTGTGAGAAAACTGCATCATTATATTTACAAAAAATTTCTCTTGGAAATCTGTTAATTAAATTCCATTTTTTGAAGTTAGACGTCGATCACGTTTTTCAGACCTTAACACTTTTGCTGTTTGATAGTGGAGTTTGCCTTCCTTTTAACAATGGCAATGAACTGAGTTGAACAGAAAACACCCGCGAAAAGTCAAAATTGAGCGTGAATAAATTTTAGGACTTTTTCCTAAAAAAAACAATGAAAACGTTCAGCAAGACTTATATAACAGTACTCACTACGTTCATTACTCTTGAAAATTTTCGTTTGTCTAGTCATTTTCTACAAAAACTGTTTTCTAATTAGCCTATTTGACTATGACTGTCGAATATGTCTAAATTAAATTTTTTTGTTGAGATCTTTTCTCACGCCACAGAAAACCACACTCATTTGGAAAAAAATGTAATTTTTTCAAGACTATGGCCGGAAAATTCTGTGCTATTTGCACAGTAACCGGCCATCCTTGTTTATTTCTCTTCAATGACCTGTGATAATGACATGCACATTTTCCTTGAGGGGGCACGGCAGCCAAGTCAGCGACATCTCATCCAGCTGATTATACGCATCAATCACCAGCATCACATAATCACTAGTCGAGTTGAGAGTGTTTTTAATCTGGCCCACTATCAACGATATGGGTTTGTTCTCATCTAGTTGCAGGAACACTGCTATCCGTTTCACCAACTGCACATAACTGACTGATCTAAAAATACGAGATAAAACGCGACCGAAACATGGCTGCTTTGCAACTAAAACTAAAAATTCGAACAAATCTATTTTTGCGAAAAATAGAACAAAAATTTAAAAAACTTAAGATTACCGACTCGTTTCCAAGACTGCATTGCTTTCAGTTTGATCATTCAGTTTTCGAGACTAAATTAAGACTATTCATTCATGAGAGAACGGTGCTATGTCCGAGCTGTGAGCTCTCCACAGAGATCTTAACAGCTTTTGCTATCATAATTTTAGATCATTAAGCCAAATTATTTAGAAGTAATGAAACTGTTGAAATAAAGAATCAGCTGACTCTGCTAACCCTGGAACTGCCCCCACAAAGTGATGGAATGTCTTGAAGTCCGGGTAGTCTTGGGCCACTCTGTTGAGGAAGACTGCGAGGCAGGAACTCTTCCCACTTCCAGACACAGCAGTCATGATATAGGGACTCTTATCGCCTGAAGCACACAAGTAAAGATGTCCAAAATGTATCAGCATATCAAAAAAGCCAGTTTGAATTAATTGCGACAATCCGCGCCAAAAGATTTAAATAGATAAATTAGTTAATCTTTAGGCTACTTAATATGAAAAACAAACCAGCATGCGGAATCCATGATAACCATACACGGACATCAAAGTATTCAACTAAAAACGTCAAGAGAAACTCTCCGTGTTCGATTCTCCGCATATATTTTAATTTCGATCAATTTTTGGAAAACTAGAAAAATTTTCCGAACTTTTCGTCTTCGAACATATTTGAAACTGCATTCCTCTTAATTCAAACTCTTAATTCAAACAAATTCCTCTAAATTACTTTTTTCTACTAAGATTTTTTCGTTTTCACAAAATATTTTTTTGATTTTCTCTAATTCGCAAGCTAGAGACAGCGATATTTGAATTTAACAATTGAATGTCTGGTTCCACCGTGGTTGCAACTTCTTCCAAAAATTTTTGTCGAAACATCTAAGAAACAAACCTATCTGTTCCATTTTCATCCAAATTAGCGGTTCAGTGACATCCAAATTAGCGGTTCAGTGATTAGCGGATTAAATGATCGATTACATAAATCTGATTAAAAGCAAACATGTAGGTACCTTTGGTGTTGATGTATGCCTGCAAGTCTTCAATCTGATTGTTCCACACAGGAAGGTCTCCGATCAGACTGGCCTCGTCGTCCTTGAATGCCTCGTGCAGGTCTGTCAATTCCTGCCACTTGTTACTGCCAGACTCCACCAAGGAGGGGTACTGTCTCTCGATCTAGAATATTACGAATGTTTAATTAGCATCATTTCCGCTTCAGTAGTGTTTACAGTTGTCTCCGACAGTTTTTTGTTTGCCGAATTCAAGCCTCATTCTTTTACCGTCAAGAACTTCATTCTGCCTCTCCGCGATTTCTACACTTCGTAACTATCAGGGAAGCTTGTTTTGCAACTATTTGAGCCATAGATTTTTACAGACACATTCAGAAATTTGCACAAAAAAGGAAAATGACTTCGTAATATTTTATTTTTTGATGAAATGATTAGCTAGCCAAAATGGACACTTTGGAAAATACTGCAAACTTCTAAATCTTGCCTGCCACGAATGTGAAAAAGAAAACATCTGCAAACCTAACCTGCTGTTTGAAAAAGTTCAAGGTTTTCTCCACGAAAATTTCCTCGAACCCAGTCAACAATGGAACACCGGAAGCGTCCGTTTTTCCAGCGTATTTAGCGTAGTACAGCAGTTTCTGCGCATCCGAAAAACATTCGTCTATTTTTTCGCGGAAGCACGCAGCTGAAACACAGACAACATTTACAGATATATGGAATCCATAGTACTAATCAAGCGTAATATCTACATTTTTGACACATTATTATTTCACTATCACCCCAAACATCAGTTGACATGAAAAATAACCCTTTTTTTTATGCTACAACCCCTGTGAAATATCATAAAATATTCCCTGATATGATAAACTACTGGTTATAACACTAAGTAAAAAATTATTACTGTTTTGGGATCGAATTGAACAATATTTATTTACTAATAAAAAGTTGATCAGTAAAAAAATTCAAAAAATATTCTATTCGCTATATATATATTTATATACAAATTCCATGGCAACGCCTGCATTTTTACTCTAAATACCCAGAATTTCTAAGCCTCATACACACTTTCAACAATTCTAAGACTCATACACACCTTTGTAACTGCCAACTGGTATTTCATCAGTGAATTTAGACTTCACACCCTCGGGTAGAGTGTGCACGAAAGAAGGGTTTCTGAGGAGGAAGAGGGCATTTGGGTTCTTACTTCTAAACGCCCCCTGCACACACTCCATCTCGGTGATGCTCAAGTCGTCTATCCAGTCATAGCTTTTTCTGCATAAGACAAGAAACACATGAAAATTAATTTATTAATTCTCCATGATTAACCCAGCCTGTGAAATTTTAAATGCCATTATTTTTTAGAGCTTTAAATTTTTTTTGACACGAGCATTAAATATATCAGGACATGTTTAGTCTGCTTAAAAAACCTTGTAAAACAATGCAGGTGTAAAAAAAATTTATGTTTGATTGAGATTGGGTCAAAAAATTAAGTCAACTAATGGAAAATTCAATAGAATTCGAAAAAAAAACTGAAAACAAGCATCGAATTTGAATAATTTTATTTTCACTAATTCAAATTTGGTAGTAACATCAAGATTTTGATACTATTAATTCAGCAATATTTCACCTGATAGCATCGCTGACCACATGGTGATCTGGAATCCAGCCAACTCTCTCTGACAACATACTGAGGAAAAAGGGAAAAGTGTTCTCTTTGTAACACCTCTCAATCTCACCCAGACACGTGTGAACAGCTAATTCAGCATCCAGGCCAGACGGAACGCCCCATCTAAAAGTCGTTTTTGGTCCACGAATCTCGAATCAGCTTTCGAAATGCTTTTACTTAACCAACAGATAAAATATAAAAACGGACACCCACCAAAAAAAATTTTAAAAAGAAGTCAGCTATTACAAACCACACTGGATTGAAAAAAAAAACATATTTTTTGATTTTTCTTAAATAATTTCCGGAGCAATAACTTATAATCAGGTCTTCGCCTGTTTAACTCACCTCAGATCTATTTCGACGAGATGCAACTTTCTTCCCTTGCACCAAGCCCTCAAATCAGGAAACACTTTCTTCACCAAAATATCCCGCTCCACCTGGAAGTCGTGAAACGTCGACGAAACAAACAGTCGAATAGTCTTCCATGGTTTGTTCATGGGCTTTACGGTTGCATTCTGACGTTCGAGATACTTGGAATCCTGACATGATTTCAGCGCCAGTGACCAGGCTTTGTCAACTCTGTTTTTGGTCAGTTCATCAGACCTTTCACCTGAAATTCCACTCCTGGATTTGCTCCGAGGTCTCGCATTTCTAATTTGGCGTTTCGAATTATCTTGAATTTTCTTGAGTCGATCAAAGTAAGATTGTTCTCGTCGAGAAGACATTTAATTACTATATTTAATATGGCGTTTTAGTTTTTCAAAGCGTGCACTTTGATAAACATTACAACTGATTATTTATGCAGATGCATTCAGTAAAAAGCACGTGGCGTTATTTAACCGTTTGACAACAATAAGCAGAGCTACTGAACGGAACTGACGCATCAGCAAACAAAATAATTTAGGTGATTGAAAAGAGTAAAAACTCCCGTCAACCACTCGGTGAAAAAAAAACATATTTATAAGTGTCAAGTCATACTAATTTGTGGACAGAATCGGACCAGTAGATATAATTAGAAATTTGATTATATTTGTACTTTTTTTGAATGGAAAAAGGAAACAAGCTTTTGAAACGCTTTGAATATTAATTATTTTGATATCACAATAGAAAAGTTTTTTCTTGATAATTTCTTGATTTACTATTATCTTGACATTGAAACCATGGTTTCTTTATTAAGGTGATCAGAAGTGCAGCCAAATCTGCTTTAACTTCAAGGGCTATTTTATTTGTTTTGACAGCTCTTGATAAAATGAGCGATACATAGATTTATGAAACCGTTGAAAACAGAAGCTTGCAGAGCTTCGTACCATTTGCTATACAACCAAACATAGCAGTGGAAGCTAGCAGACACCAGTAAAGACGATTTCGACGAAAAATAGAGAAAAAACAACTACATCTACAAAACTTCCTTACACTTATCTCGAATGATTTTCAACTTGGGAAAAACATAAGAACCACAATCGACAGTTTAAAAAAGTATTATAAAAAGTTCACTAAACTGACAGTACTTAGGTACTAACAATAAATACAGTTGCGTTTACAAAAAAATTCGAGCTATACAGTTTTTACCAACTCTCTTCTGAAACACAAAAGTCAGATGTCTCCTTCATACGATGTGTTACTAGATATCTAAACGAAAACAACATAACCCAAAAAAAATTCAGCTGAATTAACCTTTTATGCGAAAAAAAAGGAATGAGTTAATCATACACAGAGTTTCTGAATGAGTTGCGTGAAAATAAAGTTGCGTTTGCATAAACAATTCGAGCTATAAAGTTTATACCAACTCTCTCGTGAAACACAAAAGTCAGCTGTTTCCTTCATACGTGTTAAGAGATGTGTAAACCAAAATAACATAACCCGAAAATTTTCAGCTGAATCCGTTTATGCAAAAAAAAACGAATGACTTAATCATACACAAAGCAAAGCGGAGCTTCGCATCACTTGCGACACAACGCAAACATATCATGAAATACTAGCCAGCGAAAAAAAAACAGATTTTGTAACACAGAGGCGAAATTCCACTTCGCATACACAAGCAAAAATACGACCGATAACGCTACTGGGAAAAACTGAATGAGTGAAACTTTGAGCCTGCAAAATTTCTTAAGTAACGTACGCCAATTATGAGTCTATAACATTGCTAAGTGACGCAAGCCTATTATGACGCATTAGCAGTATTAGTCAATTTGAAAAAAAAAAGAAATTTACTAACAAACATGCCTCAATTTATAGAGCGGACGCATTTTAACTAGTATACGAAAAAGTTCATTAAAAACATCCGACCCTGCCCAGGTTCGAACCCTCTTATTTTGTTGCTGGTCTCCTTCCCTGCCTCTACGCTACATATCCATGATACTTTGAAGCTTACATGCTATTTTTACTTTAATAGTCTGTGTAAATATCCTTAGCATTAGCTGTACTTAATAGCAAATTATTGATCAAAATGAACACTTTCAAAATGAACACATTTTGTCGCAACAATATTAGTGACTTAAGTTGGCAAAATCAGGGAGTTCATACTATCACACGAGCTTTGCTTGTGTAAACCAATGAAAATATTGAAACAAAATAGACTCGCCAAAAATTTTAGATGAAGATCTCAATTTTATTGAACAAATTTCTTGTTGGTAAAAAACTCCAGCTAAAAAACTGCCACTTCCAAATTCTAATCAAAATGAACACTTTCAAAATGAACTTATTTTGTCGCAACAATATTTGCAACTTAGGTTGGCAAAATAAGAAAGTTCATAATATCACACGAGCTTTAATTGTGTAAACCAATGAAAATATTGAATCTCAAAGATCTCAATTTTATTGAACAAATTGAAGAATTTTATTGAACAAATTTCTTGCTAATCGGAGAGAAACTGGTAAAAAAGCCGATAAACTGATAAAAATGTTTTCATTCAGAAACTTACAAACTAACACCCCTCAAAACACCGTTTGGCATAACTTCAAAGCTTTTCAAACGCAATATGAGGCAATTGAGCCAACTAACGGAAACCATTAGGGTAAACAGAAACAATTTAAGTCGGATAACATTAAAAAAAGAAAAGACTAACATAAATGATACCAAATCAGAGCTGCTAAAATTACACAGACACCAAGCAGAGGTTCAAACCATCTGCGATACCACAAAAACAAGGCATGGTAAGCTAGAGGACAAAAAATGAAACGGGGGCCATTAGGTTGACAAAAAATCAATGTTGAAAAAAAAATTTTGCTGCAACTAAGTCAATAAAACTGTTGTAGACGCCAGTTGAGCCAAAAATAATAATTGGCACAGTAAAAGCCAAAAATATTTTGAGATTGAAATTTATACGCTTTACACTTTTGCTACACAAGAAAATTTTCCTTTCAAACAAACAGGTTCTGGTCAGATGCAAACACCAGCCGTTTGTCGTCCCAGGCAAGCACTTAACCGCCAAAACAAGCGTGCCTCAGAAGACAAAAAATTTGAACTGATATAATGGAATTAAACACAGGGGCAAAGTTCTCTAGAGAACAAAGTTGCTTACAGTAAAAGTCTAGTGCATGATTGCAACACCTTTGCAAGGATTAAGAATTTAAACAGGCCGATTCCTGTCTAAGTAGCACAGAACAGTCCTTATGATGTTTAAAAACGTCGGAAGTGTCAACTTTTTTAGGAGAAATAGGATTGGGTGCCATATGGGTGCCACGATTTGGCTGATGAAAGTTCAAAAGATCCTCATTACAATACCACGCTTGACACCTTACAGATTTTGTTTCAGGTAGTCACAATAGTTGCGAAAAAACGCCTTGCAACAATCTTCCTTCCAACCGTGAAGTGGTGGGTACAAACGAAACCAACAGAGAGTTGGAAACGAGTCAAGAACGCAAAGAAAAAAAACTTCAGCTTTCCAATTTCAAAAAAATAGATAATGAACAATTCATGATTGACACTTTTTTGATACAACTAACCAAACTTTAGAAAACTGGACCAATAGGTGAGTTTTTTATTCCACTGGGAAATCTGAAAAATTAAATCTACTTTCGAGAAAAGGAGCGTTCACATTTTTATGACCTTAACTTTTGCTGTTCGACAGTCGAATTTGCCTCTCTTCCAACGAACGAAATGTAGTGAAATGAAGAAATCATATGTCCAACCGCAAAAAAATGAAGTATTTTTCCCGAAAAAAAAACAAATAAAAAAGACGTATTTAGGAGTATTCAGTACATTCAGGACTCTAAAACTGGAACAACTCTTATTTAAGAACATCTTCATAAGTCGACAAAAACAGTTAAATTACTGACACGGGAAGTGAAAAACTATCTTGAAAATAGAAGACCAGCACAAAAATTTAAAAAACAAAATAAATCGAAAAAAGCGAAACAACTGCGTGATAAAAATTAATGTAGATCTTGGCCCAAAGCACCCGGTGAGGGATCGTTTCAATGAACTTCACTTTCTTGCGGACATTGATAATTTTTTATCTGAGCTTAAATCGCAAAAGGTACCAGGTGAAAAATTATGTGAAATTGAAGCTGCTGCAAAATCATACGCTAAACGTGTGCGGCAAACACCGTCGGCTAGAGGGATTGAGAAAGCCAGGAAGTATTTGAAGGACAATGATCTCTTGGCAGTCCCATTCGATAAAGGTGTTGGCTTCTGTGTAATGAAGAAAACGACATATGAGGCTAAACTAACTGAGCTGCTGCAATCGGAACAATTTAGCGAAAAACCAGGTTTAACTGATAGTGTTGTTATGAAAATTGAGAAAGACATCAACAAAGAACTGTTGGCCATGAAAAAGAAAGATGAGATCGATGAGGCACTGTATAGTAGGCTTAGGTCCACGGGAGAGATGTGAAGAGCATTGTAAGAGATGTAAAGAGCAGCGAGATCAAGAAAAACCAACAGAAAATGTCAAAGCGTTCCTAAGATATGTAGATGATATTGTGAGGACGGTAAAGGGGGATCCAGATATAGTTTTAAAAGCAGCTAATGAGCTCCACCCCAACTTACAATTCACTATCGAAAATCCGGATTCGAACGGAGACTTAGCCTTTCTAGATTTGAACATTAATGTGGACTCACGAAAAAAGGTAACATGTGGATGGTATCAAAAACCAACGGATACTGGGACTATCCTTAACTTCAGAAGCTGCGCTCCATTGCAATATAAACGCAATGTAGTTGAGGGTACTGTTCATCGGATTTTTAGATGTACATCAACATGGGAAAACTTTGACAAAGCAATGAAGATTATTAAAGAACGATGGGTGGATAATCAATACCCTGAAAAATGGTCAGATGGTGTAGTATTAAGAACGTTGAATAAGATCATCGACCGAAAAACTGACACACGAACAACGGTAACATCAGTCAAGGAAGATCCTTTAAAGGTCAGTGCACCCATTATAACATTACAATACCGGGGTAATGCATCAGAGTGGTTTGCTGCCAAACTGCGTCAAAACGCCGGAGCCCAAGTGATTTTTACTACGAGAAAGCTCAAGACTTGCCTACCGTCCCTTAAATCTCCCTTTGCGAAAGATTTGAAATCCAGAGTGGTCTACAAGCTCACATGTAGTGGATGTAATTCCACCTATGTTGGACAAACGGTCCGGCATTTGACCACGCGGATTGAAGAGCATCACAAGGAAGATTCGCCAGTAGGGCAACATTTGAGAGAATGTGACAGGGATGGTAAGAGCGCTGAGCTTAAGTCTGAGATTATAGATCAATCAAGTAACATACAGAAACTCCTCACTCTGGAGGCCTTACATATTTGGAAAGAACGCCCCAGAATTAACACGCGCGAGGAGTTCAGGAGCAGGGAGCTGACATTAAAATTATAGTACATGTTTAAACATGACTTAAATTGCAATTTTTGAAAAAATAAACTGACATGTCAGTTTGGATAAAACATCAAATCGAAAAATTATGACTCAAGTAACGAAAAAGTAT